CATGAAAATGAGGTCAAGGTCAGATGAACCCTGCCAGACAGACATGTACACCTTAAAATCATTCCATGCATCAAATATAGTTGACCTATTGCTTATAGTATCTAAGAAACAAAGTTAACCAGGAAAACTGAACATTACCAATGAACCATGAAAATGAGTTGAGGGTCATTGACCTATTGCTTAAAGTTTAAGAAAAACAGACCAAAACACAACTAGAGGCTCTAAAGAGCCTGTGTTGCTCACCTTGGTCTATGTGCATTTTCAACAAAGGACACACTCAAACATTGTAGACGAGAATAGAATTCATGATAAAAATCTGTTTTGTTGATCTTGATTGCTGATCATTAAGCCTGTTTAGTTTCTCTCTATATTCTTTAGTTTTTGCTCAAAACAGAAAAGAGTGTAAAAAAATCCTCATTTAAGGGCAATCACTCCTATAAAGAAGGACAGTCTACTAACTATATCGGCAAAACTTGACTTGTTAGTAGATCTTGCCTTGCTGATCATTTTTGTGATTTAAAATGTCTATTTATCTATTGTAATTTTTAACATATAAAGCAAAACGCAAAAAAAATGGTAAAAATCGTCATTAAAGGGCAATAACTACAATAAGGTGTCGTCGGATGATTTCCTCCATAATGTCTTAATTGTAGATCTTGTCTTTCTGATCATTTTTGCTACTTTAAGTTTTGATCTATCTATTATAATTTTTATGATATAAGGCAAAAACGCAAAAAATTGGTAAAAATCATCATCAAAGGGCAATAACTCTAATAAGGAGTCGACTGACGATTTGACCATGCAGAATTATTTGTGGAACTTGTCTTGATGATCATTTTTGCATTTTAAAGTGTCTCTCTATCTATTATAGTTTTCAAGATAAAAGGCAAAAATAAAAAAAAAGGTAAAATTTGTTATTTAACGGAAATAACTCCTATTAGAAGTCGTCTGACAGTTTTGACATCTATGGACAATTGGTAGAGCTCAACATTCTGAACTTTTTTGCTCATTCAGTTTTTGTCTATAACGGTTTTCAAAATAAAAGACAAAACTTGCATAGATACCCCAATGATGATTGTGGCCAAGTTTGGTTAAATTTGGCCTAGTAGTTTCAGAGAAGATTTTTGTAAAAGTTAACGATGACAGACAGGGGAGCTAAAAACTTACAAAAAGCAATGAACCATGAAAATGAGGACAAGGTCAATTAAAATCTGCCAGACTGACATGTACATCGTAAAATATTTCCATACACCAAATATAGTTGACCTATTGCATACAGTATAAGAAAAACAGACCAAAACACAATAAAATGCTCCGCAGGGCGCAGCTTGATATGACCGCAGAGGTCGAACCCTGAACAGTTGGGGCAAGTATGGACACAACATTCAAGCTTGATACAGCTCTGAATTTGGATTGTGATTAAATATTTGACACAGCATAGGTTTCTGACACAGAATGAATGTGGTCTAAGAACTTAAAAATTTTAAATTGGACATTCACCTATTATGGTCCAATATCCAAAATCTAAATACATGGTTAGATTCAGCATATCAAAGAACCCCAAGAATTCAATTTTTGATGAAATCAAACAAAGTTTAATTTTGGACCCTTTTGACCTCAATGTGGACAAAGTTGATAACGGGGCCCAAAAATCAAAAATCTAAATACATGGTTAGATTCAGCATATCAAAGAACCCCATATATTCAATTTTTGTTGAAATCAAACAAAGTTTAATTTTGGACCCCGATTTGGACCAACTTGAAAACTGGGCCCATAATCAAAAATCTAAATACATGTTTAGATTCAGCATATCAAAGAACCCTAAAAATTCAATTTTTGTTAAAATCAAACTAAGTTTAATTTTGGACCCTTTGGACCTTAATGTAGACCAATTTGAAAACGGAACCAAAAATTAAGAATCTAAATACATGGTTAGATTCGGCATATCAAAGAACCCCAATAATTCAATTTTTGATGAAATCAAACAAAGTTAAATTTTGGACCCTTTGGACCTCAATGTGGACCAATTTAAAAACGGGGCCCAAAATCCAAAAACTTAATACACGGTTAGATTCAGCATATTAAAGAACCCCAAGAATTCAAGAATAAAACCCCATTGAAATTAATCAAGAAATAAGCAATTTATACATAGTATCTTCTTTTGCACAATACTGTGCAATTGAATATTTCTTGCTATTGCGCAATACTGTACAATTGACAATTTCTTGCTATTGCGCAATATTGTGCTATTGGATATTTCTTGCTATTGCGCAATACTGTGCAATTGAAGATTTCTTGCTATTGCGCAATACTATGCAATTGAAGATTTCTTGCTATTGTGCAATACTGTGCAATTGAAAATTTCTTGCTATTGCACAATACTTATTATATAATAATTTACACATCCTGTTTAGTGTGTATCTCCTACCATATCATTATTATTTGCTTTTAAATATAAATCAGAAATAACCAACTTAAAATGGAAAATTTTAAAAGAAAAAAAAAAAAATCCCCCCCCCCCCAAATTTTTTGAACCCCTTATGATTCATCACCCCCAAACTCAATCCCAGCCTTCCCTTTGTGGTATGGTACCTTGCAGTACAATTTCAGAGAGATCCATACACTTGAACACAAGTTATTGTCTGGAAACTAGAAAAAATGCTTATTTTTGGCCCCTTTTTGGCCCCCAATTCCTAAATGTTTCAGGCAATTACCCCCAAACTCAATTCCAGCTTTCCCTTTGTGATATGGAACCTTGTAGTACAATTTCAGAAATATCCAAACACTTACACACAAGTTATTGTCATGAAACTAGAAAAATGCTTGTTTTTTGCCCCTTTTTTTGCCCCCAATTCCTAAAATTTTGAGGCAATTACCCCCAAAATCAATTACAGCCTTCCTTTTGTGATATGGAACCTTGTGGTACAATGTCAGAGAGATTCATACACTTACACACAAGTTATTGTCTGGAAGTTACAAAAATGCTTATTTTGGCCCCTTTTTGGCCCCTAATTCCTTAACTGTTGGTACCATAACCCCCAAAATCAATCCCAACCTTCCTTTCGTGGTATTGAACCTTATGGTAAAATTTCATGGAGATTTTCACTTAAACTAAAGTTAGAGTGCGAAAACCAATGTGTCTTCGGACGACGACGACGACGCCAACGTCATACCAATATACAACGAAAAATTTTTTAATTTTTGCGGTCGTATAAAAACTTAACATTGAGCAATGAACCGTGAAAATGAGGTCAAGGTCAAATAAAACCTGCCAGACTGACATGTACATCGTAAAATATTTCCATACACCAAATATAGTTGACCTATTGCGTACAGTATTAGAAAAACAGACCAAAATACAAAAACTTAACATTTACCACTGATCCATGAAAATGAGGTCAAAGTCAGATGACACCTGCCAGTTGGACATGTACACCTTACAATCATTACATACACCAAATATAGTAGACCTATTGCTTATAGTATCTGAGATATGGACTTGACCACGAAAACTTAACCTTGTTCACTGATCCATGAAATGAGGTCGAGGTCAAATGAAAATTGTCTGACGGGCATGAGGACCTTGCAAGGTACGCACATACTAAATATAGTTATCCAATAACTTATAATAAGAAAGAAATTAACATTACAAAAAATGTTGCCTTTTTTTTCAAGTAGTCACTGAACCATGAAAATGAGGTCAAGGACAATGGACATATGACAGACGGAAACTTCGTAATATAAGGCATCTATATACAAAGTATGAAGCATCCAGGTCTTCTAGCTTTTAAATTGTAAAGCTTTTAAGAAGTTAGCAAACGCCGCCGCAGGATCACTATCCATATGTCGAGCTTTTTGCGACAAAAGTCGCAGGCTCGACAAAAACTGAGAAATTTCATAAAAAATATTATTTCAGGGGTGATAACTCCAAATTGGGTTGTCCTATTTGTCTAAAATAAAAATCCTAAATAAAGATATTGACCTGCTGTTATAATTTTTACCCCATATTTGCTTTAACTGCTTTAGTTTTTGAGATGTCAGACAAAAACTGCATTTTATCCCTATGGTTAATTTTAGCCATGGTTGCCATGTTTGTTGACCAACCGGAATAAAAAAAAATTAGATACTAGATACCATAAGGATCATTCACCCAAAGTTTGGTTGAAATTGAGTCAGTAGTTTCAGAGAAGATCTTTGAAAAAGTTTATGACGACGATGGAGATGGATGGCAATAGCTCATGCTAAAATAAAGAGCTGTGCCATGAGCGCATGATATGCCCGTCGCTTTTTCAAGAATAAAGTTCCATAACTCCTCAATGTCATATCAGAAATTTATAAAAAAACTAAAGGGGGTTCTTTTAATAGATATATAACAGTCACCAAACTTTCATGAAAACTGCTCAAAGCACTTTTGAGTTATTGTCCGAAAACTGGAAAATCCCCCTTTTTTTATGAATAAAATCCCATAACTGGGAAACGTAAAAACTAAAATTTATAAAAATCGAAAGGGAGCTCACGTCAATAGATGTAAACAATTCACCAAAGTTTCATGCAAATTGGTTAATCTGATTTTGAGTAATTGTCTGACATGTTGACGATGGACGGACAACGGTATACCATAATACATCCCGTAAACGCGTATAAAAAATTTATAAAAATTGAAAGGGAGCTTACGTCAATAGATATAAACAATTCACCAAAGTTTCACGAAAACTGCTCAAAGCATTTTTGAGTTATTGTCCAGAAACTGGAAAATCCCCCTTTTTTAATGAATAAAACCCCACAACTCTGAAACATAAAATCTGAAATTTACAAAAATCGAAAGGGAGCTCATGTCAATAGATATAAACAATTCACCAAAGTTTCATGCAAGTTGATTAAAGCGTTTTTGAGTTATTGTCCAACATGTTGACGACGGACGGACAACTGTACACCATAAAAGGTCCCGTAAACGGTATAAAAATTGTTTATTAATAATGAACCTCATTCATTAAAAATGTTGTAACAAAAAAGATGGTTTATTGATTATAAAGTTCGTTCATTGAAAATATTGTAACAAAAAAGATGGTTTTATTGATAATGAACAACACACGGCTATGTAACGATTGTGATGATTGGTCTTTCAACAGCAGCATAAAATGTTTTATAAGAACTTTGAACTTCAGCTAGTGTCCATTGTATCACCTGTGGCACCTACAAAATAAAGGTATATATTAGTAAAAAGAAAAGTAATTATCATAAAAAATTCTTTTAATTTATTATGGATTAATTGGACAGGCTGCAGACTGATTTCTATTAATTTCTAATGAAGTGAAATTTCCCAACAGAAATCAAGAGACTAGTTATCCTCTGTAATGTAGTCATATGCCCATGATGCCCGTCCCAAGTCAGGGTCTGGTCAAAAGTTGTCTTATGTAATATCTTTTAAATGTTTTTTTGGTTATTAGGAGAATTTGGTATTTTTATTCACCACTGTTTTAAAACTGAGGGCAATTAAGAACTTGACATACTGTATAGACACCTGGCTATTGTTAATGACTGTATTTTGACCTCTTGATGTCATTTGGCAATTTGTGTTGCTTGTTTTCTAACTCATTGACCTATACACCAATTCTTCTTTTATACATATTAGTTTGATGGAAACCTTTATCCTATGAATACAGCTGCATTTCAGAATCTGCATTTCTTTAGTTTTTTTTTTGTTTCCCATCATCCTCTATTTCAATTAACAAAGCTTGATCCACAAAATGTAGTGCCAGGTTTAAGTTATTTATGAAATAGATTATACTAATGGCAATAACCCACATAAAGAACAATCAAAGCACTGTCAATGCTGTGAACCAGCCAATCTTACTTGATCAGACCATAAAAAGCAGCATATCCTAGAGGTAAAACTATTACATTACATTAAATAATTTCTTATTCCAAATGGTTGTAGAAAGCTCCTTTTCAAGCATTGAAAGGAATTTACATGTGATTTTTTTTTTTAAATCTCTCTTCTTACTTTAAAGGTTAAGTAAGAAGTGTTCTAGCTAGGTTTTGAAAAGGGCCAGGTGCTTGATTGAAAAAAGAGCACTTTAGTAAGTAAACCTTTGATGTTTGACATTTTGCATGTATGTTACAAGTTACATACATGACCATATTATGACATGGAATTAAATATTTTAATACCTACATAACATGTACAAAGCAATCATCATGAATAAAACTTAAAAATAGATCGTCTTCTTAATCTAAAATTGAAAAAACAGTTGGCATGTACATATGTATTTAGCAACTGTGGCTTTCTAAAGTTTTGTCTAGCATTCCTGATGAAGTTTTTCTATAAAATTGTGTCTGCCTTGGTACCAGTAGATATGAATTAATCCCAGTTCAAACCTAATGAACTCAGCCATTGATTTTATATGTTCTATATAGCTTATTTCCATGCTAATATCCCTTTTGAGATTTTGTGTCTGGAGCTGTTTTCTGATTTGGCCACCCACAGAATCCCTTGTCATGACAACACAAAACCATCTGGAAAATTTTAATGAGTAATCACACCTTGATTCCGGGCATTTTAAACAGAGCCCTCATTTCATACACCTGAAGCAGGTAAGCACTGAAAAGGAGACACAAGTTTAACACCGCCACATTCTGTATGTGCCTGTCCCCAAGTCAGGAGCCTGTAATTCAGTGGTTGTCATTGGTTGCTGGATATCACATTTGTTTTGTACATTAATCCGGCCATTAGTTTTCTCATTTGAATTGCTTTACATTTGTCATTTAAAGGCCTTTTATAGCTTGCTATGCGGTATGGCTTTTGCTCATTGTTGCATGCCATACGGTGACCTATAGTTGCTAACCTTCTACATCATTTGGTCTCTGGTGGAGAGTTGTCTCACTGGCAATCATACCACATCTTCTTATCTTTATATCTTCCTTATTCTCTTTCTGTGGCTTATTTTGTTTAACCTATTTCTCTCATGGTAAAAATTACCTTTCTTATTTTGCCAATCATGCATGACTTCCTATGTGCTGTTGCATAAGTGCACACAGGCTCCCTTTGGGATAAAGCTGTACTGTTTTTTTAAAGCTTGGTTTACGTAAAGTACAGATATTTACATTTAAATGGAATACAAACAAAACATTCCATTTAAGAGATAATTTTTGTGTAAAAATATCAAAAATAGAAATTCTGCGGAAAACTGCTGGTCTTTGGCACCATAACCATTTGAAATCATAGATCAACTTCTGTTGTCAAACGTAAACATTATACATTTTTATGCCTTGTCTTAGCTTCAGAATTGAATAAAATTTGACAAAAAGATTTTTAGGTGAAAAATGTGAGTATTTTCTCTTCTATTGAAGAAATCCCATATCTTTGTCGCCACAGAGGAAAAGTAGTTCATCACTGACCAAACAATTAGCCAATTGTAAATTGACATTTTGGTATCACATTGCAGAATGGTCCAACCAAATAAATGCATTTGGGTATAACCTATTCATATCACATTCCGTTCAGTGTGATACAAGAAATAGATAACAAGCTTCAACCATAAGAAAACATACTAATAAAACTACCATGATTTTTTATCAACTAATAGACAAGTGTAAACGATATTTGATCATAAAATAATAAAGAGTACATCTTATACAATATAAAATTCTCATAGTGACAGTTCAGATTCAGAACCAAAACTAGTGCATATACTATTCTTCCTCCTATCAACTTTTTAAATCATCAAGAGTAATATTTTATTAACTTTGGTTTACAAAGGAACTATATGCAAGTATATTATTTTAACGTTTAGTCGCTGTTCAACTTCACTTTTTCATTACCTAAAGGCAAACTTTTAAAACATCTTTAAAAAAGTTTATGGTAGATGATCAAATTTGTGTTTTGTTATCTCTGGAAGTCCTTTAAATATTCATGATTGATAACATGCCTTAAGGCTTTAATTCAGAATTCTGCCCAATCTTAAAATTTGGAGTGATGACATAGAGCCAAGGCTAGCTCAAAAATTAAGTATTACAATTAAACAAAATGAGCATGTGGACTCAGCTCCACAATGGTGTAATGAGCATTTTAGTCCTTTGCCACTATTGTAAGAGTTTTTCTTCAGTCATTTACAAAAACATCAATATGCACAAATTTGGATGTGACAGAGTTTGTTATCCACATAAAGTCAATGGTTTATTCAGAGGATCTATTTCCTAATCCAATGAATTAACTTGCCACAAGATATGAATACACAATAAGAATATACCCTATAGGACACCATTCTCCACCTGCAGTCTCATTTCCATGAAATATTGTTTATAACCCTAACAAACAGTTCCCTTCACAATAAACATGCGTGCAAAGTTTCAAGTTGATGTGACCACAATCTATTCTAAACCAAAAACTTTAACCGGATACTGGACAGACAAACTGAAGCACAGACTGGAAAACATAATGCCCCTCTACTATCATAAACTGACCATAAAAACTTACATTAACATACATTTGTAATGATACAAGATTACAATACACCAAAATAAAAAGGAACTAAAAACCCCTTTTACACTGCTTTATGGTACATACCAAGTTCGTTAAACATAAACTCTTGTTGATATTCTTTTAAGAACTGTGTTGATCTTGATTCATCCAAAAACAATGAATATACTCTCTTTATATCATCTACTTCTACCTCTGTACCCTATAAAATAAAGTGTCAATATCCATATTATAATTATTACAAAAAATTGGGGGGAAAAATGAATACCACAATTTCATGTAAGATTTGTTTAGAGAAAAAGTCTGTATAACTGTTCGTTGCAGAGTGATCGAATGACGGATAAGGGTAACACTATATGGCCCGACCTAAGTTGGCAGGGCCATAAAAATTGTGTATTTCCTTTCTCAAAATATCTACTTGTTCATAATTTATAGCTCCACATAAATATTAATAATAATAAGGAAAAAACTTACTTTTCTCTTCCGTGATACTAGATTTGCGGCTGTTATTAACTGTATTGAATATCGTAATGATGTTTCCATTCCAATCCTGGTTAATACGGTCAATGCATCATCGGTCATCTCAACATCCTCTTCTTCACATCTGCAACAAATGTTTAAGATATAGGCTACTCCATTAAACTTATGGAACCAATCCATAGAAACAATTTGACCATTTCTCATGCATTTTTTTTTAGATAAATACTATATGCACCAATTTTCAGATGAATTTCTGATATTACACTTGGCATCCTTGTATGCTTACAGTGAAGATATTTTAGAATAAACAGGCCATCATAATACTTGACACTATCCAGGTTATATTTCAAAACGTGCTGTCAAAGTTCATTTATTAAGGATTATTCCTATTCTACTTTCAATTAAAAAATGCACTTTTTAAATGGCAACCACAAAATAATATATATGTATTCCTATTCTGCTTTTTGAACACTTTCAATTAAAACAAGAGTGCACAAGCTCTAATGTCTCGCCTGTTTTACAGACCATTGATTTTATGTTGAAAGTCTTAAAGATAAAGGTTTTACTACAAGTATCACATAAACTTAACATTCTTACAGATCCATGACAATGAGGTCAAGGTCAGATAAAAACTGTCACACAGACATGTACACCTTACAATTATTCCACACAAATAATATAGTTGACCCATTGCTTATGGTAATCAAAAAACAAACCAAAACACAAAAAACTTAATGTTAACCAATGAACCATGGAAATGAGGTCAAGGTCAGATGATACTGTCTAGACAGACATGTACACCTTACAATCATTCCATACACCAAATATAGTTGACCCATTGCTTACAGTACTTGAAAAACAGACAGAAACACAAAAACTTAACATTGACCAATGAACCATTAAAATGACGTCAAGGTCAGATGACACAAGCTAGACAGACATGTACACCTTACAATCATTCCATACACCAAATAAAGTTGCCCTATTGCTTACAGTACTTGAAAAACAGACCAAAAAATTAACAATGACCAATGAACCATGAAAATGAGGTCAAGGTCTCTGCCAGTGGGACATGTACCCCTTACAATCATTCCATACACCACACATAGTTGACCTGCTGCTTGTAGTATCTGAGTAACGGACCTAATCACGTAACTATAACCTTGATCACTGATCCATGAATTGAAGTCGAGGTCAGGTCAACCCTGTATGATGGACATGTAGACGTTGCAAGGAACCCATATACCAAATATAGTTATCCTATTACTCATAATAAGTGAGAAATTCACATGACAAAAAAACTGTAATTTTTTTTCAAGCAGTCACTGAACCATGAAAATAAGGTCAAAGACAATGGGAATATGACAGACGGAAACTTCGTAACATAAGGTATCTGCACACAAGGTATGTAGCATCCAGGTCTTCTACCTTCTGAAATGTAAAGCTTTACGCCGCCCCTGCCAGATAGTAATACCTATGTCTCGCATACTGCGACTTTCGTCACAGGAAAGACAAAAATGCACCTTTTTTTAATGACAACCACAATAAAAAAAATTTTTTTTTAAATACAATATCAAATACTTTACCTGCATGTCAATATCTTGTTTTGTTTATTTCCAGCGTATAAGAGTGGGAGGTATAATTGACAATCCTTACCTAATATTTAATATCTGTTTTATTTCTTTTTCGCTGTATGGTGTGGTAGATATAATTAACAGTCTATCCAACAGATCTATAGGTATACCATGAGGACTTTGATATTGGGTACCACGTATCCTGAAAACAAATAATGTCTTATTATTTTATTAAACATTTTATAAGAAAAAGCTAAATACTATAGATTTATAAGTAGATCCTCTGTCCTTCCACTGAACATTAAACAACATTGAAGTTTGATTACCCAGAAATTTAGTTAAACCCCACTGTATGTCTCCCTTTGACGAAGAGAGATATTATGTTTTACTAGTACTTCCTATTCTGCTGGTTCTCTTACAAACTTGTCCAGTCTAAAACTTTATATTCTAACATTGACTTATATTTGGTATATGGTGTATTACCAAGAGTATTACCATATCAACATGAATTTCATGACCTTGAACTTTGTCCTCGAGGTCAAAAGTAGAAATTCATTTTAATGTACAAATACAGTTTCCCCTAGTTTACCTGCCTGGGCAATAATATTAATTCTGCAAGAAGCTGTCACTGTTTTTCACATCATATCTGACATTGAGAATCAAGGTAATTTAGAACTGGTCCTATAGTACAGGTACTTGCTCATTGTTGACGTTTAGATAACAATTCTGGATACCTTGTATTAGGTTGCTCTAATAAATGTTACTCTTACATATCCTTCAACTCATAAAGTTTCATTTAAAACATTATTTTCAATCTTTTTTTTTTCTAATTTTGAAATCTGGATATTTTCCAAAACAATATGACAAACAAGAATGTGTCCATAGTACACGTATGCCCACTCACACTATCATTTTCTATGTTCAGTGGACCGTGAAATTGGGGTCAAAACTCTAATTTGGCATTAAAATTATAAAGATCATACCATAGGGAACATGTGTACTAAGTTTCAAGTTGATTGGACTTCAACTTCATCAATAAAAAGATCTTACAAATCTATTGCGCAATACTGTGCAATTGAAGATTTCTTCTTGAAACTTTTCAAAAATTCGAAATTTGAAAAATTTTGAAAAAAAATATGAATCCCTTAAAAAAAGTGGAACCCCTCCCCCAACTTTTTGAAACCCCCCTTGGAGCAATAACCCAAAAACTCAATCCCAGCATTCCTTTGTAGTATGGAACATTGTAGTACAATTTGAGAGAGATCAATACACTTAAACACAAGTTATTGTCTGGAAACTTGAAAAATGCTTGTTTTTGGCCCTTTTTTGACCCTAATTCCTACATGTTTGGGGCAATTAACCCCAAACTCAATCACAGCCTTCCCTTTGTTATATGGAACCTTGTGGTACAATGTCAGAGAGATCCATACACTTACACACAAGTTATTGTCTGGAAACTAGAAAAAATTCGTAAGGGTTCCGCGGAACCCAGTGTCGCGCCTACTTTTGCTGTTAATCGCAGGCTCAACAAAAATGAGATGAGGAAAAAATTTGATAAAAATATTGCTCTCGATACAATTTTTTTATTGTAAGAAGCTTCTGTCCAAGTTTGGTAAAAATCCAGGATAGTTTATGAATCTAATAAATGTTTTAAAAACTTTAACTGAAGACTGTATGTAATGTTAACTGGAAGAAAAACTAAGTCCATTTATAAGTAATATACGGAAAAAAGGGAATTTTTTTTTACAAAATTTCCTTCTAGATACTAGCTTTTGATCATAAATCAGCTTCTGTCCATGTTTGGTACAAATCCAGGATAGTTTAAGAAAGTTATTAAAATTTTAAAAACTTTAACCACAGAGTGAATGTAATGTTTCCTGGCAGAAAAGCTAAGTCCATTTATAAGAAAAATACGGAAAAACAGGATTTTTTTTTTTAAATTTACTTCTGGATACTATCTTATGATCATAAACAAGCTTCTGTCTAAGTTTGGTAGAAATCCAGGATAGTTTGAGAAAGTTATTAAAATTTTAAAAACTTTAACCACAGAGTGAATGTAATGTTTCCTGGCAGAAAAACTAAGTCCATTTATAAATAAAATACGGAAAAACAGGAATTTTTTTTACAAAATTTACTTCTGGATACTATCTTATGATGATAAACAAGCTTCTGTCCAAGTTTGGTAGAAATCCAGGATAGTTTAAGTTATTAAAATTTCAAAAACTTTAACCACAGAGTGAATATTTGTGGACGCCGCCGCCGCCGACGGAATGTAGGATCGCTATGTCTCGCTTTTTCGACAAAAGTCGAAGGCTCGACAAAAATGCTTGTTTTTGGCCCTTAATTCCCAAACTGTTGGCCCCATATCCCCTAAAATGAATCCCAACCTTTTACTTGTGGTATTAAACATTGTGGTACAATTTCGGAGCAATCGAAATACTTATACACAAGTTATTATCCTTAAACTAGAAAAATGCTTGTTTTTTTTGCAGTCGTATAAAAACTACCTTGACCAAAAACGTTAACCTGAAGCGGGACAGATGGACAGATGGACGAACGGATGCACAGACCGAAAAACATAATGCCCCTAGGTGGGGCATAAAAACATTATTCAGAAGACTTTGGACATAATCACTACTAACTTACCGTGTAATTCCTCTGTTTGTAGCCATAATTAAAATTGGTGACATATCACTTTCTAATGCTCTATTCAGGAATGAAAAACATTCAATATCTAACATATGTACTTCATCAATAAATAACACCTGAAAAGAAAAAAATGCACATGCTCTAATCATTTTTTTTTACAAGCTCTCATCAAGTCATTTCATGTTGCTGAGGGACCTAAATTTTTTAACATCTGTAGTAAAATGAAATCCAATAGAACATCATAAGTGGGTCACCCAAAACTTTTATTCATATTTTACTATAAATTTTTTATTTTACTATTATTTATAACTGTAGTAAGAGCAGCAATAATGGACATATATCATTCATTCTTTCCTTTTAAAATATCAGCCACATTGGATGACCTACACAATATTTTAATCAAATTTGAAATGTTGATACTTTTTTAGGCTTTGTGTGTGTGTGTGTAGGTCTAGTGGAGTAGAGGTAGTAATGTTCAAAGGAGTTTACAAATCAAAGATGACATGTAAATGCTCCCTTGTTCCATTAACCGAAGGTATAATATATGATTGGTTAATAGAACAAGGGAGCTTTGCTTTTATATGTCATACTGATTATAAGATTTGTAGTTTTGTTTCCCTACCAACACAGATTCTACTGTATTATTTAAAAATTGTGTTTCGATTCTCTTTTTAAAACCATCCAATTATATCATTTCATAGGGTAAATAAAAGAGGCATAATTAAACCTACACCAGGTACAATCTCTGCTTTGCCCTCTTCCCGCCATTCTGCAACTTTTGAATTGATTTGTTCTCGAACTTCACTTTTTATTTCTCCAGTGTCTCCTGTAAATACATCACATATGATGAGTTCTACACTTCCTTAAACAAGTGAATCTGTGAGCTACTGCTCACTAATTATACCCCCCCGCTAAAAGTATAAGATAAACAGGAAGTTGTTGAGTGATGAATCTGAAAAGCATCACACGGTATAGCTGACTCATATTAACCCTGAAACCAAATTTCAGAAATCCTTGTAATGAAGTTCCTGAGAATGATGCGACGAAAAATATTCATGGGACGGACGGACTGACAGACAGAGGTAAAACAGTATACCCCCACTTTTTTTAAAGCGGGGGTATAATAAATAATGCTGAATTCAGATTATTGTGAATTCAGAAACTGTTGTGAGCACTTATCATTGAGATTCAAGAACCCCAGCAAATATGCATTCTTAAATTTTTTGCCATTACCCAGACCCCCAGTTTTTTATATTGAGTTTTGTTAGTCGTAGGTCAAAGTTATTCACAAACATTTTGTATTGAATCATTGATCAAATGACTTACAATTCTATTTCTGTATTAATTAAATGAAAGAGAATACTTATTTCTCGACCTGTAATACATGTAATGGGGATATAGAAATGACAAACAGAATTTCAAAGATTTATATTTAATGCTAACTTTGGAGATCTAGCAATTTGTCTGAACACTTGTCATGTGAATGATAATTTCTAATTACTACATGTTTAAAAAAAAAAAAGATCACAAGAACCTTAAATCACCAAGTTATCATCTTAAAACTTAGACATTTTCTCTCCTTGTCACAATCCTAAAAATCTTTCAACATATAAAGCCATACATATAATTTTTCTGATAAAAATGGGGGAAGCACTTTTTTCTCTCTCTCTGAATTTATATATTAATGTAGAGCAGCCTAAAATATGCAGGGGAAAACCATGTTAATTTCGAATTGGAATGAGCAATTACTGCTTATAACTGAAAATTTCTGTCAAGAGTAGATTAAAAATGAGAGAGAAAATCAAGAAAAAATAAGAGGGGATAAATTGGAATTTAATATGAAATAAAGAGTTGCGCCATGAGCGTATGATACACCCGTCGCTTTTTCAAAGAATAAAGTTCCATAACTCCTCAATGTCATAATTATCAGAAATTTATATACAGCCGATTTCAATGAGTGTGTAGGTAAAGGTAATATCTTTGGTTAGCTTGCTTGTTAGCTGAACCATGAAGTCATTATTAGGTCTGGTATACTACCCTCCTTGAGAAGTAGACTAGTACAACAGACAGATAGATTGGTTATCTGTTGGACTAGTCTACTCTTAAGGGAGGGTAGTTTACCTAACCTAGTAATGACTTCACGGTTCAGCTAGCAAGCAAGCTAACCAAAGATATTACCTTTGCCTACACACTCATTGAAATCGGCTGTAAAACTAAAGGGAGGTTATTTTAATAGATATAAACCAGTCACCAAAGTTTCATGAAAACTGCTCAAAGCATTTTTGAGTTATTGTCCGAAAACTGGAAAATCCCCCTTTTTTGATGAATAAAAAAACTGTGAGTCAGAACCAAAAAAATTTATTTGGTCACTTTGGTGTGACTGCAAAATCAATACATTTTATAATCAATTCAATCTGGTTATATCAAATAAATTGTTAAGTTGCAATGTAAGCTTTGCCAAATTTTACCTGAAAACAGTGCTAAGAATCCCTGTGTTCGACTGTTGATAACATCAATCTCATGCAAAGTCACTGTATGTACAACCTCTTTCCTCTTCTGTAATTCACCCTCAGGACATTGTACAAACTTTGTCTGTAAAAAATATAACATATACGTTTTCAAATAATTAATGTCATCAAAATTTGGTAGGTATATTTTTGGAAAACTTCCTACCATGATTTTATGACTACTGTGGTATTACAGACTTCTCTTCATTCTTGATATCCTTAACATAACAGCATATTTTCTTTACATAATGGAATCTAAATAAGTACACTGAAAATACTGGCTATTGAAAGATATCTGTGATATGAAGAAAATGGATTATCATGTTTATCAAAACTTAAAAACAATGATGCTTGTGTAGAACAAGTATCCGGGTTATAAATGTTCACTAAATGTTAATAAAATGGTAAAATTGCTGTTCTAAATATCTCTTTAAAGGCCACAGTTTTATGTAAAGAAAAATCCTTTCAAATATTGAATGCTTTTATTCAATTTTTTTGTTCAACACATGCCAATTCAGACAAATATTATTTCATAGTTGAAGGGTTGACAAATTGGGGTATGCAATTTCTTAAAACTATAATTTTTCAAACTAGTTTTTCATGTCCAATAAAATATCAAATTTTCTTTAGTTTTGAAAATTTCTTGATCATTTTTACCAGAAGTTACTTGTTTTGCTACAATTATGAGCCTTTATCTATATCTTCTGCAAACCATGTCATTTCCTTAAAATATGCCAACACAAAACCATTAACAGTGCTAGATTATTACGCAAAGTCTATTTTTTTTTATAGCTTAATACTTTGTATTGATATAAAGTATTGGGATTCTTTGTGCTAGTAAATACTAAATGTCAATCATCCTCCTAGTTAATACCACATCTAGCAAAGTAAAGTTCAAACTGTATACCAACCTGTGCACCCATAGCATCATAATCTCTGGCTCTTGTGAAGGAACGACCAAGTTTTGTAATTTTCCCTGTGGCTTTATCTATTGTGATGATATCCCTATTAAACAAACATTTTCTTCAATGTGAAAACAGAAATATCTACAAGAACTTACAGTAATATACCATAAGGAAAATTGAATATTATATATAAAAGTAAGATGATGTGGTATGATTGCCAATGAGACAACTCTCAACCCAAGACAAAATGGTGTAGAAGTCACGGTATGGCCTTCATCAATGAGCAATACCCATACTGATAGTGATGCATATTAATAACAGTGACCTATAGTAGCTTACATCCACATCATTTGGTTATTGGTCAATAGTTGTCTCATTGGTAATTATACCACATATTATTATTCATATATTGACAAATAAAAAATGTCTATCGTGCAAATTCAGATTCTAATGTGTATATTTTTCGTTTTAATCAACAAGCGACAATAATGTGAGGTTAATGTGATTTCAATACATGTTGTAGTAGAATAAATCCAAAATATCAATAATATTAACCCAGCTGATACTTTTTCTTTTGTAAGAGATTCAATCATTTTCTGTCCAAGATCATATATTGTTTCCATTTCTGTTGTTTTTAAGGTTAACTTTCCAACTTTTGCTCCCTACAAGAAAAAAACAGTTTAGTATTTCCTTTTTGAGGATAATAGAAAAGCAAATACAGGTAAAAAATAAAGAATCTATCAAAGTGTATACACATTAGCACAATAAAACTTGCTATGTATTCAGCTTCAGTTATCTCACATAAACAGAGAAACAACAACTGTCCATTTGGTCCTTTGATCAGAAAAAATTAAAACCTGACTGAGTAGCCCAACTTTTCATCCATGTACCTCTATCATATTTATTATTCTCTGTTCAAAAAGGGTTTAGTTCTTAATAATCAGAATCAAGAACTAAAAACCTGTTGTATGGTATATCATAATACTCAATTTAAAGCAAAATTGTAGAAAAAAATGGCATGTCTTACTAGAGACAGACTGCTTCCAACATAAATATCCCATTAAACTTTGTTACAAGAGATATTACGATGATCACCTCAGCATGTGTGAGGTATTATTATAAGTTTTTGAAAAGGAAATGGAATAAAATTGCAGAATTTTTATGCAGCTTTATATACAGAATAGTATATGTATATACTAACTGTTCCTGTAGCAGGTCTGTCTATTTGTATTTCCACAACTTCTCCTTCAATAATTTCTGTTTCTTCCCTGAAAAAAAAAACCCATATTTAAATCCATAGTTAATAAGCAGTTTAAATTACTTGTTTACATATACTTATTCAATTTTTCCCATTTCATTTATCTCCCCTACATATCTAACTTTTTCATTTAATAAACTGTGAAGTTTTTAAGCTTTTATAAATTTGATTATAGATCTTAAACTTATTTCTTTAATATCAAACTGTTATCAAAATATTACCTGTTTTGTTTATAGAAAGCATTGAGAAATTTCTTATCGTTAATATTTTAAAAATTAAAAAATAGGTGAAAATTAATGTAGCATATCAATGTAGTTGTAACTTGGATTGCAAAATAAATGGTAATTATGAACAGTGAAATCTTAAAATTAGACAAAGGAATTCAATTTATGAGCAGGACATTTCTTTAAATGAAGACATTAATATCTTTTAAAATTATTCTTTTTATTTTTAATCAAATCCTTTTTTCTAAAGAGATTTTTTTTAGGGGAGACAACTCAGATAATTTTAAATCATAAGAGAACAGTTAATGAATTCTACTTTGTTATATAGCAAGACAAAGCGTACAGTGTTTTTCTTCCTCAAATTATTAAATGCTATATTGTATTTCATATTCCAATTACAAAGTTTTCTCTTTGGTCACATAATAATGGTGTTTCCCTGTATAATCCTTACACAATATGAGAATGTTGCACAACCTGCAGTTTGAAAACAAACTTACTGATATAAACTACATTTTGACAAAGTATAAAAAAATATCTCAATTTATCATTGGGATTTCCTTAAATTCTACAAGTGTAAAATGTTATCAAAATTCTAAACATGAGTTAATTTTGCAAATCCTTATCCTGTTAAAATGTTTGCAATACTAAAAACATTGAATACATTTTGAATTTACAGTTTTTTTGATTTTAATATCTTAAAAGATATAATTCTAAGAATGTTTTGGTCCTGTCAGTTACTCATTTTTGACTTTTAAAATTTGACTTGTTCTACCTAAAGCACAGAAATTGGCTGTGAATAAAACAATGAATAAACAAGTTCCGATTACTTTAAAATTTCATTTTGTATTTTTGATACTGGCTCAAAATAATGATTGATGTTGTGAACAATGCCTTATTCAGAACAATCAATTTAATAAACTATTCATTTGTCTCTACATAGACTTACTTAATTCGGACTCCTATAGACTTTCTGAAAGCCTGTGTAAGAGCTTCTGTTTTACTCATTTCAAGGGAGAATATTTCACTACCAGCAATACTAGTAAATGGAGTATCTGTTCCAAGTGCTTGAGCCATTCCTGAAATAATGTAAATATAAACATATAATTATACACATGAACAGGTTACGATCTATTCCATTAAAGCATAATTGGTTCAGATGTGCAAGCGTCTACATGTTTCTACAGATAACTAATACTTTTCAACAATGTCTTCTTTGGGAATTGTATGACAATTTTTTATATGAATTTATGGATTAATGCATGTAATAATTGAATGATGTATAAAGACACTTGCCCTTTACAACCACCACTGCTAAACTGTTGACCAAATATGAATCTGTTTAATAGTACTGGAGACATTTGTGACAATTTTTTTTAAAGTCCATTCAACATATTGTAAAATTTTCAAAGTTCAGGCAGACATAGCTTTGAAAAGTGCTTACACATTAAACTCATCAACTTCAATGATAATAAAACAATTACAAACGAAAGTGAACCAACGCCTGGTGAGTCTGTAGTGAGTTAGAGTCCCTGAAGTGGATACCTCGGGTATGCAGGGTCGTTATGATGAAACACAATAATGTAGAAAGTCTTATAACAACAACACTGGAGGGACTGCTGCAGAAAATTTATTGATCGACATGTTTCGGTGCCTAGGGCACCGTCATCAGGATACAAATAATACATTGAACATACTTAAGTGTACAATCGGGTTGTCTTGTGACAACGTCATAGTATAGTAGTTGTTATGAAAGGGAAGTAATAGTGAAAGTATTAATAGAAAATGTATATAAATAGATTGTCAACATGAAAATGAAAGTAAATTAAAATTGTTTGTATATCAACTCTGTGTTATTATTGTCTCAGCTAAAAATGTTATAAATAGAATGTACAAACACATGTCTGTCCCATAGTTCTTCCGGTAGCTCATCTAAACATATGGTTTCATCACTGCTGCTTGTTGTCAGGTCTATGTAGTCTTCCTGAGTAAGGTCCATGACATAACCGTAATCGTTTGTTATGTATTGCGGAGTGTTATTTAAAGAAGAGTCGGAATCCGACAGGTACAGGTCTTGTTCCAAATCACTTGTTGAGGGTTTTTTCGGTTTTGAGGTGGATGATTGGTGATACTCATACGGTGATTTAGCTGGTATTGTCCTGAATGTAGGTGTTTTCCCGTTCCATTCTTTATTCTGTACGGCTTCAAATGGTGGTCTCCATTTTTCTATTGCTTTGGCCATTTCACGAGGATTTTGTTGGAAGCTATTATAATCTTCTCTGGCTTTATCTGGGTGTTTTGATTTAAGGTGTGTTACGGCATTTGATTTTCTAGTGAAGGTTGCAACACAATGTTTGCATTCAAACATTGTTGCGACTGGTTCGTGGCGTTCCTTATGGTGTCTTCGTAAAGTAGAAATACTGCAGAAAGTTTTCGGGCATTTTTTGCAATTAAATCGTCTTGTGAAAGTTCCTGTAGTTTCTTTTCTTTTGGTAATCTTCGTATTAGCCATATCGTCTGTTAAGGCCCCAGGGTTCGGTGCTTCCAAATTTATGTATAAGAGCTTCTTCCGTTCTTAGTCTGACGTTTATGTTTTGTTCTGTGGTTGTTATGCCTGTTATGGTGACGTCGTGTTTATTGTGACCATTTGAGGTGAAGTGTTTCGAGACTGGTTTTGTATTATTCTCAGTGTTGATGTCCTGTAGATGTCCCCTGAATCTTTCTTTTAGGCTATTTCCCGTTTGACCAATGTATTGTTTTTTGCATTGTTTGCATTCTATTAAATACACCACACTTTCTGTGTTGCATGTAATTTCGTGTTTAATATCTATTTGGTAACTGTTTACGGTACTTTTTGCACTTTCTGCGGTTTTCATTAATCTACAGAGATAGCAATTCTTTCCGCAAGGGTGGCTACCCTTACGGGTTTGTTTGCGTACAATTTCGGTTTTTACTAGTATTTGTTTGATTGATAAGGCTCGTCTATATGAAACAATGAGTTTTTGTTTCGCGAGGGTTTGAGTTTCAGGAGTTCTTTTGAGGATATCTTTCCTCTGGTTGATGGTTCCGTTAAGATTTTTTATTTTTGGATGGTAGTTGATTACTAATGGAATCATATCTGGCTTCACGGGTTGGTCAGTTTCCTTTGGTTTTAACAAATCATTTCGATTTAACGACTTTGCTTTTGAAATTGCAGAATCGACAACCTGTCGGGGATAACCCCGAGTCAGGAGATGTTCTTTCAGACGGTTTGTGTGAAATTCGAAATCATTGATTTCTGTACAAATTCGTCTTATTCTCAGTGCTTGACTGAATGGAATACTTTCTTTTTGGTGTTTCGGGTGGCATGAGTTGTAATGTAAGAAGAGGTGCGCATCTGTTGGTTTTGTGTATAGAGTTGTGTGGAGTTTTCCTTGGTTATTAACTACCGTTGTATCTAGGAAATCGACCTTTTCTGTACTTATGTGGCTTGTGAATTTTATACTAGGATGGAATTGGTTGAGGGCACTGATGAATGATAATAAAAGTTTAACAAATTCTCCTCTAAAATCTTCTTTTGTGAACTAATAATACCAACCCATAGCTATGGCTGTCTTGCCTGTACCAGGATGACCAGCTATCAGTATGGCACGTCCTGCTATTTTGCCCTCCTACAAATATAAAAATATTGTTAATTGTGGCGTATTCATAAACATGTTTTCCTGTTGAGACTGTAAGAACACTATGGATGTATCTTAAAAACATTGATGAACTCCACTCAACAGCAATAATGATTTTAGAAAATGATCAACATAGACAGCAATAATGAAATATTTATTTATTACAATGAGGTTACAAGAAATAGACTTAAATGTAAAATTAATCAAAGTCAAACAACAATAAAATGTATGTTATGGTGACTTAAAATAAATTTGCAGTGCTTTCCATAAACTTTTAAGTAGTAGGCTTATTTCATTAACAAAGACAGGACAGGCTGGGCAGCATCAATAGGTAATTTTTTATTTATAACTTTTAAAACAAAAAAAATAATCAAGAATTAAATGGCTATTTAGCTGTCTACCAGCTTTTGAGGGAAATACTCAAGTTCAACAGTATTGTGCTTAGAAGTGATTTGTAATAGTAAAACACTAATAAATTACAGTCACTCAACTATAAAATATAGACAACAAAAAATGAGTTGATTACAGGAGTCAAATATCAGAGATATACTATCAAATATGGACTTAATCTAAAACTTATTCATTGTCGTTCAAGTTTGGTTCATGTTTTCTACTGAAAAAAAGGACTCTTCTTTCACTACTTCATGTTTATTTCTTGAAAAAGTTACCTTAATTATTTCCAAAATAACACCAGCAGCTCTTCTGGCATCAACTTGTCCAACCATTCCCTGGGACACATTTCTGGCTTCAAGTGCATCATCTAAACCAAGTCCTCTGATGTGTGAATGTGCTCCTACATTGAAGTAGATAAAAATAAAATAATAACATCTAAAAAATGAACATACATGACATAATGAAGTCTGTACCTGTGCCCACATTCTTTGTTGGCCTATCTACATAAATACCAATTGGCTAATTGTTCTGCTGAATTTTCTTGTGTTAACTTAAATGATCTTTTTGTATTACTTTTTTCTGTGTTATAAATTCATATACCAATGGACAATACATGTTTAATCCTAAAATTTTGATTACAAACAACAATGTCATCATGGTCATAATATAAACTGTTAACACAGAGATATGTCTCGTCTTTTTGTGTAATTTTGATAATGCAAATGTTGAAATTTAAGTAGCAATACTTTCACATGTACAATGTAAGTTATGCAAATATTCAAAGTCAATGAACCATGACTGAAGGTACATGGCTAAACAATCTCCATGGAAATGAGATGGGCCAATGCTAATACATCTGCATACCAAATACCATTGACTTATTAAATCTTTCCCTTTAAACAAACCTAAACACAAACAATATCTTGTAAACTATGTAAAAGTTTCAAAGTCAATGAACCATGATGAGGGGTGGGGCTATATAATCTCCATGGAAACGAGACTTGCAAATGCCAATAAATTTGCATACCAAATTTCATTGACATAACATTTGCTGTTCATCTTAAACTGAACTAATCACAAACTAATACATGTAAACTAAGCAAAAAGTTTCAAGGTCAATAGACCATGACTGAGGGGGTGGGGCCAAATATTCTCCATTGAAATGAGATGTGCTAATGCTTATACAACTGAACACCAATTAATATTGGCCTATCACTAATGGTTCCCCATGAACTGACCTAATCACAAACTAATACATGTAAACTAAGCAAAAGTTTCAAAGTCAATAGACCATGACTGAGGGGACAGAGCCAAATAATCTCCATGAAAATGAGATATGCAAATGCTTATACAACTGCATACCAAATATCATTGACCTGCCACTTGTGGTTACCCATAAACTGACCTATTCACAAACTAATACATGTAAACTAAGTAAAAGTTTCAAAGTCAATAGACCATGACTGAGGGGGCAGGGCCAAATAATCTCCATGGAAATGAGATGTGCCAATACTAATACAACTGCATACCAAATATCATTGACCTACCACTAGGGTTCACTATAAACGAGACCTAATCACAAACTAATATATTGTTGCCGCCACTGCTGCCACCGAAACAGCATAACCAGTGTCTCGCTTTTTGACTCCATCAAGGCGAGACGAAAAACAAATACTTGGTTAGAGACCCATCGTTATGTCATTTATGCATATTGCTGATTCAAATGTATAATAAAATTTAAATCTCACTTTTTTTGTGGGGAAATGTCCATCTTTGAAAATCTTATGCATAACAAAAAAATATATGCAGATAAATAAAAATCAAAATACTCTATTTTTTGAGAGACTGAAACCCAAAACAAACATACTTTAAACTTTAAATCTGTGTAAAACAAATGCATGATTATAAGATTCTGAAGAGCAAAACAAATGTTTGGCCTTAAATTTGGAATTAACAAACATGACCTATTCCTAGTTTACCTATTCTTTCTATCCTTGTCACCTCTCTCACTTCTTTAACTGATTCTGCTGTTGGCTGCAACAAAAATATATAACAACTTATTATGCAATACAATACATCAGGGCTTCCAAAATTATTTTTAGCCAGCCGGACATTTTATAAATTATCCCGATTTTAATCCCTTAAGACTAAATAAACATAAGGCAATTATGGTAATCAATTGCCGAGTTGGACATCCCAATGATTGACATTAAAAAAAACGATATTAAACTTTCTTTGATTCAAATTCGAAGTTCTGACGTAAACTGTTAAATTGGCAGTGCATCATTCGAAGTGTGCAACATCAGCGTACTTATATCTGCCTTAGACTCGTTATTTGTGCAAAATAATGTTGTCAAAAACTTTACTTTCGTTTTTAAACCGGATGTTATCTTGACAATGGTAAAACATGGACCAGAGACGGATACGTAAATTCCGTGTACGTTTGCAAAGCATGAATGAGTGTAAGTAGCTCTTTCTACGTTATTTCTTCAAGAAAATATTCGAAATAAACATGAGATAAAGGTATCAATGACAATTTAAGCATTTTTTGCAGAAATTAGGAACTGCATAATTAAATTTCACACCTGTGCACATGCGCACACGTGTACTAGTTCAAACATGTCTCTGGTTCAAACAACGTGGTTATGACGATTTTTCATTTTCACCTTTTTAATTTTTTCATCAAATCATATTTGTAAACGTATTTCTGATAATTTAAATCTTTTTGACTAAATTAATTAGATGCAAACCGCTGAAATGTAAGAAAATAACTTTGAATAGACCGATCAATGTCCGGTTCAAAATAGTTTACCTGTCACCTGAACAGGTAAATTTCAGCTGTTCGACAACTAATTAGCCTTGATTAAAATGAAAAGGTATTAAAGTAGGGGTTGTTTTGATAGTACTTAATGATCATGTCACTTTTATGACCGGAAATGTGTGGCTGTTAAAGGCAAAAGGTTGGGTCAAAAAGATTGCGAATTATGTTAAAATGACCGTATTTTAAGAAAGCCTTGAAAACTAAAAAGTAGATGTCCGTTTCATGCTTTGCCCAGCCGGACTTTTACCGGACATTATACAAATGTCCGGAATATATGACCGTTTTGGAAGCCTTGCAATACATATTACTTCTGATCTTGTTAAAATTTTCAAAATTTCAAATTAACATGTCATTCATTGAGGTTTGGAGGCAGTCAAGTTGAACATCTCTGAACTTTAAATCCCAATACAGATTACAGGCAACAGTTCAAGTTTTAAGTTAATAATAAGTGAGGACCAAAGGGAATATTAACTGACAGTCCATTTTAATTTAAATTTGAATTTATAGAAAAATATTACATAAGTTTGTGGGAATTTGGAAACATGCTGCTTTGAATCTAAACAAACATGACAAATGCACTATTAAATGGTCTACCTTTACATAATTATGACCTTAGTTTCATATTGTTACACAAGGAACTTGCATAAAAAAGAAACATTTTTTGTTTGTTCTGAAGTTCAACATGTTTAAATTTGATTGAAATGAGCAAATACAAATCACATCCCTTAATTAGTTTTTATTATCAATTTCACCTTGTTTGGACAATAAACAATCAAGTTTTCAGCCTTTATAAAGAATTTTGGGGGCATTGAGGAGATTAGAGATACTGTGTCTTTTTCATTCTGCATTTAAGGTTGTTCCCCTATTCCACTGATAGAGATCAAGGTCATGTCACATGTACTTGAGTTGTTATTCAATATAAAATTATATCCAACTTTTATACTGATGTGCATGTGCTAAATGTAAAAGTTTTTTCCTATATTGCTCACAAAAAGAAGCAATCTTCAGGGTAAATTTTTGTATTATGTTCTAACAGTGCTTTCAGTTTTGTAAATACATGTATATGTCAAGACCGGTTGGGGCAACAAATATTTCAAAAGTGTGCGAGATTTTCCATATTTTGTCAGTTTTAGTTGATAAAACTGATGTTTTGAACAGATATATCATGTTAAGGAGGGGTATTTGCGAAAAATACCAGTCAAGAGAATGTTTAATTTCGCAAGCCGTAAGGCGAGGGAAATTCATTCTCAAGACTGGTATTTTTCGCAAATACCCCTGAAGAACATGCTATATCTGTTTAATTACACCGAATGTTAACGTACAAAATGCATTGATGATCGTGACGTTACAAGCGTCCAGTCGGATAGAGTATTTTTTGGCAAATACCACGGCAGAGAGGGTAAAAAAGGCATATCCTTTTTGCATATACCCCGGCACTGTTTAAAAATGAACGATATTCATTTGATAAAAGTAAATTGGTGAAAAATACACTGGCTATCAACCAATCAAAACCCAGGATTCTTACATAAGGTGTAATTAGTTGGAAAAAGACAACTGTATGTTATCAATAATCAACTTCTATGGCAGTCTGTGTCAAACTGCTTGAGTTTCCGTCTGACATTCCTTCCAACAGTCATGTCATATACATGTACATATACCTCTTACCCATAAGATTTTTGTAGGACCGAAATTTTTTTGTCTGGCTAAATTGAACTTTCTATTTCAGAACTGTTCTAGCAAAACTTTCCATGTTACAGCTTTGAATTGTAAATAATTTGTTCAATAGTATATTTAGCCCTATTCTACCATATCGATTCCCTAACTATTTCATAAAATGACCTAACAATAGGCCCTTTCATGGTTATTGCAGCCATGTTGGATAGAGGGCAGATTTTCATAATGGAGTTAAAAACAGTTTGAAAAATACAGGAACACATCATTGAAACAGAACAGTTGCTTGGAAACATGCATAGGATTTCCTGCACTTTCATACTATTTCCCCCTCTATCAAAAAAATCTGCTCCCTATTCAATATAGCTGCATTAACCGTGAAGGGGCCTATTGGAATTTTATATACTAATGATAACCTTTAGCTACTGCCATCTTGACTCAAAACCAGATGTATAATGAAAAAAATACAATTGCTGGTGAAATAAGATTTTCCAGACTCATGCAAGCAATGGAATAACCCTACCCGGAAACTTAGAATTTTACCAGTATTGAGGGTTTAATTACTGCTATTAAACTTGTTAAAGTACAGTGAAATATATATTGTGTCAAAATCGTCCAGCGTTTGGCACCGACTGCTATGGTTAATGTGCTCTTGTTTATAGGCGACTTTCCCGTACCAGGAAGAAGAAATGCCAATTTCTAGTGACATGGGAAATGCTAGCATTGTCAATAGAAAAATTCAAGATGAAATAGTGGATAATGAAGTTTGAATAATTAATCAATGTGTATTGTTGATGCTGGTAGCTTTTCAGACTATTCATTTTACACCGTTTTGCTATGCAATAGCGAATTTATGAATGTACCATGGGCTAGAGGCCTGTTTTTTTGTACAGTAAAATTGATTAGATAATTTTTCTATTCATTTTTGAACTAAAAAATATTTGGAAAAGGCTACATTTTTTTACAAAAGGATATTGCAATTACACGTCCTCTTAGACATATCTATTTGGTTATCTTTGAAAATGACTTTTTCAGCAAATGTTTGGTAATTACTCAAGCTAATACTTGTTTTCTTTCACTTTTCGCTTTTTGTTTTTGTTGACAACAAACACGTGGGAGCCGTCACCTCATCGATTGGGAAAGAAAAGAAACTTTCAATGTTAATACACATCTAGGCGTCTAGTTTAAGAATTTCTGAATCTTTCTTTGTATTAATCATGCTGTGTTTACAGTAAAAAGGAGTTGATTTATCTCGAAAAAAAGAAAAATGCGACTTACGACTGCCATTGCCGGTGTTTGTAGCGCCCTCTATAGAAGTACAATAATCTTCTGAGTCGACAAGAATATTCTGGAAACGGACATGTAAAAACGTGCCACTCACAAAACATTTTTATAATCTCTATGGTTTCACTCACAGGCACTTGTCTTTGATTTTTGTTAACTTAATACCTGTTATTAAAAGGTATACAGGCATTTCTTTCTAGAGACAAATGCCTGTGGTTCAATATAATTATTAGATTCTCTAAAAAAATTAATTTGTTTTGAAAATTAGAATCAATAAATTACATATGACCTTTGAAAAAAATCCTGTACCTGTTTTATTGTTAAAATTCATAGTTTTCATTTCAGCATGCAAAGTAAACTATACCATTTAGTCAAATCAGAATATGGTTTTTTCCTCAAAAAATATTCTGATCCCCAATTTGTTCAAAAAAAATATTGTGGTCAAGCAGATGACAAAAAAAAAATTCTGAATCCAGATTTTCCCCATACCTTATAGTGTTAAATTTTGAAAAAAATAATTTGATTGATAGCGTTGAAAAACTAAAAAAAAAATGTTCACGAATTGCGTGAAAATTTTTTTCTGACTCAGAAAAAAAACCATAACCCCCCCTTGAAGTTAAATGCTGGCTCCCTTAGAGACAAAGAGAAACTTAAAACATGAAAAAAAATCAGAAATACAAGAGCAGTCCACAAGGTTGAAATCCTGGACAATTTCTTAGGAGGAGTTTTGGCACTTTTAGTGATATGAGGTTTTGCTTGTAATTAAATTACATTTTTTTTTCATTTTTTGATTTATCTTGAATTCATTAATGGCATGACAAGACTCTGTTCATCAAAAATGAACAAGGCAAGATTTTGGCCCCCAGTTTTTATTCAACACTAATATTGTTCACATTGTAAGCGTTTTATGCAACAATACCAAGTGAGCAGCATGGAATCCATGGAGCCTCAAGTTTTAACTCTTTGTAACATCCCTCTGTTTATTGAATAACAGAAGACCCTGATTATCTAATTGCAAGACATGATGTAACTGATTATATGAAGAAAATTTATGTTACCATGACAACAATTCAATAAGAAATGAAATTCCAGGTGAGGAATACCGACTTGGCACTCTACTTTCAATTAAGGACTAATTTCAAAGATTAATAGTGTATCTATACCAAAAAATATGGTCAGTTTTTGGCTTAACACCAAGATCTTTCAAGTGATTCTAATTAATGTTGAAGTACCTAGAAAATCAAGGAACTGGGAAATTCTTGAAATAGAAAGGCTTTTTGCTCTTCAATGAATTATGTATTGTGATGAAATCTCAAATCCTGCAAAAGATGTAACTGGTGTATCTTGGTTATGATTAGGAGCTTGCATGAACAAGTCTTCAGTGAGCAGTGATGTATGTTTTTGATTATCAGATCAGATGATTCTTTACTGATTTTTAGTGGTCTCTGAAATGTACTGTCATGATCTTACAGCAAAAGTTAACAAGATTTTACTGAGTTTTTATCTAATGTCCAAGATACATTTAAAGAATAATAATTAATTACGTTTTGAATCTGCATCATAGCTGTGACCTGAACATGCTGAATACTCTTTTCTTCATTTCGAAGTTCTGTAATGGTTCTCTAATATCATGCAGAGAATGATAGACTGTTCTAGTAAAGTTGCAGACTATATGAATTCCTCTAGACATCCATTCCAAATATTGATAAAGCAGTATTGTTGGGTTACTGTCTCATTGATGTTTGTTAAATAAAAAATTTCCTATATAATGTAAATTCAGAAGTTTATGTGATTTTTGTAGATTAAACAAGAATGTGTCCATAGTACACAGATGCCCCACTCGCACTATCATTTTCTATGTTCAGTGGACTGTGAAATTGGGGTAAAAACTCTTAATTTGGCATTAAAATTAGAAAGATCATATCATAGGGAACATGTGTACTAAGTTTCAAGTTGATTGGACTTCAACTTCATCAAAAACTACCTTGACCAAAAACTTTAATCTGAAGCGGGCACTATCATTTTCTATGTTCAGTGGACCGTGAAATTGGGGGTCAAAACTGTAATTTGGCATTAAAATTAGAAAGATCATATCATAGGGAACGTGTGTACTAAGTTTCAAGTTGATTGGACTTTAACTTCATCAAAAACTACCTTGAACAAAAACTTTAACCTGAAGCGGGACAGATGGACGAACTGACGGACGCACAGACCGAAAAACATAATGCCCCTAGGTGGGGCATAAAAAAAATAAAAGCTCAGATTTTAAAAGATATTCATCTATTTCACCTGTGGTCTTTGTTGGTCTACTGTCTAATGTGTAATTATACCCCTGCTCCCATAAAAGTTTGGTCACTTTTTTCCCAGGAACTGCAAATCAGAGCTTCCTGAAATTTGGTATCAAGCTACATGTAAGCAAGCTATACTGTGTGATGCATTTTCGGATTCGTCAATCATCAACCTCCTGTTCATCAAAAACTTATATATTCTTGCACATGATAGTCATACATATAATGTTGGTCAGGTTTTTCTCAGGAACTACAAACATCGCTTCCTATCATTTGGTAACAAGCTTCATGTAAGCAGGCTATACAATGTGAGTGTTTTAGTATTCATCACTCATCAATTCCTGTTTACCAATTTATATTTATAATGAGGGAATTGTGGGTGAGCAAAAGGGCACAGTTCAAATTGTTCTACTAAATGGCTTTTTTTGATGCCCTGAATTTCTTTTTCATATCAATAAACAAAGTTTTGTCAGACTTTCTTTAATGTGCTAATACCATCCAAAAGCACTGCATGATGTATAAATTATTGTGTACCGGTACATACAAAAATAATATAATATAATTATAAATAACAAAATAATAAATCATAAATACAAAATATATTAAATAATTTCATTTACAAATTTGAATCATCTATACATATGAATAATGCATATAAATTAACAGACATAAAGGTTTTTTAAAATCCCATACTCAATATACTACCGCCAAGATTCACAACAGAAAACTTTAAAACATAAGAATTTGTGTGTTTTTGCTCGTCACAGCACTTTCACAGGTTTATAATTGTCATGGTGTTAACACTTTTACGGTATTCAACTTGAAATAACCAAGTGCTTTGAATCAACCCAAATTATGAGTTTACTATAGTATGGAGAACAATATCAAGGAAAATTATGGCTACTGATAGTAGGTTTAAACATAAAGTAACAATAAACAGTGCTGATCAAAGAAACTAAACAAAAGAAAAAAACAAGGTCTCACATAACCAGTAAAATTGTTTGATTAAAAAGAAATGTAACCCTGAAGAAATAATTCTTAATTTAATCATACATTTTTTGGGGACCAAAGTTCTATTCTTATTCAGGAAAAATTGTTATTTAAACTGCCAATTCATGGTATTTGAATTTTCATACCATATTTCAGCAGCTAAATTTTAAACTACATTTTAAATTTGAAAGAAAAAGTGGGTACAGCACAGTTAATTATAAAATTTTGCACAGACATTACAACAAGGCATTGAAATTTTACCATAATCTGGCAAATGAGGCATTTTAAACAGCAATGCAAACAACACTCATTATACACATAGTTCTTGAAATGTTTTTTTCCTGGTGGTCCTTGAAGATTGCAAAATATCAAAATTTTGTTGGTCCTTTGCAAAATTCTGGTGGTCAAAACTTCCGAACCACCACTTTTGAGAACTCTGTATACATCTAACAAAATATTGAATTATAACAATCAATCTTTTTTTACTTTTTGTATCAAGTGCAAAATATAAAGCATAAGACATAAGTAGCATACTCATACGTATACTTGACATTTTCATTATGTATTTGAACGGTTTGAGCAAATAATGCACTACTTCACTAACTATTCAATTTCACAGTTGTAAATTATTTGTTATGTAACAATAAAAGCCAATATCAATCTGATTTCTGTTTATTTGGACTTTTGAATGTCGAAAATGGGGGATAACTCATCACTTTTTAAAATTTAATTGAATTACTTCTGGATTGGTAAAAATTTATCAATTGTTTTATTTGTAGATTCTGATAAATGAATAAGCCAGCAAAATTGGTGAGGAATATTTACCTCCACTGGAACATTGAGACAATTCAGAAGAATAAGAAGTTCTGCCTTTAAATAATAAAACAGATCTCTTGTGGACCCCTTCATAGGGCTTTTAACCTCTCCACAGTGTGGTAGTATCAGTTCATGGGCTTAGGACTTAATATTCCAAGTCCAACCAGACGTAAAATGATAAGAATGCATATAATAGAATAATTTTTCTAGTTCAGTATCAAGCTATAGATAACATTTGCTCCTGTCAATCACTCAGATTTAATCGTTAATTCAAATATAAAAAAAAATCATGAACATTCCAAAACAGCACCAAATTATAAGCAAATATGAAATCAAATTTCTCTGAAAGACTGCAAGAAAAAAGTAGTGTGCCTCTATCCATGTTTACTTCATTACAGTTACATAAACATGTACTCTTTGTTTTAATTGTTATTTCATCTTCACAGTGGCAGACTTTAATAAATGAGAAGCAACACTCCTTGAACAGAAAATGGCAAAAATGTTCTAACTAACGTTCCTTGTAACACTTATTTTCCTTAGATAGAAAATGGCAAAAATTCTAAAAGTACTGTATATATACTTTTTTACACGAGTACTTATTTTCGCGATTTTGTTGTTGTCGATGAATTCGCGTGTATTTAATTTCGCGGTATTTCCAAAAATATCAGAACATAAATTACAGACTTAAAATTCATAAAATTTTCATTAATTAGGTCTTCATTTATTTAACAACATGAAACAAAATAAACAAAGATTATTCAATCATAAAATCAGTCCTGTGTTTTGATAGATGTTCAATAACCTGATTAAGTCGTTAATTACTTAATATAGCTGTGATATTTAGCTTGGGATATTATTTTTCACCTTTTGTCCTTTTATTCTTAATTAAATTTTTGTAAAAATAACTGGTGTTGTTTTAACAGTTTCACGGTTCAATTGAGGTTATCTGAAGCCAGTAAGGTGAACATGCATATACAGTTGTAAATTCCAGCGATATTTATTCCATGGTTTTTATATGCATGAAATCTGCATTAGAATTCGCATATATTTATTTTCGCGAAAATATACCTACCGCGAAATTCGTGAAAATAAATACACCGCGAAAATTAGTACATATACAGTATTGTTTTTGGTAACACTCATTTAGCAGCAAAATAAAGCTGTGCATAATACAAAAATGATAAAACTACAATATTATCTTTTTTCAAATATATTGATATTGACAATTCATAGTGCCATTCAGATTTTGGAATCTCAGTTCCTTATAATTATTTATCAATTAATATTTTTCTTGTTGCATTAAAAGTGCATCCTCTATTTAAGTAACCAATCAAATTGGCTGACACTTTTTTTATCACGAATATTTTGGTCTCCTTTTTCAAATGCAATTTGACCCAGATCTCATTCTCTCATAGTACAATTGGTCAAGGGCTGTATTATTACATCCTAAATTTGTACCCTTCTTAATTCAGTCAGACTAAATCTGTATCAATGCACCACTCGTTTATGACCCCCTCCCCATCCAATGTCATTATTTTTGTTCTGTGGATTCCTCCATGACATTTTTTCCTTTCTTTTCTGTCCTGTTGGTGCTGAACCTCCTTTTATTGGTGGCAACCTGGTATGTGCTGAAATAAACAAATGTAAGATAGATATAAAACACATATGCATTAAACATCTTTTTGAAATAGTATCTTCTTTTTCTTGTGACAAAATATTTTCTTTGTTTAAAGATAAGTGCTTCAAACTGTTTTGTTTGTATTATTTATGTTGAAACAGTTACATGAGAAATAAATAATTTTCTGTTCAATAAAATTGATGCCAATCAAAACATTTTACTGAATACAAAGCTCAATATAATAAAATCTTAGTACAATAATCTGTTACTTACAATCACTAGAACTGGCAGAAAATCTCCTTGGTTTACTGAAATCTCCCTGTATACTAACACTATCAACTGACATTAGGTCTACTGGACTGCTCTGAAAGTAAATAAGCTAATGGTGTAAGTGGTCACATGTGCACTATATTGCAATTTTGATTAAATACATAGCAATACATTATTTATAAAAGAAGAATGTGTCTGAGGACACGAATGTCGCCGCTCAAGCTTTGCAACATAAATGGGACAGATGGAAAGACGGAAGGACAGAAAGACGGAGGGACGGCCGGTCAAGGGTAACACTTAATGCCCCTGTCGCCTATGTCTGGGGCATAAAATTGAAATGTAAATTATCTCCCTTCATAATTATAAATAATCTTTTTCTTTTCATGAATTTAAGAAAAAAAATTCTTTTGTTTTCATAATAAAACATCTACATCATAGAGAATGTTCTACACAGATATGTGAAATGTATCTGAACAGGCTAGTTGGTAAACGGGATACAGATGATGTACACAAGTGTTAAATGATGTAAATTATTGACCTCGTCCAGATAAACTTTGAAATTTGAATAAAAAATAAACTCATGATCTTTGAAAATCTGCTTTCATGTTAATGTACCACCTGCTGGTGGCTGCCTGGATTATATGACAGTATCTTTATTAGAGTGTGTCTCTTGCACTGTGTGGATACAGGAAGGTCTGGAAGGGGGGTCCTTCATGTCTTTATTCTTTTATTTTTAGATCTATGATAATCTTTATATCGAAACACCCTTTTATTATCTATTTTTTATTTTTCTATGATTATTTTTTTTCTTATACTTCTGCACTTTTTGACCATTATTAGCTATTCTATAAACCCCATCCAGACCCTCATTCAGTAGAATGTATCCCAGAGATGGAGGTGTATGCTTCTATATTTTTCAGTTTATAGTTTGAGAGAAAAATACACTAATTGGACATGCCAAGAAATGATGTTCCTTTCTTGAAAATATTTATGTGGATAAATTATGTGAATAGTGCCAAGTAACTGGTATTCCTACATGGACTAACTGTGCCCCTTTTATTGCAGATGTATATTTTTACTGATATGAAACACAGTCTATAAAGAAATGAAAGACCACTTAAAAGAATTTTTAACAATAGCCGCAGATATTCAGATGCTATATTCTCTCTAAACGATACAGATTTAAAAAAAATATAAATGAAATTTGCCCACCTCAACTCATTCTAACTAAATCAAACATTAATAGGAAGCAATGTTCTTTTTTATACCTTGATATTAAAATTTCTTATAGTAATTTTCATACCAAAATTTATGATTGGCTTTTTTGAATTTTCCAGTTTGTGTTTGCAGTGGCATCTCAGAATTCAATGAAAGAAATATTTTCATCACTTAAATTTTTTCAAAAGGGTTCTAGATATCATTAATTTGTAAAAAAAATATAACTTTTCCTGCAAATATAGAGATTCATTGTGGAAATAGGATCCCAACTGCAAGAATTTAATTAAAAATGGTAGTTTGCATCCAGCTCTTTATGGTAATATCAATAAAGCTAACAATTTTGTAATATCTATTGCACAAAATTGTGTTTTCCTGTATCATTTATGATGCTGTATAAAATCTTCTATGAAGTACAGCCACTAATACAAGCATGTAGGATGGCACTATTTCTAATCAGAAGGTTAAATATTTTGACCTTGCTGTGATATATATCCTTTATTCCTGTAATACTTTATGAAGGAAAAAGTGTCTATATAGACTTAACAAATGTAGAATTACTCACAACAAGTCTGACAGCTTTTCCAGACATTAAATCAGAATCCAGCTTGGGTAAGTTACCTTCACTCCCATATCTCTGTCTTGTCCTACTCCTAAAATTAGAAATTGAATGGTTAATATGCCTACCTTGTTTTAACAGGTTCTGTAACAATCAAAATAGATTTTATCCTGTGAAAGGATATATGTTACAGATGAGCAGCTTCTACTGTAATAGTTGCACGTATTATACTGTTTAAATTGTAAATAAAGACATGTCAAGTAAAAGCACTTACATTATCAGAGCACAAACATTTCCCCTATAACTGTACAATATTCATGTATTGTTATTAGCAGTCAGTGCTTTTCTTGTACTGTTTTTATTGCATGTTCTTTTATGCGCATTTTACTGATCCAGATTAAAAATGGGGGAGGATTGAGATCTCAAACAACTTGTTTAACCTGCAGCATTTTCATGTGCCTGTCTTCAGTCGGGATTCTCCTCAGAAGTTGTTGTACGATTGTCTTGAACATGCATGAAATATTTACCACTGGATGTTAAGCAACCAACAATCAATTAATCAGTTGTTGTATGTCATATCTAAATGTTTTTTAAGTTAATTCGAGAATTTGGTTTTAGTGGCAGATCTTTGATTGTTTCTGCTAAATTTTTATAGACTTGAGATGATTTAGAGTTTGGCATATTGTTCAGACACCTGCCCATTATTGAAGACTGTATGTTGCTATCTAGTTGTCTTTTGGTTATTTTTGTCATTGGGTTCCTTTCTCTATGACATATACCCAACATCTCCTTTTATTCACAGAAGATACTAATATAACTGACCTGAAAAGGCAGCAAACTGTGAAATATTTATACACTATATACACAGGATGTATATATATTTTTAAATGAATACGAAAATTCATCTTTTCTTTAGAAACCAAAATCAACATAAAAGTGCCTTTATTTGACAATGCCAATTTTCCTAGCAAAGGAAAAGATTTTTATTTTGTGAAAGCCAATGTACCAGGTTTATTGAATTAACATACCCTTGATTATTTGTGTTGATAGAAGAATCACTGACATCATAGTCTCCCACCTGTGTATGTAACCATTCAAATGTTCTAGACACTTTCTCACTTTTCTCTATTCTTTTTTCTCTATCTGCATTATCTATTTCTTTCTGCCTCTCTGCAAATTAAATCAATGACCCTTATGTGGAAAATCTGTATATCACACACACTTCTCTACCAAGTTAAATATTTTTCAAACATCTACCAAGTTAAATATTTTTCAAACATCTTTATTTGAAACATTGCTTGAAGTGGTTAATTGTCATATAAATGTATACATAAGTGTAAAATCTAATTGAAGTACTCGAAACTGATTCTCTAACTTATCTTATGCTATTCAGTTTCCTTTTTTATTACTAGTAATAAGCCAATAGATTTGATCTTAGTACTTAAGCTCAGTGCTTTACCATATCAGGTTATTAAAGTAAACAATATAGGTACTGAGCCGATCTCTCTTTTTACCTTGAAAATATTCTTTTCTTGGAAGAATTTTTCTGTTTGGTGCCTGAACATGAGGGTAATGAGAGACTTCTTCTAGTTTTCTGAATAAGACCAATCGTTGTTTTGGATCTGTAAAGACAACATAAAACAGTCAAACAATAATAAAAAAAAAAATGAATATATAAATGATAAACTAACAATTGTTAAGTAGGTGTACTACATATTGTCAACATTAATTGATTCGTCTGCTTCTACTTTTTTCTCTTTGTATATTACAAGATTATTTGTTAAAACGGTTAAGAAATTAGAAGAAAAGACATTTGTTTTTTCTATTTAAAAAAAGTTTTGATACTTTAAAACAATGGACCCTTATTGTTATTGTAATCTTACGGTAGAGCAAGAAAATAACAGTTAGTGACTAACTGCCACACTCTAACATATATTAGTGACTAACTGCCACACTCTAACATATATTAGTGACTAACTGCCACACTCTAACATATATTTACCTAGTTTACTAAGTTTTTTTCTCCTTTCTGCATTGTATTTCATTTTCTTTGCTCTTTGCATCATTAAATGTGCTGTTTCATTGTTTTTAAAACCCCTAAAAAATAAGAAAATAGTTAAAGAAACAATTCTCATACAAACTAAAAGTACATTCTTCTTTTATTATGTTTATATTGCACAAACTATTCTCTGGAGAGAAAACCATTGCTTATCCATTCATATCAAGAACTGCTCGAGAATGATTGGGCAATTTAAATTATGATCATCACTTGTCATAATTTTGTAAAACATTATTGAATGTCCAGAACATCATTTCAGTTGTAATTTGAGATTCTCATAAACGATTGAAAATTATGTAGGACTATAAATGAAGATATCTGCCACTCACTTATTATTTAGCCGATAAAGAGCTAATTTTTATTACTATGTTTTTATAAAAGATATATCTCTTTTATAACGAGTTGGTCGTGGAAACAAACATGACAAAACACGCTACTGATCATAAGCTAACCACCCGTCGTACGTTTGCAATCAACTTATCCATCAGCTGTTTTTTACTTCTCACATTTCATTTTTTTTCAATGAATAGCAAAACATCTGCCGTTAATTCCAGACCCTTAACCTACTGAATAGTACAACTATAACAAACTATAAATGAGACAAAACAGCTGAGTGATTACTCAACATCTTCCTGACAAAATCATCGTAATATGAGAACTCAAACAGTCGCTCGATTTCCTGTTTAATCATTGACAGTACTAGTCCTTGGTTGTTTAAAAAATCTTGATATTCCTTGTGAGTTGCCATTTTTGTTTACATGTGCAACTTGTAAATCACAAATTGTCCTTATACCAAATTTGATAGCGACTTGACTTCACTATGAACTCAGTCAGCTGGCAAGTTAAGTGATTTTTAAAATTTGTTAGTGACTTAAATCATCATTTCGGTGGCAAGATTAGGACCTGATTTCTAACATTTACCATTGATGGTGGTTTAAAGGGCACTACAGTATCATACACTAGGCTATATCTATAAAAGTTATTTGATTGAATCCCTATCTGATAAAGACAATACTAAATTAATTACCACTCTTCCGATATTTTCTCTTCTTTCCTTGACTGTACTGTTCTGTGAGTATCTGTCCCACTAATGAGGGATGAAGGAGGCCTTGGATAATTTTGCTGTACTTGCACATCAGAGAGAGGTGAATCCATACCTCTCCAGGCTCTCCTTGGTTGCTGTGGAGGGTGAGGGTTGTCTCCCAGTGGTAGGGCTGGAATTTTTGGTGGTGTGGTTTTCTTTCCAGAAGGTGGTTTTCCCAACACTGGATGCCTGTAAATAAATTTTAATTAATTTAATGTCAATCAATGTTCATACTATACAGCATCTTTGTTAGATTTCTTGTGATCAATAGAGTGGACAAGTACTGTAAACATGGATATTTTCGTGGGTTGATATTTTTTCATGATCTTAATGCATAAAATTTTCACCATGGGGTTAAATCGCAAAAGAAGATTTGACATTTTTCACCATAAGACTCCAATGTAAAACTACCAGTAAGTCTCCAACTGGTGGCAATACTTTTTATCCAATCTACACCATTGAGATTCGTAAAAAGAGGATTGTTCATTAAATTTTTCACAGATTCAAATGTAAAACTTTATAGTTACAATATTGGTTTACAAACTGGCTACAAAGTTACAACACTCAGTCAGTTTCTTCAAACATGGTTGTAACTAGACCAGTGGTTAGAAATAGGACAGAATTAGGGATTTAAAAATGCAGAACAATTGAACATGGATAAATTCTCTTCTTACCTGTTTGGAATTTGTGGTGTTGATGGTGGTTTCCAGTCATCTAATATGTCCTAAAACAACAGAAACTAAAAGTGAACTAATATACAAAAGTAAACTACACAGTATAAGAAAGATATGAGGGAAATGTCAAGAATTTTGGAAAGACCATGAAATTATTAAATATGGTCAATTTTAAAATATTGTTTATTTCAAGAGCCTGAGATCCAGGTTTTAGTTGTGTACGTCAATTGATTGGAATTGTGAAATATTTCATTAATCCATGACTACTGATATATCATAAATCAAATCCTTGGTGAATCAACATTCAAAATATTATGGGATTTCTAATTATTAACCTGAGATGTGATCAGAAATTATTGCATCATGTATCTTTGCGATTTTTTAAGAATGGACAAAAATGTGAGATTAATTATTGCAATTTTAGGAAAATCTGCATACAGATATATGTATCAGATATTAGAATGCGAGTTCCTATTATTGCGTTACTCATTAAGTTGCATTATTCGCAATAATAAAAACCTCGCCATAATTTCTGAATTTACAGTAATATATAATTTTTTCATTGTTTCAATAAATACATTACCTCATTAAAGTTAAGATCATTCATATCAATCTCACCAAACTCATCGTCATCTTCAAGTTTGGCAAAATCTAAAGCTCTTTCTAATCTACATCTTACACTGTAACCTCTCCATGTGGCCTGCAATAGAAATACTGAATCAATTACTATGAAAGTTCTTTTTCTATTTCTAAAATTTTAATGGTTTGTTAATTTTTGAATTGTAAGTTTTAGACTTTACAATTATCAAATGAATAGAAAATTGACATTTTGTAGGATATTAAAAAAAAATGTTTGGATTTATGGTAGATCATTAATGCAACATGCTTCCAAGGAAGATCTAAAGTAAGATATTACGAGGATTTAGAGCTTGACAAATTGTATAAACACCTGTCTATTGTCCAATACTGAAGGTTGACCTCCAGATGTCTTGTAGTTTTTGCGTCCTTGGATTGCTGTATCATAGACGTATACTTCACATCATATATAGTCTCAAATTTATGTCATTCTGTCACATTGTAGATGGCAAAATAATTATGTTCTTGAGAATTTTTTTGGTTAAAAACTTGATATACAATATATACTTTGGAATGCATTGTGATGATTTATATGCAAGAAAAACAAATCTGATGTCAATAGAAAACTTGTCTATTGGGGAAAATTTTGATTGTAAAATTTGACAATATCTTTAGTTAGTTGGATTTTTCAAATATCAATCATTCCCTTTTGCATAAAACATTAATTAATTGACACTGCAAGTGAATAAATCCTCACCTGTATTTTAATGGCAGCATTATGAAGTTCCAGTAAGACGGCCATATCAAAGCTTTGATCCTGTACAAGCTGTTCATACCATCTCCTTACTGTATATCCTCTCCATGCTGACTGTATCTTTACTGCTGCTTCATTTCTTCTGTGTAATCTGTAGTATAGTTTCATACAAAATAAATAGTTTTGTTTTTTTGTTATATTAAGAGTAATACTGTACAAGAGCTTTCCGCATTTCTAACTTATTTCATATCAGTCAGAGAATACATTTTATTAACTTTGGCTAATATTTATCAGTATTTTGCCCCTATTACAATTTCATGAGTAAATTAAAATGAAACCAGGCAAGAGTTTCATAAAATTTTGTTTGATCTTCAACCAGTAAAAGTTTGAATAGTATGTACATGTATATGATATACTACTGCTCACAAGTTGCACAAACTTTTGTGAAATGCAGGCCTGGAGTCATACACTTTTAATTTGATAATTCATAGATTGAAAATTATGATATTATCTTTGATCTTTGATTGTATTGGTTCATTTTTAATACTTTATTATTTTCAAAACCCAATTATATCAATTCTAATTGGAAAATTTCAGAGTTTTGTACTTCAAAGTAGATCTTTAAGACACCTTGTATATCATTGGAGTCTATTTATCGATAAATATAAAATAATAGCATTTTTGTTTTTGATACTGACTTTATCAGCAAGAATATCAAGCTGATGAAGTCAGTATAAAAAAAATAAAATGCCATTACTCTTTTTATCGGAAAATTGTCTTAACAATATGCTTTTTGGTTGAGAATATGAAATTAAATGAAATTGTTAGAAAATTAATTTTTACGCATACAAATCGTTGTGATAATTGTTTCAGGATATGAATGAAGTTGGGTGCATTTCATTGATAAATTGACACAGATGGACATGAACATGTGACGTTGCTGCACTGACACATGACGTCATTGCCAAATATTTTCAAGTATCAGGTCCTTTATATGATCTACAAACTATTAGGCAGTAAGATGAAAGGAAAAATGTACAAATTGCTGATAAAATCATAAACTGTTAACACAGAGATATGTCTTGCCTTTTTGTAATTTTGATAATGCAAATGTTGAAATTAAAATAGCAATACTTTAACATGTAAGTTATGCAAATATTCAAAATCAATGAACCATGACTGAAGGTACATGGCAAAAAAATCTCCATGGAAATGGGATGTGCCAATGCTAATACAAATGCATACCAAATACCATAGACTTATCATAAGTCGTTCCCTTTCAACAAAAATTAACACAAAAATTAACTTGCAAATTATGTAAAAGTTTCAAAGTCAATGAACCATGATGAGGGGGTGGGGCTATATAATCTCCATGGAAATGAGACTTGCAAATGCCAATAAATTTGCTTACCAAATATCATTGACTTAACATTAGCGGTCCATCTTAAACTGATCTAATTATAAACTAATACATGTAAACTAAGCTAAAGTTTCAAAGTCAATAGACCATGACTGAGGGGGCGGGACCAAATATTCTCCATGGAAATGAAATATGCCAATGTTTATACAACTGCATACCAAATATCATTGTTATCACTAGTGGTTCCCCATGAACTGACCTAATCACAAACTAAAACATGTAAACTAAGCAAAAGTTTTAAAGTCAATAGACCATGACTGAGGGGGCAGAGCCAAATAATCTCCATAGAAAAATGATATGCCAATGCTTATACAATTGCATGCCAAATATCATTGACTTACCACTAGTGGTTCCCCATAAACTGACCTAATCACAAACTAATACAAGTAAACTAAGCAAATGTTTTAAAGTCAATAGACCATGATTGAGGGGGCAGGGCCAAATAATCTCCATGGAAATGAGATGTGCCAGTGTTAATACAACTGCATACCAAATATCATTGATCAACCACTAGTGGTTCACCTTAAACTAGACCTAATCACAAACTAATACATTGTGTTATGTTGCCGCCGCCGGAAACAGCATACCTATGTCTCGTTTTTTTACTCCGTCAAGGCGAGGCAAAAATGATGACTATTATTGTCACTTTGACATTTACCACCACAACACTTTTTTTTTCAAATTTACGATTTGTTTTGAATGTGCATATAACTAAAACTATAATTACTTTTCTTTATTTTAATAATAAGTAAACCTACTTCTTATGACTAGTAGTATCATCCACAAGAATATTCTGAACAATTTTGGCAGTAATCACTGGTTTCACCACCGCCACATTATCTCCCCTGACTAGACCATTTGAACCACTACTTTTACTACCTCCATCATGAAGAGCTTTTTCAAACATTTCCTTAGGGCTCATAAAAGAGTCTTGTACCACTTTATTTGCTCTTGCTGATCGTGGCCTTCCAGATTTTGGAGTGGACGGTGCTGTTGGTTGTGCTATTGACATTTCACCGTACTCATGAGCATATCGATTGTCTTCTGCCATCTTATGAGTTTTATCACAGAATTTAAAATAAATATCACAAAGTTCTGATAAATTTGATGAATCTAAATGCGATCTGCAAAGAAAGAAGTAAAATTGTTATTTATACAAGAAAGACTTATCAACTCTAGAAAAGGCTTTCTGATTGGGTCAGCACTCAACCTCTCAAGTCCCCTATTTTGATTTGTAGAAAAAATAAACTGTTATCACAGAGATATGTCTCGCCTTTTTGTAATTTTGATAATGCAAATGTTGAAATTAAAATAGCAATACTTTAACATGTAAGTTATGCAAATATTCAAAGTTGATGAACCATGACTGAAGGTACATGGCTAAACAATCTCCATGGAATGAGATGTGCCAATGCTAATACAACTGCATACCAAATACCATTGACTTATTATAAGTCGTTCCCTTTAAACAAACCTAAACACAAACATTAACTTGTAAACTATGTAAAAGTTTCAAAGTCAATGAACCATGATCAGGGGTGGGGCTATATAATCTCAATGGAAACGATACTTGCTAATGCTAATAAATTTGCATACCTAATATCATTGACTTAACATTAGCAGATCATCTTAAACTGATCTAATCACAAACTAATACATGTAAACTAAGCAAAAATTTCAAAGTAAATAGACCATGACTGAGGGGGCGGGGCCAAATATTCTCCATGAAAATGAGATGTGCTAATGCTGATACAACTGAACACCAATTAACATTGGCCTACCACTAATGGTTCCCCTTGAACTGACCTAATCACAAACTAATACATGTTAACTTAGCAAAATTTTCAAAGTCAATAGACCATGACTAAGGGGGCGGAGCCAAATAATCTCCATGGAAATGAGATATGCCAATGCTTATACAACTGCATACCAAATATCATTGACCTACCACTTGTGGTTCCCCATAAATTGACCTAATCACAAACTAGTACATGTAAACTATGAAAAGTTTCAAAGTCAATAGACCTTGACTGAGGAGGCAGGGCCAAATAATCTCCAAGATAATGAGATGTGCCAATGCTAATACAACTGCATACCAAATATCATTGACCTACCACTAGTGGTTCACCACGAACTAGACCTAATCACAAACTAATACATTGTTGACACCGCCGCTGCTGCCATCGCCGACGCCAGAAACAGCATACCTATGTCTCGCTTTTTGACTCCGTCAAGGCGAGACAAAAAATGATTTTACAAATATCAATTATTAAAAATTCATGGTATTGCTTATATGAGTAAGAAATGAGTTTAACGGTTGAGATTTCAAAAAATAATCAACCCCACCACATTTTCATGAGCAAATCAGTAGTCAGGAATCTAGTCAGTGGTTGTCTTTAGTTAAATCTTAATGTTTTTTTGTCATTTAGGGAGATTGGCTATGCTGGCACATCTATGATAAATTCTATTCAAATTTTTCCAAACTTTTCTGAACTCAGGGCAATTTAGAGCTTGAAATGATGTATAGATACTTGTTTATTGTAGAAGACTGTATGTTGACCGCTAGATGTCCTTTGGTTGTAGGTGTTGTTGGGTTGCTGCCTTATTCAAATATACCCCACAACTACTCTTCTTCATATCTATACTTACTTTAAATCTTGTTGGAATCTATGATGTACATCTTTCATCATTTGAACTTGATGTAAACACATGGCTTCAAAGCCGTTCCTTGGTTTTATAGGTATACCACATTGTGTTGAGTCCAGAGTGGTATCATCTAGTTGGTGTAATCTTGTCAATTCTTTAGTCAGTTTCTTTCTAAAACTACACATAATATCTCATAATGAAAATATTGATTTGAAAGTTATCTAATAGAATAATTCACCAGCATTATGATAATGATTATTTGATTGGTTTAACCAAACAGTAATGGTCTCTATAGTAGACAAAATTTTGGAAGTATTTGTACATAACTGTAGTTGCATTATTGAATAAAAAATCGAACATTTAGTATAGAGAAGTTTCATTCTTCTATCTTAATTCAAAACAATGACCCCCTGAATAAATAATTCAATACCTTATGCTTTTTTGTCCTATCTCATTTTCATATATATTTGTTCAGTTGTTGTCTTAAAGCTTTGAAAACTATTCACCTTTCCAATTTTTCAAATAACCACTTTTTAAACAAAATTCATTGATAGTATCCATTTTCATAATAAAAAAAAAGCCGTATTTCTTTATAATTTATACAAATTACATATATGCAATAACTTACCTATCTTTATCTTCTAAACTTTCAACTGCAGGATTACCACATAAGTGTAACATTTCTAGATATTTATAGCTTGGTAATGAAGAGTGGAACACATCTATATCTGAAATAATGATGTAAACATGATGAATTGATGATTTTCAGACATGTTTGTAAACTATTTGAGATGTTTACATATGAATACATTAATTTTATCATAATAATAATCATAAATGTTAAACAATTTCATCTTATATTTAGGTCATTTAAAAAAAAAAAACTTTTTAAAAGTTCAAAATTTTCTTCTAAATATTGCATCTAATCCCCATCCCCTTTTATAATAATTTAAAATCATAATTAAGCTCTTACATACAGTCGACTCCACTTAATTGCATACCGCTTAATAGCATAATTCGGTTAATTGCATACTTTTCTCCTGCACAAAACCATTTCCCATTCATCTAATGTTAAATTGTCCGGTTATATGCATAGCCTTACAAGTGGCATTTCGGTTAATTGCATAGAAAATAATCGCCAGCTAGATATGCTTAGTTAAAACTGACGAGATTTTTGACCGGAAACGGCAATTTGGTAAGTATATTTTTCTTGAATGCATCATAATTTTCGTTATTATTTCATATTTACTTCTGTGTTATTTAAATAAAGTTTTAAAACAGTTTCTTTCGTGTTTATATGATTGTAAAATAAGCCTCGATGTGTACACAGGTAAAGTTTCCCATGTTCTATTTTAAGCCTCGAGGTCATAAAAATGTCAAACAGCTGATTGTTGTAAAAACACGACCATTCTATCTCAAAAGGTGTTAATTATTGATTGGATTTCAAACATTGTTCATAGATTACATTTTGGGTGAATTTTTAAAACAATAACACCTGCTAATTATCGATCATTATCCAATGTGTAATCTCGTAATTCGGCTTGGGGTGATCTACACTTATGTTAAATTGTATAGGGCATTTATATTTGGTTGAAGAATTTTATAGATCAATCTTTTATTTTTAATATTTTTTGAAAATAACATTAACTTCTAATTATTATATTTTCTCACTTTCAACACTCGTGTCCAGCAAATAACCCGTGCAGGGCCCCATTACCTGTTAACTGCTTTGCATATACGAAACTAACGAGGTTAAAGTAACAGTGTTACATCACTGTGCAATCGGTAAATACTGCATATCAAAGGCAGTTCATTACACATTTATTGTTTAAAATGATTATAAACTGTGTAGTATTGTTAAACAGTATATTTTAATCAGACCGTAACAATGTACATTGTACATCCGGGTCATAGAAACAAATCTATTTTTAGAACAATTTTATTTTCGTATCTCAGGTAAAAGAAAAGTTGGTACGTAAATAAACTAAAACAAAATGTGTTTATAAACGTTATTGAAAGAATACACAATGAAATAACATGTATGACACTAGACAAATAACTTTTATTAGAATAAATAAGCATTCAATATGTTGTAAGTGGATTATGGACGTTCATCTTTCTTCAGGGATTTCCTTTACTGATCTGCACTATCGATGTTGTTTGACTCCGTAATTTGTCATTTCGGATATAAGCATACTCCGCTTAATTGCATATTTTCGTCTGACAAATAGGCTATGCAAATAACCAGAATGTACTGTAATAGTAAAATCTTCTTTGGTCAAGGCTGTCATCTTATATTGATGACTTACCACTGTATTTTATTTACAATGAAACAGGTTTTTTGACACATAAAGTGAATTAAAAAATTACCTAAAACCTGGTTATTACTTAGATTTAACTCTCGCAGCAATAACAGGTTCTCTAAGCTGACTAGATCTTCCAAACTGAAACGAACAAATTCTAATTGAAATTTACAATTTTATATGTTATAACCTTAATCAACTTAATACTTGTTGCTCAAACACAAAATGAAAATGAAAAATATATACGAGTTCAAAAAGAAATAAAGAGAAAAATCAACAAAAAATTCTTCCAAAAGTGTGTTAGATTGTTGTCATTTAAATTTGAGACAGCGCTCATCAATTAAATGTAAAGAATTCACTGTTTCAAACAACCCATATAAGATTACTATGTAAGGTTTAATTTATTGCCACATCACTAATTTTTACAATGACAGTAATAAATTTTTTGTTAATTTCTATCATTCTATTTTTTTTAAAATGAAAAGTGCTGCTTTATTGGTATACATCCTTTTTGCTGTGAGTAAATATGTTATAAATAACTTTAAACTTCACAATCTGATAAAGGACATTAAGGATATTTTTTTGAACTGCAGATTTTTCCCCAGGTTTTTTAATTCACATGAGAAAACTTAAATTAATCTATTCTATTTAGGAAAAAATTAAAGTGATGACTTCTACAGTACATGTTTATTTTTCAATCCATTTGTTTAACAATAAACATTTACCTATTTTGACTAATATTAAATTTTTGCACCAAAGGTAACCAGGACTGATTCAAATCATCAAGTAAAGTTATACTGTTATCTTCTAATATTAAATCTTGTAATAAAACATGGTTCTGTAAATCAGGAATCTGCAAAAAATAAGAGTATAGTTCCATGATATTACTACATATTTTTTTTCATTGAAATTCATTTATTAATTGATATAGATACAAAGTATTGACCAGTGACAATACTGATAAACATAGTAAACAATTTCTAAATGCAGAAAATTATTCAACTTCAAGCAATTTCTGATATAATGTTTTCACAATCTTTAGAACAGTTGTCTAATCTGTGAATTTACCAAACGTGTCCTGTTCTTGATTATGACATATTGACTGAGTTTGGATTCACATGGAGGGTGATACGTACATAGCAGGAAATACTTACCCTGATGACCCACCAGGTCTCATTACTTTTGGAGTTTAAACAATCCCCTCAGCTTTTGTTTGTTACTTTGACTGGTCTTTTAATCAATTCATGAGATTTGAACATAAGTAAACTACTGTTGCTTAAATTAAAGTTTTCAGTAATTCATTTACAAAAAGCAGATACAAACCTGGAGAAGATTGTTTGCTGATAAATTTAAATGTCGCAGTAGACACAATTTGTTTACATCTTGTACTTCCTGCAGATGATTATGGGATAGGTCTAGATACTGTATTGTTGGTGTGTCTCCCAATCCTGATGTGTTGATCAGCTGGTTTTTGGCAAGTTTCAAAGTATGTAATCTGCGTAAACCATTTAATCCACCTAAAGTATAAAGAGAAATAACTATTTAAATGTATCAGATATTCTGCATTGAAGAACAGTCATATATTTTAATTCAAATAACAATTAATCTAGTAACATTTTAACAACCACGTCAACATGGTCAGGGGTTTTATATGCTGCTATGCCCATCCCTTACAAAAAAAAATAAAATTTGGATGTTTGCTCTTTATATTCAGTAAATTTATTAATAACAATAAAAACCTTACTTTAATGTGGCCTTCATACCATTTAGCCAGGAAATCAGGCATCTACACTTACCAAGTCTGGTAATCTTATTGTCAGACAAGTCCAGCCATCGTACATCAGTACACCCATCCATTCCATGTATTCCACTTAATGAATTATTACTCAGGTCTATAAACTTTATACTGCCCAAAGACTTCAGGTCTATATATTCTATCTTGTTATTCTAAAGAAATAAACCATGGACTGTTATTAATAGTTTACCAGCAGTGCATATAGTCTATACAGGCTACTTGTAGAAATAAATGACAGATTATCAATGTAAAATTATATATATAATGAAGATCTCCAACTATTGATAGTTCAACACCTTATAGCAAAATCATGACGAGCCCTAGTATCAAGTTAAGCAGTACTTTTTGATATTCAGACGTACTTTAGGTCAAATAAAAATATTAAGTTAAAGAATATGTGGTAAACAATAAAATTTACATTTAAAGTACATTTGTATTTTATAACAGATATTTTCTGGACTATCTTACCTTTAAATCTAAGTACTGCAACTGTTTACAATTCTGAAGTCCTTCTACTGCAATTAAGTTACAGTTGACCATCTTTAGATACTGCAGACCAGTACACTGACCTAAAGTAGACATATTACTTCCTGGCAAGTCTTTCAATTCAACTGTTGTTACCTGTAATCATAATAAGGTAGACATATTATTTCCTGGCAAGTCTTTTAATTTAACTGTTGTTACCTGTAATCATGATATATTTTAAGTTGAATTAGCAGGCAAATTTATGTAAAAAAAGAAGTTTTCAAGTTCAATCAGTAAGCAAGACGTTTTTGTTTTTTTTTTTCTATTGAAAACATCAGATTTACAACTTATTGAATTACATTTCACCTAAACTGTAATTAACCATGATCAACCAACAATGAAATTAAGGCCATACCATCCATTTGAAATAAAGGTTAAATTGTTTTGCTTTTCATGTATAAACATATATACTTCACACCAAAGACGTTTTAACTAAGACTTTCAGATCAAACTAGATCAATGCCTACAACTTGTACTGTGAAACTGTAAATTTAAGGTCATCCATTATTATTGACATTATTTGAAATAGTTAAAATAATGATGTATTCACTGATGAAGTATCCTATTTGTATTGTATCTACTACAATTTATATACCAAACTTTGGAGGTAACTTCACTTACTATGTATATGTACTTCTAAACTAAACATTGAACAATGTAACCAGTACAAATTAATTTTCAGTATGACTGACGAGTTAGACCTTACAAAATCAAAAATGAAAATAAGATATCCAGATACTAATACAACATGATTTCAAATATCATTAATGGTTTATAGTATTAATATAAAGCATATCTAATCAGAAACATTTAAATAATATAAAAGTCACAGTTCCCTAATGAAGAGTCCTGGTCTTATATCCTGCTTGTTATTAAGATGTGTGAATTCTATTGCAAGAACATACAAAATATCAATGACCTATTAATTTTAATTACATTTGGACAATGTAAATATCCACAGTCAATGAGGCAGTAAAAAATAATCAATAAAATTTATAAGTCAATTTACTATCCCATTGCCCATTACAGTTACCTGTCTGAGAGATGCTACTTTAGCAGCTGTTGTTATTATGTTTTCTTCTAACATATGTAACTTCTTAGCAGAAGATGGCCGTCTAGCTGGACGTTTACTGGTAGAGGCTTTCAGCTTCCAAGGTTCATTGCTGACTTTACTGAAATTCAAATAAAGATTATACTTATAATTACTTACATTACCTGCTGAAGAAAAAAAACACTATTTTTAGCATTATCATTGATCATCTAGTGTTATTTTCAATCAGTGAATGATTATAGTCTTCCATAATATTTGTTGATTAGAGGTTTATTTAGATGGTACTTTTTGACACATTACACTGATCTATCATGTCTATAGAAAACAGTATGGGTAGTACCATAATTTAATGTGTGGAAAGATCAGAGACACCAACAATATAAATTTAAAATCCCTTTCAAGAAAGTCCAACCATCTACCAATCATTTTATGTCATCAACAAGTGCCTCCAAACCCCCAATACAAAAGTTCTGAAAACAGCTCTTCACAGATTAATTTCTCAAAATCTAGTAAGTAGCTCCTAAACTAACCATACAAACAATATTGCAGGACAGTTAACTTTGCTTTAATAACAATTTTTAATCATATATATCTGTCCTTGTTTGAATTTTTATCTTGGCAGGTTATGTTCAGGAAATCATTTGGTTTTTACTTCCTAAATATTTATTTTTTTGTTGTAATTCATAAATGAAGATTACCTAGTAATATTCATTTTTTTAAATTTGTCAAACAAGAATGTGTCCATAGTACACGGAAGCCACACTCACACTATAATTTTCTATGTTCAGTGAACCGTGAAATTGGGGTCAAAACTCTAATTTGGCATTAAAATTAGAAAGATCATATCATTGGGAACATGTGTACTAAGTTTCAAGTTGATTGGACTTCAACTTCATCAAAAACTACCTTGACCAAAAACTTTAACCTGCCCACTCGCACTATCATTTTCTATGTTCAGTGGACCGTGAAATTAGGGTCAAAACTCTAATTTGGCATTAAAATTAGAAAGATCATATCATAGGGAACATGTGTACTAAGTTTCAAGTTGATTGGACTTCAACTTCATCAAAAACTACCTTGACCAAAAACATTAACCCGAAGCGGGACAGACGGACGGAGGAACGGACGAACAGACGAACGAACGCACAGACAAAAAAACAAAATGCCCTTAGGTGGGGCATAAAAAAATTATGGTTACTTACCTCCATGGAGTACATGATTTAATCCATCCAAGTCTTTTACTTTCTAGATGACTTGGTAATCCTTCCATCATGGATGACAAACCATTCTTTAATCTGTTTATAAATTTTAAAAAAAATATTAGGTATATGCTGTTTTGCTGAGAACATGCAATTTGGGCTAGGAAGACAATTTTATATTTAAAATTGTCCATAAAATTTAAGGGTAATTTTATAAAGATTAAATGTGGAGGAAAATGTCTGATTTTTGTTTTAAAACTTCAATAGTAAAGAAATGAATTGATGTCATTATATTCCCAAAATATCTTTGGTGACTCTTATCCTGCCATCATATATCTGGAGGTCATACTTTTCAAAATATCTGCTTTACTGAGCAGTGATCTAAATTTTTCAGAAAAACAAGAACATACGTCCATAGGACACAAAACCCCACTGGCACTATATCATTTAAATGTCCAGTAAACTGTAAAATTTGGTCCAAACCCTTATTTGTCAAATATCTTTAAAAAGTTCACATCATTTTGAATATCTATACTGTTTCAAGTTGATGCTCAGTACATAACCTATATACCTTTCATCATTTTCCCCATTAAGACTAGCAGCCGTAGAATCTCTAACCAATCCATCTTTAACCCTCCTTCCAAATTTTCTGGGAGAATTTTTGTCATGATGACTAATACTGCCATTTGTCTTAAAATCGGTGCTTTTCATAACTTTGTTGTCACTAGTATCATGTGACTCCTCATTCAAGAATTCTTTTAATTTTTCTTCTTGCTTTTTTAATTCAGCTTCTTGTCTTTCTACTTCTTGTTGTTTCTTAAGTTCTAACTGTCTAATTCTTTCCATTTCTTCCCTCTGTTGGTCCTCTTTAATTTTTTTCTTTTCTTCTTTTTCTTGTTTTTCTTTTTCCAACTTCTTCTGTTTCTCCTCCTCTTGTTTTCTGACTTTTTCTTCCTCTTCTTTTTGCTTTCTTTCCATCTCTTCTCTTTTCTTCCTTTCCTCCTCTTCTGAAAAAAAAAACAATGGGGAAAATTATAACATTACTAACATTTGTTTTCCATTTAAAACTTACAATCAACTTAGTATTCAACTCCATGTGGCCAAAAATTCAGGATGAGACAAAGTCAAGCAAAACATCGTGAAATTAGGACACTCTCTTTACTATGGAAAACCCCAATATAATTTTAGTTAGGAAGTGCATTATATGATTTATTATCTTAAGGTATTTTCTGAAAGGTTTATTGAAATCCCATAAATGTTATGTGCGATTGCAGGTACTAATAGACAATATGATCACTATACACAATCCCAGTTTCATTATAAAGCAGGATGAATACATTGCAGTGAAAGATTGAGTTGAAGGAAAATTCTTATATTCATATAACTTATAAATAATATAATAATAGAAAGCACTTGGTGGTATACTTTATCTCCTGAGATAAATGAAAAAAAATATTATCCATCAGAAAACTAACGTCCTAAATCATTCTTTGCATGCCAAATGTGTGCATTTCGGTTAGTTTTATTTAAGAAAAAGGAATTGAAATGACTAAAACAATTTTAGTTACAGCCAGATTCACTGAATGACCATTTTATTAAAAATAAGATTTCTGTTTGATTATTTAGGATAGTGTGGACTAAAGAGTAAAGAAATCATATTAATAAATTATTACCTTTCTTTTTTTGTTTTTCTTCTTCTTTACGCTGTCTCTCTTCTTCTTCCTTTTGTCTTTTTTCTTCTTCCTTTCTTTTCTTCTCTTCCTCTTTCTTCCTTTTTTCTTCTTCCTTCCTTAGTTTCTCTTCTTCAGCCTTTTTCCGTTTTTCCTCTTCCTTTTTAATTTTTTCTTCTTTCTCTCCTTGTTTCCTCTCTGCTTCCTCTTGCTTTCTTTTTTCCTCCTCATCTTTCTTCTTTCTTTCCTCTTCCTTTCTTTTTTCTTCTTTGACCCTCTTTTCTTCATCTTGTATTTTTTGTCTATAAAATTTTATAACATGTTGGCTTCTTTAATCAAATTTAAAACTTTCTGATTTATACCGTAAACATACTATCCTTATTTCAAATTTTGGAAAATTAATCACACCAAAAACAATTACAAAACAAGTGGATAATACACTTTGCCAAAAAATAAATGGACAGGTTAACTCAACTGATTCTGGGGAAAGGTTTGATTGCCTTTGCAATAATTAGTTAATAGTACATTCATTTTCTTAAGCAGACTGGCACTTATGTAAAAGGAATTGCTTCACTGTTTTTCCATGTGTTAACTAAACAATGAAAGAGAAGAAACTTACCTCTCTTCATCTTCCTCTATTTTTCTGTGTTCTTCTTCTATTTCTTTAATTCTTTCTTCTCTCCTCTTTCCTTGAGCCTCCTTCCATCTTCTGTCAACTTCAGTTTTATGCTGCTTTCTAGTGCTATCAAAATAAACAATATTTTTGTTTTAACTGACAGCTCTCTGTTCCTTTTTATCAAAAATTGACCATGCAGCTAAATTTAAGAAAATAGAAGTAACAAGAATATGTGTCTACACTACAACTTCACCAAGCTCACACTATAACACTTCTGTGTTCAGTGAACTGTGAAATCAGGGTCAAAACTATAATTTGACATACATTTTTAAAAGTTCCAATCATAATGAATATGTGTACTAAGTTTCAATTGATGTGACCATAACTTCATGGTAAACCACCTAAACCAAAATTACAAACTGATATGGACTCTGACATTTTCATGTCCAGTGAAATGCAAAATATGGGTCCAAACCTGTTATTTGGCATATATTTTTAAAGTAAACATCATAATGAACATTAATACAGAGTTTGAAGTTGATGTGACCACAATTTAAAGGTGAACTACTTTATCAAAAAAAAATAATTTGATAAGGGAAAGATGAACAGACGGACACACAGACCAGAAAACTTAATGCCCCTCCTACTATCATAGGCAGGGCATAAATATGGAAAAAGATTCAATCATTTTGCATATGGGATCTGGGGAAATTATCTTTTATTATTGAAAAAAAAATAATCATGCATGATGGTGTATCAAAAACCAATGAACTAACATGTAAGGCATAAATAAACATTTGTTTTTCCTTTATTGTTTATTTTTAGATGTTTTATAGTTATGATTTAAGTCTTTTACCAGTATCCTTTATAAACTGATTGTATTTTAACAGCAGCCATTTCCTTCTTTTCCTCTTGTTTGATTTGTTCTTCTTTTACTCTTTTTTCCCATTCCTCTTTCTCTCTCTTGGCTATTTCTTCAAGTTCTTCTATCTTTTTCTATAATATTCCACAATAGTACATATATTTAAAAATGTAAAATACTTTCTAAATGATTTAATGAGTTTATGATAAACAGCTGTTTAATCAAATTTTGAAAACAAAATATTCAAATTGTGAAATTTACCTTAATGAGAGGGGGTTGGTGGATCCTTCTAAATTTTTAAAACCTTAAAATTTTCTCTTTGGATATAACAGATGATAGTTGTATGTGAATATTACTTTAAAATCATGTACTCATGGAATTAAATACTGTAAATTCAGAAAATTTTTAATGCATTTATCATTGATTTTTTTTTAAAGGACAAAAATTTTAAACTATTGTGATTTCAGGAAATGTATTCTATAGTCGTGTCAAAATTTAAAATGTGTGTTTTATTTTTGAGAGCCCTATCTCTTTGCAATTTTCGCAACTAAAAAACAAAGTAAAAGTTTCTGAAATTAAAGTAAATAATTTATGGCCATCAATGATTTGCAAGAGATATAAAATAGGAAGGATTTTTTTTCATTTTTAGCCAAAATCCTTTGAAAAAAACCTAGAAATATTGAGGGACTGAGACATTCATCCTAAGAAATCCTAGGATTATGTAGCTCTTAATACAAATGCCTAGTATTCAATTTATTTGGATCTTATCCGAAATTTCAGAAGTGACCAGGCATAAAATTCAGATCATTAGGCATGTGTATTGCACTTTCAAACCATGCACAAAGCACAGAAATCCAACTAAAATTGATAACGGAATAAAATTAAACAAAGTTTCATTAAAATCGACACAATATTTAAGTGAAATGAAAACAATAAATTCTTTAATTCAAGGACTGTGATGACAGCCATTTTCTGCAATAGGATACACAGAGAGAAAAAAATTGCATTCCAGACACAGAACAAAAAATTTGAAATAAACCAATCAACAATGAGTAAAATGAAATAAACCAATCAACAATGAGTAAAATGAAATATGCACATAGAATTAATTAAATTTCTTGTGAAAATGAACAAACCTGTTGTGTCTTCATTTCTACTTCTAATTGTTGTTCTATTATTTTTTGTTGTTTTTCTTCTTGCTCATGTCTCTCCTTCAATAAATTTTATGATTGTAATTTAAACAGATGTGATTTAACGTTATAGACAATATCAGAAACCAGTTTTATGGTGTGGTCATCAGTGGAAAATTTTACATCAAGTAAAAAGATTCATTTCTAATTTCTCATAACATCTTACAGAAGATTGTATAGTTTAATAAGTTTTTATAAACGGTTTACAATTTAATCCTTATTTCACAGTATTCTTATTGGAAGACAACTATTTTGAATGCACGAATTCTCCAGTTTTGATAGATATATAAAATCATCATAGGATATTCAAATATATGGTTTCATACTTAGTTCAAGAAATCATAAGTGTGAAATTTGAGTTCATTATACTTATTCTAAAAAACTTTACAAATCTTATTTAGTGCGGAGTATATATAATTTGACTATATTCCTGATTTTTATTATTTTTTGCATGGATTTTCAAATGCTCTTTAATGAGCCATGCAAAATTTAATAAAATTCCTATCACCACCCAATATCATTTAATTTGCTTTAATATAAAAGAGAATTGACTTTATATTATACCATAGTACCTTTCTTTCAGTTAGAAGTCTAGATTCTTCTCTTTCAAACTGAAGTTTTTGTTCTTGCCTCTTTGTTTCAATCTTGTGTTCAGATATTTCTTCTTCATGTCTTTCTTTCTCAATCAACTAAAAATCATAAAGACAATGTTTAATTGTTGTTTTTTTGTTTCCTTGCAGATATTTTAAAACTTTTAAAATTTGGAATAAAATTAATCAACTGAGCAGACATCCATTCATATGAATTTTAAAGATCTATTAGAGCCAAGAGTAGAATACAAGACCATAAGGAAAAAAGAAAACATACAAATAGCTAGAATCTAATAAGACATGAGGTCTAGTGAAGAGATTGAAAACTTCTGATTAAAATATATATGAATAAAAGCAAATGTGGAGTATATGTCAAAGACAGCAACCCAACAATTTATTAAAAGACATTGAGGGCAACATACAGCTTTGAATGGGTATAATTGAAAATAAAGGTTATGGTGCATCAATTCATGAAACAAAATCATTACCTACACAAGAAAAAACAAAAGCAAAGGAACAGCACTGCTACTGCTGTTCTTCATCTCAATCACAGTGAAGCCTTCACCATGGACAAAAACTCACCTGAAAGCAAGTTGAAGACAGCCTCTTGCAATGGTTTGAGCAGAATTCCTAACTAGATGTCAATCATCCTATATCTGTACAATGAGAATCATAAATTATATCTAGCCAAGAAATCTAACCAATACCGTCAAAAATTGCCCAACAATCTCACTGTAGAATGCAGAAACAATATGACAACCTCAGTCAACATATAAATTTCAACAAAACTTCTTACAAGTACAATTTTTGTTTTTCTTTTTATTGTAAGTAGGTGTGGCAAACAAACAACCAACCTGATTCAATTGATCTTCTTGTTTTTTAGACTGTTCTTGTATTCTATCTTTCTGTCCTGCCAATAATTCCTTAAACTCTAACTGTTCTTTAGTTACCAGTACCATAGCTTTATTTTCTACAAACATAAAAAAAACTGATCCATGATTTACTTTAAAAATACATTAACTGTTTCAATTCTTAAATGACTGTTTGACTGATATTGTAACTAAATTAAAAATATATAAAATTCATTCTCTATATCAATTGGGCAAAACTTCTGAAATTTTATTCCCAATGAAAACATTCTGTCTGTTGTATTTGTTATTTGTTTTTTGTTAAGTCAAAAAATTACATCAGGACATTGGTTTTTTGTTTGAATTGTTTGAATTTTGTCTTGTCAGAGCTATTCATAGCTGACTATACAGTATGGGTTTGCTCATTGTTGAAGGTATACAGTCACCTATAGTTGCTTTAATCTATTTCATTTGGTGGATAGATGTCTCATTGGCAATCATACCAAATCTTATTTTTATATACATGGAATATTTGTTTTCCAGTCAACAACACTCACATACTATAGAATCAATTCTAATATGACGTTCTTCTTTGCTTTAGAGACAAAGTCATGTTCTAATTTTAATAGAATATGGGCTGCACATGATTGACGTCACAATTGAAATTGCAACGTTAGTTGTATTTTGAACAACGCCGGAGATCAAAATGGACATTTTTGTTGGTGTTGCTCGCTAGGAAATTAAATAAAATCATTCTTGAAGTAAGTTTGCATGTATCTGTTCAATTTTTGTTGTAAAACGATCGATTTTCTATAACGTTTTGGCTTCATCAAATCAAAATGGATGCCTTATAAACGTGTGTTATAAGTCCACTTCGAAGTACAAAAGTTCTTAATTTTCCTATTAGAATCAAAATAATTCTATCATGTCATGCTTTATGCTCATATTAACATGGAAGGCATTATATTTGTCATCATTTTACACCTCACTAACACTCAGTATAAAAATATTGACAAATAAAATGCATACCCATATTACAATGAGAATAGAGCAAGGCATGAATGAATTATTTCTTAAACAAAATTAACTAAAAAAATTAATTCATCCTCAGATAATTTTTTATTTATTTTATCTCCAGACATGAAATCTACAAAAACCAGGATGTACAGTTTATATCAACATTTTCACACACTTTTATAAGTAGTGTTTCCCCTGATATATATATATATATATATATATATATATATATATAAGACTTCAATGAAATATGATCACACTTAATATGAAATCATATACAGTTTTCAAATATATAATAACCACAAATAAATTTTTTGAAAAAGTACATCCTAATATATAGCTCACTAAACTTAACGTGTACAAAAGACTGTAGTTGACAGCTCTTACCATCTTTTTCTTCTTCTTCTGTAAACTTGCTGTCATCCTCAGAATCTGTTAACAGTTCGTCATCTTCATCACTATCATCCTTTTCAAGGTCTTCTAAAATCTTTTAAATGAAAATGATTCAATTAAAAAAATATTGCAAATAGACTGCAGTTCTCTTCTCCAAAACATTTTATACTTGAAGTTTACTGATCTTAATTCAACTAGATTGATTATGAAATATAAGTGATTTTTTTTTCTCGTAAGATTTTCTTTTAAATAGCTTGTGATCATTAGGGAATATCAATATTCCATGCTTTGTCATACAAAATTTGGCCATGAGATACAAGATGTATTTTACAGGTACAATGTATTTATTTTGTTCTATGGTTTTTTGAAAAGTAATGATCACATATTCTAGCCAATCTAAATTTTACTAATACAGGTAAACAATGTTTATTCAACAAGCCATTTTGCAGCTGTATCCATCTGACAAATGATCATCCTCATCTTTTGAGATAAAAAAAAGTCTGATTAAATTTACAGTTTTATAACTGTAAATTCAGAATTATTGCGTGAATTTATTATTTAACAAAAATGCGAGTTTAATTATTGCGAATTTAGGAAAAGCTACATACAGATATATGTATTTGATATAAGAATGCAAGTTCTTATTATTGCGATACTCAAGTAGTCGCATTATTCGCATTAATAAAAACCTCACAATAATTTCTGAATTTGCAGTACCCTGATCAATAACATTTATATCTTGTTGACAGTATAATCCAATTTATTATCGGCAAATTGTACATTATCCCTTTGATCTTACTGCCTATTTTTAAGGTCATAGACAGGACTTGATACTCAAAATATTAGGCATTGATATTCTTGCTTTGTAATATCAGTATCAAAAACAAAAATGCCATTATTCTATATGTATCAGATGACATTAAAATGAAATATGTTGAATAATGGAAAAATACACAAAAACCTTCAAAATCAAAACAATTTGTTACCTTTAATCTTAACTCCTCTAAATTTTCACCTTGTTCTGTAATATCTTGTTGTAGATCTTCATCGAAAGGGATCATATCTCTAGAACCTATCAAAATATTCAATATATATCATACTACTAAAAAAAACATCATTAAAACAAGTTTTTCCAACATTAAGTTTGCAAGCAGGGCTTCCAAAATTATTTTTAGCCAGCCGGACATTTTATATATTATCCCGATTTTAATCCCTTAAGACTAAATAATCAAAAGGCAATTATGGTAATCAGTTGCCAAGTTGGCCATCCCAATGATTGACATTAAAAAAAACGATATAAAACTTTCTTTGATTCAAATTCGAAGTTCTGATGTAAACTGTTAAATTGGCAGTGCATCATTCGAAGTGTGCAACATCAGCGTACTTATATCTGCTTTAGACTCTTTATTTGTGCAAAATAACGTTGTCAAAAACTTTACTTTCGTTTTTAAATCTAATACCGGATGTTATCTTGACAATGGTAAAACACGGACCAGAGACGGATATGTAAATTCCGTGTACGTTTGCAAAGCATGAATGAGTGTAAGTAGCTCTTAATACGTTATTTCTTCAAGTAAATATTCGAAATAAACGTGAGATAAAGGTATCAATGACAATTTAAGAATTTTTTGAAGAAATTAGGATGCATAATTAAATTTCACACCTGCGCACATGCGCACACGTGTACTACTTCAAACAACGTGGTTATGACGATTTTTCATTTTCACCTTTTTAATTTTTTCATCAAATCATATTTGTAAACGTATTTCTGATAATTTAAATCTTTTTGACTAAATTAATTAGATGCAAACCGCTGAAATGTAAGAAAATAAGTTTGAATAGACCGATCAATGTCCGGTTCAAAATAGTTTACCTGTCACCTGAAGAGGTAAATTTCAGCTGTTCGACAACTAATTAGCCTTGACTAAAGTAGGGGTTGTTTTGATAGTACTTAATGATCATGTCACTTTTATGACCGGAAATGTGTGACTGTTAAAGGCAAAAGGTTGGGTCAAAAAGATCGCGAATTATGTTAAAATGACCGGTTCTTAAGAAAGCCGTGAAAACTAAAAGTAGATGACCGTTTCATGCTTTGCCTAGCCGGACTTTTTCCGGACATTATACAAATGTCCGGAATATATGACCGTTTTGGAAGCCTTGTTTGCAAGTGTTCTGTACTAGGCCAAAAACTATAACACCCGTGTTACCACTGACAAACATAAGGGTTTGTAGGCAAGCAAATAATATGTTTTTAAAAGTTGTTAACTAGATGTAACAGGAGAAACAGTCTGACTTTAATATTGTACAAATATGACAGAAATATCTTTAGGGTAGGCACTAAAAATGAGGGTCTACAAGGTTAGCAGAAACACCATATTTTATTTTACCATCTCTTGTTTCCATTCTGTTTAATTGTCCATTTTATTTTTGCTATGTTTTGTACCATAACTTATAGGTTTTCCCTGTTCTTTTAATACCTAGTACGTTAAACTCAACTATAGGGTGACTTACTAGTAATATCAACTGACTGTCTGAGAAGGTCGTCACATTCTGCAAGGTCAAGTTCAAAGGCTGCCGTTTGTTGCTGCAGAGATTTAACATAATTATCAAATTCTCCAGGAAGTACCTGTAAAAAATAATTATTTTGATTGATAGATTGATAAATGGTTATCTAATGTCCAAGATAAGATAACCAAGATAGTCTTCAGCAATGTAAATACATTTAGAAATACTATATTGTAATTTCAAATTAATTCCTTTAACTTAGATTATATTTGGTATTTACAAAATAATGTCTTAGCTCAAACAAAAGGTTTGGAAAAATCTAACCTGCAGTAACCAATAGCTACAAATACATACAAAACCCATTCCCTGAATAATAGTATACCTCAGTTATATCTTCTGACAAACTATCATCACTGTTCAACACATCTAAGGCACTGTTATCTGAAGACTCTAAGTCTGCTTCTGTTAATGTGTCAAGTCCTCTCTGTATTTCAGCCTCAATTAATACCTCTTCACCAGACTCCATCATGTCAACTTTAAAATTATAAAAGAGCAAATACTGTCAGTAGATAATTTACATGGCTTTCATATAAATAAAATAGACCACTTTAGAGTTCATCCTTCACCGGAAAAAACTCGTCAATTATGCACGCCTTTATGACGTCATTTACCAGATAGAGGGGATCGCCTGTATCCCTGCACTATTAACGTTCACCAAGCGTCTTAGTGATCGTCATTGTGCAGGATAAACTAGAAATAATGTCTGTTTTGTAAGTACTTAATCGCAATTCCCTAATGACAGTAGTGCTGATTGTTCAATTATGAGAATTTAATTGGTCGAATAATTCGTGCAATATAGCATTATAGTTTTCCAACCACTTGCTCAACATTGGAACGGAAGTGACGTTGCCCCTAAACGCACGAATGATGTTCACTAAAACCAGAGTTTTTGACGGAAATGCATCGAACTCGAAAGTTGTCTATTGGTAAAGGGTTTCACAGAACAATGTGTCTCACCTCTGAATCCCTGATGTCTGCTGTCAGTGTAAAAGTGTAATGTTGACTGTAAAAAGTAAGTCCACTTATCACTAAAATACAACGGCTCTTTTCACAAAAAATTCTAAGAGTAAAAATATTCGTAAGTCATACACATTTCAGTATAACTTACAATCAATTTTAATCATAAGATTTTTTGTGAAAAGAGTCGCAGATTTTTTTTTAAATCAAACTTTTTATTCATATGTCATTTCTTGATCTGGGAGATTAGCTTCTGTACAAGATTAAAATAATCCATGAGTTTATAATTAAATCATGTCAATATTTTTGTATCCCAGACTGTCTGTAAATGTTAAGTTTGTTAAATCATAAAAAACATTTCTAACAAAGTTTCATAAAATTCTATGAAGGTTTGACAAAGTAATGGATATCTCACAAACTTTAACACTAGACTGTATTTTCATATTAACTGCCCCCAAAAAATAAGTCCTTTATTAGGAAATTACAGAAAAATTAATACAAAATATTTTTATTATCTTTTATGTTCTTCTCATATATTTTATGATGGTATGATACTAAACCTCTAATGGGAGGGATTGTGCTTGATTTTCATATGATGAAGACATAATCTTTCAATCAGTTTAATTGAGGTCTGGAGCCGGCATGTCAGTAACTGCTAGTAGTCCTTTGTTAATTTATGTATCATTGTCATTTTGATTAGTTTCTTTTGTTACCTATTCTGACATAGGACTCAGACTTCTTTTAAACTGGGTTTTACTGTGCGTATTGCTGTGTGTTTCTTTATTCTAAATTGGCTAGAGGTATAGGGGGAGGGTTGAGATCTCACAAAACATGTTTAACCCTGCCGCATTTTTGCGCCTGTCCCAAGTCAGGAGTCTCTGGCCTTTGTTAGTCTTGAATGTTTTTTTAATTTTAGTTCATTTATATGTTTTGGAGTTAAGTATGACATCCATTTTCACTGAACTAGTACAAATTTTTGTTTAGGGGCCAGTTGAGGCCCACCTCTGGTTGCGGGATTTTCTCGCTGTGTTGGACCTATTAGTGGCCTTCGGCTGTTATCTTCTTTTTGGTCGGGTTGTTGTCTCTTTGACATATGCCCCATTTCCATTCGCAATTCTATTTTTTATGAATACTGTCTTTTGATCATAAAAAAGCTTCTGTCCAATTCACATAGGATTCAATGAAGGTTTGAGAAAGTTATTGATGACTTAAAACTTTAAACTTTGACTGTTCTGCTGTTTGTAAATGTTAATAAATTTCAAATGTAAATTTCATATAAACTGTTAACACAGAAATATGTCTCGCCTTTTTGTTATTTTGATAATGCAAATGCTGAAATTAAAATAGCAATACTTTAACATGTAAGTTATGCAAATATTCAAAGTCAATGAACCATGACTGAAGGTACATAGCTAAACAATCTCCATGGAAATGAGATGTGCCAATGCTAATACAACTGCATACCAAATACCACTGACTTATCATAAGTCATTCCCTTTAAACAAACCTAAACACAAACATTAACTTGTAAACTATGTAAAAGTTTCAAAGTCGATGAACCATGATGAGGGGGTGGGGGCTATATAATCAATACCAAATTCAACATTACATTTCATCTTAAACTGATCTAATCACAAACTTAACATGTAAACTAAGCAAAAGTTTTAAAGTGAATAGACTATGACTGACGGGGTGGGGCCAAATATTCTCCATGGAAATGAGATGTGCTAATGCTGTATACAACTGAATACCAATTAACATTGGCCTACCACTAACGGTTCCCCTTGAACTGACCTAATCACAAACTAATACATGTAAATTAAACTAAGCAAAAGTTTCAAAGTCAATAGACCATGACTGAGGGGGCAGGACCAAATAATCTCAATGGAAATGAGATGTGCCAATGCTTATACAACTGTGTACCAAATATCACTGTCAGACCTACCACTAGTGGTTCCCCATAAACTGACCTTATCACAAACTAATACATGTAAACTAAGCAAAAGTTTCAAAGTCAATAGACCATGACTGAGGCGGCAGGGCCAAATAATCTTCATGGAAATGAGATGTGCCAATGCTAATACAACTGCATACCAAATATCATTGACCTACCACTAGTGGTTCCCCATAAACTAATCTAATCACAAACTAATACATGTAAACTAAGCAAAAGTTTCAAAGTCAGTAGACCATGACTGAGGAAGCAGGGCCAAATAATCTCCATGGAAATGAGATGTGCCAATGCTAATACAACTTCATACCAAATATCATTGACCTACCACTAGTGGTTCACCATAAACTAGACTTAATCACAAACTAATACATTGTTGACGCTGCCGCCAACACTGGAAACAGCATACCTACATGTATGTCTCGCTTACTGACTCCATCAAGGCAAGACAAAAATTTCATGAAGGTCTGACAAAGTTATTGATGTAAAAAAAAGCTTTAACCATGAAATGAACCTAAAGGTTGTTGTCATTGAAACCGTCCGCAAGAAGGATCCCTATATTCCCTCTTTCGCAGCATAAATGTCCCAGGCTTGACAAACTTGAGGCTCTAAAGAGCTTGTGTCACTCACCTGCATCTTCAACAAAAGCCACTTTTTAGTAAAAAATCATCATTAAAGGGGAATAACTCTATTAAGAGATAACTGACAATTTCAGTCATGTTGACATATTTGTAGATCATATCCTACTGATAATTTTCCTTTTTAAAGCTTCTATTTATCTATTATAGTTTTCAAGATACAATGTAATAAGCAAAAAATGCAAAATTTAAAAAAAAATTATCATCAAAGGGCAACTGGAATAACGAGTCGACTGCAGATTTCTGCCATTTTGGCTTATTTGAGGATCTTGTCTTGCTTTTCATGTGTGCTATTTAAAGTTTCTATCTATCAATTACCGTTTTCAAGATATTAGGCAAAAATGTGAAAAATAACCATTAAAGGGCAATAACTCCAATAACGAGTCGACTTAAGATTTTGGCCATTTTAGGCTTATTTGTAGATCTTGTCTTGCTGATCATTTTTGCTATTTACAGTTTCTATCTATCTAATATAGTTTTTAAGATATTAGACTAAAAAGCAAAAAAAATGGTAAAAATCGTCATTATAGGACAAACTCTAATAAGGATTCGACTGAAGATTTCAGCCATGTAGACTTATTTGTAGATCATGTCTTGCTGATCATTTTTGGTATTTAAAGTTTCTGTCTATCTATTATAATTTTGAGATAATAGGCAAATAGGAAAAATGGTAAAATTCAAGGGCAATAACTCCTATAAGAAGTCCTTTGACAGTTTTGACGTGAATGATCAACATTCTGAACATTTTTGTTCTTGTCAGATTTTCTCTATTTATAGCAGTTTTCAAAATAATAGGCAAAACTTGCAATTTACCCCTATGTTCTATTTTTAGCCATGTCAGCCATCTTGGTTGGCTGACATGGTCATCAGACACATTTTTAAACTAGATACCCTAGTTTGCAGTTGTCATGAAATAGAAGTTCCTTAATCATTTTAGTTCCAATATGCCACTTCCGAGAAAAGGTAGTATATATATATATAGTTATATCTGTCCTGTGACTTTCATCACCACATGACAAAAATGTAGGCATCGTCACTTCCAACACATGTTGAGCAAATTAGTGAAAAAGCTTCATGCTATACTGCATGAAATATTCGGGAAATTAAAATCTAATTAGTTGGTTATTAGATATAAGAAGATGTGGTATGGGTGCCAATGAGACAACTATCCATCCAAGTCACAATTTGTAAAAGTAAACCATTATAGGTCAAAGTATGGCCTTTAACATGGAGTCTTGGCTCACACCGAACAGCAAGCTATAAAGGGCCCCAAAAATGACTAGAGTAAAACCATTCAAACAGGAAAACCAACGGTCTAATCTATATAAAAAACGAGAAACACTTATGAACCACATCAACAAACGACAACCACTGAACATCAGGTTATTCTCACTTCAGTCGTAAGGGACATAAATTATTTCTAGACTACCCTGCAGAATGACGATCCTGAAGATGCTTGAAGCTTTAATAGGTGCAGGGATACAGGCACGCCTTCTATTTGGTAAATGACGTCATAAGAGAGTGTGTAATTGACGATCTTTTCTGGTGAAAGAAATGATTCGAGAAATAACATTTCCAATGTTGGTCCTGTTGTTAGGGATTTTAGTTGTGACATCATTTTCAATGTAAACAAAGAAACGCTATCATCAGGTAGCTTTTTTTTTTATATCAAAGAATTATTAAAATAAAATTGTTATAATTTATATCTTTAAAAGGACGAAGATATATACCAAGTCGGCTTGTTATCCTTATCAGATACGCTGAAAACTGACTGATTGATCAAGTGAGTTTCCCAAGACAACACATCATTTGTTTGCTATAAAATCATGTTCAATAAGCTGCAGAATCATTTTAAAATGTATGGAATTTATTTAATTGTTTAACTGGCAGTATTCTTTCGGTAAACAAAAACAACAAAAAATTTGAGGGATACAATATGATGCTCCTTCCTATATTTTACTCAAAGTCTCATAACAAAAGAGACCAGAAGAAAGAAAGAGATTTAGGCGCAAATGAGGGAAACTAAAAAAGTTAGAAAAAAATTGTCAACGAATCTGTGTTCATTAGTATTTTTTTTTTTTTCATTTTAATGATTTTCTTACTGTAATTGGGGAATTTGTCCCCTCATATTATGGCCCCATTGTTAATAACAAAGTTTTCATTAGAACTTTTGTTATGCCAACAAATATAAGCTGACACGTGATGAAAATATTTTAAAAAAATGGAGTCCTCAATAGATTACATTTGTACTTGCAAAACATAAAGTTATTTTTGGGTGCCGAAATAACTACCTCAGGTGCAAAATTAGCCAGGTCCTGATTAGACTAGGTGCCGAATTGACTATAACGGTACCAATTTAACAAGGTGCCGAAGTGACTAGAATTCAATTTGTCTCGAACATTAACAAGTGGGCTAACCCTTTAAGAAATCATGAATTCGAATATTTAGTTTTTAGTGAAGTATGTTATAAAATGTTGGTTATATTTTGTGGTTTTGTCTTTTTAATGTGTTGTGTTACATCTTTTCTTTACTCATGTTTACTGATCACTATAATTTTGCGGTCATATTCCTCTCGTCTAGATAAAGCAATATCTCTCAGTAAGTTATATCAATGTTACAGTACAGTTACAAATTAAATGCCCTTAATTTTTTTAACAATTTGGTCTACGTCTGCAGTCATTTACCGTTGTATTGGATATCAAATTTTCATTCTAACGACTGTTGAAAATTTGTTTATATCCGCCATAGCGTTGGCATGTTCTTCTTCAGGAATTTGATCATTTATGCGCTTTAGAATATCGAACATGGGCTTTACATCAAGCATTAAATAGACACTGATTTTATTTCACTGTAGGTATTTGCTAATCGAATTTTCGCAAACACTCGAATTTGATTGATTGATTGATTGATTGATTGCTTGCTTGATTGATTGATTGATTGATTGATTGATTGATTGATTGATTGATTGATTGATTGATTGATTGATTGATTGATTGATTGATTGATTGATTGATTGAAACGTCACATAGTTCTAAGAAGATGAACATTGATGAAAACAAGGATTAATTATTTACAAAATCGTTCATGAAATACATCCCCCCTGTATTTTGATTGGAAAAAGAAGGAATATACCATTATCAATATAGGATAAAAGGTTACATTTTTAACCAATTTCTTAGTTTTTTTGTAATTGAGTTGCGAGCCTATTTTAATGGGTCCCATTAAAAAAATTTTGGTTTAAAAAAATCTGTATGTCTCTGTCTCTGATTGGACAAGGATATCATAAAGTCTAATTCAATAATCAAATAGATATTTACATTTATTATCAAGTGATGTTTATTACTGTCTTTCTTCTTCACAATATATGCAGCACGAAGAAAGGGAGATGCCCAGCTGGTCATTACATTTCATCTGAGACTACTCTCAGATTTCATATATATATATATTGGTGCAGATTTTTTTTAAATCCCCTTTCAAAGATCATTCATTACTTGTCGACTATTATGAATCAGTGTCATTTCAGGCTAGGTCACACGTTTCTTAACTTGTCTTTTTGTTTTGTCAATTTTCGTTGTGAATAGTATGGTAGAATTTTAATTTTTGACCTTTCTGAGAATTTCAAATCCGGATAATCAGGGTTCGACCGTATGTGAAGCGGTATTAGTTTCTTGTTTTTTACGAAGCTGTCAGAAGTCCAGCGCCAAAACAAAACCATAATAGATCATAATTTCTGTTGAGATAAAACAGATGAAACGATTATTAGATTGATATTAAGTTAATATCCCTTTGTCTGCTGAATTATAAATGTAAATTTAAATATTTTTAAAAAAGTTGCAAAACAAATTAAACGTGCAACATTCCACAAAAAGGGGAGTCTAGCTAGTCTATTATCTTTTATTGATTCGCAATATATACAGCTTTGTAACTGATATGATGGAATTATTTGAGTCACACATCTCACCTTGGAAAGCACGTTGCATAATAAAAAAAAGTATTAAATCTTTTCATTTGTACCTTTGGATTGTATAAATATTGAATGCTACTGTCCTTGAACAGTGCCAGTGGAAATTGGTCACCATTTCAAATCATGATTTCAACAGATATTTGTTGCCTATGACTTTAATACTGCTCATTTCTATGTGCAGAAATAGAACGTATGCCATTCAATTTGCGATTGAGATTTTCATCGTCAAGTATAATATTATTATACATTCAGTATCTGTATCTGTATTGGTACGTGTAGAATCCTAAATAGGCTTTTTAACAGTGTCTCAAATCAATGAAAGAATTGTTAAATATCATTTCTATGATATATCAAAAGTATTACTTATGCTTTTATCAAGTAACTGTTTAGGAAATACAAAACAAGATAACTATAAAACTGCAGGACCCAAGTTGGTTAATTTATTCTTATAACAATACTAGCTGTTTGAGTAGCCTTTTGCGGTACCTTGCCAGATTCCATCGAATTAGACTATATATATATACATAATGTATAAATGAGGGTCTGCTAGGTTAAACATGTTTTGTAAGATCTCAACCCTCCCCCTATACCTCTAGCAGGGTTTAAGGGCATACGATACAGTAGAGATCCCTCGTTGATTTTTTCTTGAAATTTTGGTAGAAGATCAATTTCGATGTGTACTTTTGAAATATGCAAAGAAAAATATACCTTCATGACTTACTTTTTGAGATAATTTGGTTTGAAATTTGCATATTTGAAGGGAAAACCCTGAAATTTCATAAAAAAGGACTTTTAAAGAAAGTTACAATACTTTTGAACGAACAGTCATAACTTAACCGGGTTTTTTGTAAAATGTTCCCTTGATCCATGGCATGACCATGCTGTAACAAGTTTAAGGGTTAACAAAATTGTTGTTTTCTGAATTTACTTTACTATTAGTGAAATAAAGAAATTGACAATATTTTTGCGTCTATTCAGAAGTGCAGAAAAAAATCGATCGTTGATTTTTTCTTAAAATTTTGGCGGAGTGTTCTTTAAATATTACTTGATTGATTGCAAAAGAAAAAACTGGGGGTCCATGTGCTTGTTTTTTCAATAAAAGCAATAAACTTTGATTTTTAATTGCAAACGGGACGTTTGCCAATAGGGCGCTAAACTACGTTGAAATAAGTTTTAATTGCAATAACGTCGTAAAATCATTCCCGCCGTTCATGATTACGCTGTCAAGTTCAGTGGTATAGCCAAGTTTTTTTTTTCGAAAGCAATGATATTATTCATTAAAATTTTTAAAGCTGGTTACTCGTAAAATAGCATAAAATATTTGCCAAACCTTTATGAATTGTTACGAATCTTGGACATGCTGGATACAAAAAGTATTCTAGTAAATTACTTTTAGAAAAGAAATGTTCGGAAACATAAAAAGATAAATTTGATAAAAATAAATATTTCATAATCAAAATATAATAATAACAATAAAAATAAATGGGGAATGTGTCCATGGGACACAGATGATGCCCCTGCTTGCATATAACGTTATAAAGGGATATAACTCAAGAACTGTAAAAGTGACGCTACCCAAATTTGTACTTGATCTGAGTTTTGCGGTAATAAGCATTGTGCATAAGTTTCATAACATTTGGTTGAGGCAAACTAAAATTAGAGAACAGAAACAAATATTTCAGAATTTTTTTCATTTGTTAAGGGGCATAACTCTAGAACGGTAAAAGTGACCCCACCAAAATTCAAACTTCTCATGTCTTCTTTGACTGTCCATGACGTTAAAATACTAAATCCCTGGGATGTGTTTTAGTTGATTTTAGTCTCTGATGCATGATTTTTTATTATTAATTGTTTTGGCTTTTAACTAGCTGTCAGTAACTGCGAGTACTCTCAAATCGTACTTTCTTGTTTATTTGACCTGTTGATACTAATTGTATTGCTTTTTTGTTATTTAATGTTATTCAGGGTTATATCTGGTCTATATACCAGCTTTGATAAGTGTTTGGTATAACTATAAATTTTCACTTCGTACTATGAACATCAAAATTATTTATTTTGTAAAAATATTTCCTTTCTCCATTGGTACTTTATACACGTATACCTAACAACAAAATTATTTTCATTTACCTGTGTTTAAAGTTAGTGCAAATAGCTGATATTTTTGTTCGAGCATATTGTTTTTCTTTAATTGTTTAACATTTATTACCGATATAACGTGTTACTTTTATTATTCTTCCCTTAGTTTATTTATTTTGTATTTACATTGTGTCATAGGTCAAATTTATTTGTTCAGTGTATGTTCAATGGTGTTAATATGTCCTTTGATTGAGTTAAGCTATTTCAGTTGATATTTTATAGTGTGTCTTTCTATGTTGTGATGTTACACTATTGTTTCGGAAAAAGGGTGAAGGTTTGGTACCATTAAAACGTTTAAACCCGCTGCATTTGTTTGCACCTGTCCTAAGTCAGGAATCTGATGTTCAGTAGTTGTCGCTGTTGATGTGGTTCATAAGTTTTTCTCGTTTCTCGTTTTTTTATATAGATTAGACCGTTGGTTTTCCCGTTTGAATGGTTTTGCACTAGTAATTTTTGGGGCCCTTTATAGCTTACTATTCGGTGTGAGCCAAGGCTCCGTGTTGAAGACCGTACTGTGACCTATAATGGTTTACTTTTATAAATTTTGACTTGGATGGAGAGTTGTCTCAATGGCACTCATACCACATCTTCTTATATCTATTGATCTGTGTTTTGTGGTAATAAGCATTGTGTATAAGTTTCATAACATTTGGTTGAGGCAAACTAAAGTTAGAGAACGGAAACGAAAAATTCAGCAATTTTTCCATTTGTAAAGGGGCATAACTCTAGAATGAGTGACGCCACCAAAATTCAAACTTGATCTGTGTTTTGTGGTAATAAGCGTTGTGTATAAGTTTCATAACATTTGGTTGAGGCAAACTAAAGTTAGAGAACGGAAACCAATTTTGGGACGTACGTACGTACGTACAGACGGACAAGGGTAAAACTTAATGCCCCCTCCGCTACGGCGTTGGCATAAAAAATAATTTGCATCTCAGTCCGACATTAGTCCTTCAACTCATGCAGACAACACAGCTTGGGCATATTTTTAATTATTCAAAAGGTCCCAACAAGACAAAATATGAAACAATTATCAAGTAAGTGGGATAATATAAAAATAAGGACAGTTGGTATGATTGCCAATGAGACAACTATCAACCATATTTCAAATTACGAAGATAAACGCAATTAAGGGTCACCGCACGGCCTTCACCAAAAAAAAAAGCCTCACTGTTTAGTCAGTTTTAAAAAGCCCAGACATGAAAATGTGAACAATTCAATCAAGAAAACTATCGGCCTACTATATAGGCATTATATGAACACAAAACCATACCCAAATTAACTCGGGTCAGCTTAGAACTACTCTGAACATGTTCAAAAAGGTGTATATTTAGAGCTGTTTCGAGCAAATTCATGTCGTAATTGTCTCAATAAAGTCCATTACGGTGTAGTTTAACATTTCATAGGAAGTACAGCAGTCGGTATTAGATCATGAAATTGCATGATTTTGTATCAATAGATAAGTTGCCTAAGTTTATTTGTCTTCAGGGTATTTTTATACCCCCGCAAATGAAAGTTGGGTGGCGTATTGTTTTACACCTGTCCGTCTGTCCGTCCGTCATTCCGTCTATAATACGGGGCTTATAACTGTGTCTTTTAAACTGACAGTTCTTTTTCATAATTATATGTATTCCACTGGGTTAAATTCTAAAAATGCCGTTAAACTTTTTAATGTACTTATTCAAAGTCAGGTGCAGTATGAGGCGTTGTCTTTATTAATCATGTTATTTTGTCATTTTGTTGATAGTCTCTGTTAAATTTATTTGCACAATTCTCCATACAGTTTTCCAAATGGTGTAGATATTATATATAGATCAAGACAGTACGTTGATATCTAAATTACATTTAATTACTTATTGGTCTTTTTGTTTAGTTGGGTTTCTGTCTCATCGACGTATCATTATTTGCATATCTGTTATTCATTTCCTATATGAAATAAAACATATACAAGAGTATGAATGTGGATTTAATTTTTTTTCTTCACATTTCAAGTTAATACTGTTGACCTCAATATTAATGAATGAATATAACAATTTTCATGATATGGCCGATTTTCTTGGCAGGTACTTTTTTTTCAAATTCGCGCAACCGGATTTGTGACGTCACTGGATTTTCCGCAAATGTGACTACATTTAAAACGACGTCGCGAAATGTAATCGTTCTTATTAGAAACTTCGCGAAATTACAACGTTCTGATTAACAACGTCGCGAAAACAACACGAACAGTTTTGAAAACGTTATTATCTGCCCCTGCTACTGTATCGTATTCCCTTAAGCTAGGATTTTGAGGCCTTCACTCCTATTGCGTGATAAGAAACCTGACCTTTCTTGGGTAGCAGTTATGTTTAACATGATATTAGTAGTACTAAAGTAGTTATTACATAGGAGAAAATGGGTAAAAAAATAATGAAGAGAGAAAAATGGGTGCTTTAATACACAGAATGGAGAAAATTTGTGTAAGAAATAAAGAATATGAAGTACCCAAGCTCCTTCCCCCAAACCCCATAATTTGCACCATAACTCAAAAGACCTAAACCTTTAAGTCCTCTAGTCAGAAGTATGTAGACAGATCATGAGCAGGTATTTCAATACTAGGAAAAATTATAATTGAGTTATCTTTCTTGCATTCCGGTGTGCTCCTTCTCTTCAGAGGATTATACACAGTAGAAGCACATTTTATTAATGGCCGCCGGTTTTGTTAATCTAATTTCTATATCAAAAGTGAGGGCAGTCAACATGGTCAAAGTCAAAGTAGATCTCAATTTAACATTTTTAACGGACTTAAAGAAAAACGATGTGTTTGAATAAGTTCATTTCGGTTTTTGTATTTCTGTCAGAATTACATTTTCATCATGAAACTACGATAAATGTGTGGTATGAACAATTTCATATGAAATGGCGAAATGCAGACTGACTGATTCTATTGGTATGAATTGATTTTGATGATCATTACAGCAGATTCCATTGAGTGTGTAGCCAAAGGTAATATCTTTGGTTAGCTTGCTTGTTAGCTGAACCGTGAAGTCATTGTTAGGTTAGGTAAACTACCCTACTTTAAGAATAGACTAGTCCGACAGAAAACCAATCGATCTGTCTGTTGGACTATGCTACTTCGAAAGGAGGGTAGTATATCTGACCTTATAATGACTTCACGGTTCAGCTAACAAGCAAGCTAACCAAAGATATTACCTTTGGCTACACACTCAATGGAATCTGCTTGTAATGACCCATCAGACAAGCAGATTACCTGTAACAACAAATAATGACACCTGTTGTATCTGTTGATTAGCTTGGGGTAGTAAACTTGTCATAAACTTGTCACCAGGTAAATTTAAGTGATGAAATTGATCAGCAATACTTGCGTTATTTCGAAAATCGTTTTCCAAATGGCGAAAATGACGAGAGCTATCAAAATCACTGCCTCTTGCCAATGTGGAATAAACAAACACACAGCTAAACACACAGTAAAACTGAGTTTAAAGTCCGAGTCCCATGTTAGATGTTAGAATCGAAGAAACTAAGCAAAATGACAATGATAAACATAAATTAACAAAGGACTACTTGCAGTTAATGACATGCCAGCTCCAGACTTCAATTAAACTGATTGAAAGATTAAGTCTTCATCATATCAAAAAAGACCACAACCCCTCCCGTTTTGGGTTTAGTATCATGCCATCATAAACTATACAAAAAATATGTAATCCGTATCATGCCAACAACTGGTTTTAAAATAAATGTGTTTATTTCCAAAGCAAAGACCTTATGATTGTATTGTAATAGACAGAAAACTCAGGTTCTAGTTTTGGTTTTGATTTATTGGTGTGATCTTAATTGCTATAGTTTATTTAACATTTATTTTGTACTGGTTTTATTTTCAGATAAAAATGACCCCAATAGAAAATAATCATACAAGATTCCGGTAAATTTCTACTACTGAACGGTAAGATCTTGTTTTTAACATGCATACATGTAATATACATGATATAACATTCCATTATATCGAAACCACTAAAAAAAAAGACTTTCAAAAGTAATCAGTAGGCTGGTGATTTCTACCTGTTGCTTTTCTCCAAATGCTGTCCAGGGCTTCAGAATATCTTTGTATGCAAGAAGGAAGCAAGACACATAAAATATCCTACTTTTCTAGCTTGATACTGCTACTTCAGAAGTCCCTGTTTATGCAGATCTTTGTGAAATATTGAACATCAATATATTAAAAAAATTGTCTTACTTCACATAAAAGTATGAAATCATTTTTATAGCAAAGACAATATAAAGTTAGTAAAATGTGGAGAATAAAAAAAATTAAGCTTGTAATTCAGTATAATGTAAAAGAAGAGTATGTTATTATGTAGGAACTATTTAAACGATAATATGGTCAGGCTAATCCATGGATGGATGTAAAGCATGCAAGAGGAACTTCTTTGGCTTCAGAAGAATTTCTTATAATCATGATAATTAAAGGGGCATTAGCTGTCAAATTCATGTTCACCAATTTGACTCAAATTTTCATATTTGATTTATAACATACTAAAACATATATCCAAATTACAAAAAGTCTAAAATAAACAATTAACAATGCATGGACTCGATAATATGGTCCGGGAACACAGTTATCATCCTTTGATTTTTGTTGTCCCTAGTGTGGACAGTGTATTACTTGCAATTTTTTTATGCCCCACCTACGATATTAGAGGGGCATTATGTTTTTCGGTCTGTTCGTCTGTTCGTTCGTTCGTCCGTTTACCGTCTGTCCCGCTTCAGGTTAAAGTTTTTGTTCAAGGTAGTTTTTGATGAAGCTGAAGTCCAATCAACTTGAAACTAAGTACACATGTTCCCTATGATATGATCTTTCTAATTTTAATGCAAAATTAGAGTTTTGACCCCAATTTCACGGTCCACTGAACATAGAAAATGATAGTGCGAGTGGGGTATCCATGTACTATGGACACATTCTTGTTTTATATCCTTTCCAAATTGATGTTTTATGCCTCAAATAGCAAGTAGGGGGATGAAATTACACTGTAAAAAAATTTGGGTCATGAATTTTAAAGTAAATTAGTGATTCGGTCCAAAATTTAACCAAATTGGCTGCTAAAAGCGCATTTTTGTTTCACTTTTTCACTTTCATTAATGATTGAACAAAAAAAATCATATTTAAATTTTTTTTTTATCATGTTTATATCTCGTAGCTAATTAATGCCCCTTTAACTACTTTGTTTACATTCAATTTTGAATATTAATCCAGCATGTTGTTGCATTTTTAAAATCTAAGAAAGGTGTTACTAGTAAGTGAAATAGTGAATGAAAATTAGAAGTTATCAGATCTCTTCCTTTTTTGGAAAAAGACAAAAAAAAAAAAAAAAATACACCACTGTCCAATTCTGCAATTCAAAGAATTTTCCATTTAACAAACTATTTAACTTTTAGATTGTCTATTGTATAACAATGTATTTTTCAGATGGACAATTGTAAACATGTAACCAAGATAAGACCCAACTGGAACCATTCATGCTTAAATCCTCAGAAATGGTTGTGTTATATCTGTGGTACAACTGAGAGTGTATGGGTAAGGAATAGAAAAATATACAGTTTCAGTTTCAAATCATAATCTTTTTTCTTTGCCTAGTACTCTGTGTTATATTAAAGTAATCACTTTTATTGATGAAGGTTTTTTGACAAGTATCAAAATGGTGTTGTTAAGGTTATGAAAGAATTGCATTGTCTAGTATACCATGTATACCAATTAAAGATGTTTTACTCAGTACAACCATCTGTGTCACAAAAAGTAGTCTCTAATACACATTCATAAAAGGTACTTTTGATTTGTTCATATGTAAGGTATACGTAACATAATCATAGTGTCGAAATGATAGTAAGGATATGCACTGTTATTGTCAGTTGGACAATTTGCCATCAAAGATCACTGTGAAAGAAGGTTAATAGATAATGGTGTTGAAAATATGTTGCTACAAATGGCATCACTGCTGATGTATTCTTAAACTCATTGATAGGTAAACAAATCATTAACATTAGCTTGTATCAGTTGGTGAACTTGTGTACAAATTGTAAATGATAAAGACATTTCAACAATAAACATATAGACATAATAATTTACATCAATTAAAACACTCCAAAACATCTTGATGTGATACTCTGGGGTAATATTATTTTTGTTGTTTTGTTTTGTTTTTGTATTCTTCTAATATTTAAAAAATATATCCTTAAAAGAGACTTCATGTATTTATTAGTGTGTGAAGAATGATTTCAATAAAATAGCTGCTGTTTTTGTACGTTTTGACTATTCAATAAGAATATCCCAACACATCCAAAAATATTAAATAAACCAGAGAACAAGAGTGGCATTTTCATTTGCCTTCGAGACTTTTTGTTACAAAAGTATGACAATCACTTTGCGCTGTTCAGAAATCTAGATTTTTTTCAAATGATTCTGAACAGTTACTGTTGATTTAGAAGTCATTTCTTCGAAACTCATTTAGTGTTATATATTTGTATTTTTCAGGCATGTTTGAGCTGTCCAAATGTGGCTTGTGGAAGGTTTAATGAGGAACATGCTCTCAAACATTACCAAGAAAGTAAAGTATGTATACCACTGGCTAAGTATTGTTGTCTTCTCAAACATTACCAAGAAAGTAAAGTATGTATACCACTGGCTAAGTATTGTTGTCACTTCGTATCTTTAGTTATAATTTAAGGCTTTTGTCAATTTAGAGATTTGTTTTGATGTCTGATCTTTGGCAGTCTCTGTTAACAAATTTTTTAGGCTGGAACGATTAAAGGTTTGACATATTGTGAAGAAACTTGTGATGAAGCATGTACAGTAAATGTAAAATGTTTATTTTTGTGCCTTTGGGTTGCTGTCTTATTGACACATACCTCACATGTCCTTCGTTTATATAAATTTATATTTTTCAGCATCCTTTGAGTATTGAAGTTAACAACAGATATGTATACTGGTAAGTTGATTCAGATTTTGATTATTAAGTATAAAAGTAAGGAGATGTGGTATGATTGCCAATGAGACAGCTATCCACCAAAATTCAAATGAAGTGGATGAAAGCAATTATAGGCAACCGTATGGCCTTCAACAATGAGAAAATCCCATAGCATATAGTCGGCTATAAAAGGCCCCGACATGATAGTTCAGTTCCTGTTGAAAGTTGTGGTTCTCTCCAAGCATTTTGGCATACTCCATCAATAAAAAATTGGCTGCCACGAAATAGCCAATAGTGCTTAAAGTGGTGTTAAACAGCAAAAATCAATCTTGAAATCATAATTCAGATTTGCATTATCATGATTATATTGATTTCCTTGACAACTTTTATGATTTGTCTAGTTTAGTAATAATGATCATAATCATACCTTAAGCCTAAAAGTATCTGGTGCAGGCATGTAAGATTATATAAAGATAGTATAACCTTTATTTTGTCTACAGTTATGAATGCGATGACTATGTTATGAATGACAATGCTGCTGGTGATCTGAAGATACTACGAAGTGCTTTAAGTGCCATAGCTACTCAAACATTTACAGATGTAGAATCTAGAGGAAGAAGACTTCTAAGGTCATATTCTGTTACAGCTGTAGCATCAACGTAAGTTTTTTTAAAAGCTGATCAAGTGTCAATTAGGTGCCTGTTTTCCTTAACAAATAAGGCATCATTCTATTCAATGGAAAAAAGTTAGTAATGCCTTCCAAGCTCTCCAATTTTCCAAAAGGTCTAGTTCAAAAGTGAAAAATGTTTTGAAAAATGATTCACTATGAATAAAAAGTGTTAAGGTATATTTAATTAACAGCAACCCTACAACACAAAAAAGCAAGAAATTCCTAATGTGGGACTTACACATGAACAAGTGGTCAGCTTAAACTAATTTTTTTAGCACCTTCTGCTGGATTTCTTTGATGATTTTCACCCCTTTTTTTGCAATTCAGATTTTCATTAGAAACAGTCATACAGATATTAATTATCCTGAAGTATGTGTATTTATTTTCCAGTGAACTGAAACAATGTGAAATTAGACCTGAAACTTTGGGTTTTTTTTGTCGTTGCATGGATTACTAATAACAGCCACATTTCTAATGTGTCTAAATAGACCTGAAATGCGATTAAAAGAGATGTGCATTGGTGTCTTAAGAAAAAGACTTATGTCCCAGAAGAGTCAATGTGAAGAAGTATATAACTGTCCCATTATAATTCCCACAAAATGTCAGAAAGTAATGCCAAGTTTTTTCTCATGTGAAAATAAAACTTAATAGACATCACAACAATTAAAATGTACATTAAAGTTTTTGCTGGTAAAATTCCACCACAACACATACAGATCTTGCAATATTTAATCAATGATTATTTTATTTGCTGAAATTTCCCAGTAATAAATTCTTGTACATGTTTGAAGTTCTAAATTGAAAAGTAGAATAATAAACTTACATACATGGTCAACCTTCATGAAAATTTGTATATAGTTCTTCAATGCAATAAACAAGAATATTTGAAAATGTATTGTTTATTGTGCAATTTTTAGAACAACAGCTGAAGATGATGACAGATTGGCCACATCAGTATGGCATTATAGGTAGGTATAATTAATGGAAACATACAAGTACGGTAAGATATTATTGTTTTATTTTTGATTGGATAACTAAATTTGGACTTGAATTTGATAATTAGAAAAAGTTTTGGAAATAGCATTCTCGCCATGCAGCCAAAAAAAAAATTTGAGCACAGAAATCAACCAATCAGAATACTGGATTTGGTTTTTAGAGCACAAATTATGCACTCCCAGTTCTGAGTAAAGTTTCATGACTTAAAGGCCAGATTTCAGGATTGTCCTACGATAGTAGAGGGGCATTATGTTTTTCGGTCTGTCCCGCTTCAGGTTAAAGTTTTTGGTCAAGGTAGTTTTTGATGAAGTTGAAGTCCAATCAATTTGAAACTTAGTACACATGTTCCCTATGATATGATCTTTCTAATTTTAATGCCAAATTAAGAGTTTTGACCCCAATTTTAAGGTCCACTGAACATAGAAAATGATAGTGCGAGTGGGGCATCCGTGTACTATGGACACATTCTTGTTCTCCCATAATTCCCTACAGATGATCTTGTATTGATGAAATTAATGCTGGTCAGTTCCTTTGATGTTCTTCTTTATTAGTAACTATTTCTGTTTGTTTGTAATTATTTATACCAATAAATATCAGGTTAGAAGATTTCAAATGTTATATAGAATTTGATAGACATTTGGAAATAGCATTTTTAATAGCACTCTAAACACTATGAAATATCAGGAATAAAAGCTGGAATAAAGTATTTCTCTTTGAACCAAACATTCAGGAATTGATTGGGACTTGTCAATATAGAAATAAGGAGACATGGTATTGATTGCCTATGACACAACTATCAATCAAAGACCAAAGGAGGAGGATGTAAGCAGCTAAAGGTTGCTGTACAGCCTTCAACAATGAGCAAAACCCATACCAATAGTCAGCTATAAAAGGCCATGACAAAATGTTAAAATTCATATGAACGAAAACCATGTTTATTTATAGCACTGTATAGAACAGTGAGCCATTCTGTAAAATTGTAAATTCAGAAATCATTGTGATGTTTTAAGCTCACCTGGCCCGAAGGGCCAAGTGAGCTTTTCTCATCACTTGGCGTCCGTCGTCCGTTGTCCGTCGTCGTCGTTAGCTTTTTACAAAAATCTTCTCCTCTGAAACCACTGGGCCAAATTTAACCAAACTTAGCCACAATCATCGTTAGGGTATTTAATTTAAAAAATGTGTCTGATGACCCAGCCAACATTCCAAGATGGCGGCCATGGCTAAAAATAGAACATAGGGGTAAAATGCAGATTATGGCTTATCTCTGAAACCAAAGCATTTAGAGTAAATCTGACATAGGGTAAAACTGATTATCAGGTCAAGATCTATCTGCCCTGAAATTTTCAGACAAATCTGACAACCTGTTGTTGGGTTGCTGCCCCTGAATTGGTAATTTTAAGGAAATTTTTCAGTTTTTGGTTATTATCTTGAATATTATTATAGATAGAGATAAACTGTAAACAGCAATAATGTTCAGCAAAGTAAGATCTACAAATAAGTCGTCATAACCAAAATTGTCAGTCGACCCCTTTAGGAGTTATTGCCCTTTATAGTCAATTTTTAACAATTTTTCGTAAATTTTTGTAATCTTTTACAAAAATCTTCTTCTCTGAAACTGCTGAGACAAATTTAACCATACTTGGCCATAATCATTATTAGGGTATCTAGTTTAAAAAAATTGTCTGATGACCCCGCTTTCCAACCATCATGGCCGACTTGGTTAAAAATAGAACATAGGGGTAAAATGCAGTTTTTGGTTTATATCTCTGAAACCAAAGCATTTAGAGCAAATCTGACAGGTGGCAAAAATGTTCATCAGATTTAGATTTATCTTGTTATTATTTTAGATATCATTATAATATCTAATATCTAATACTATTAATTATGATTTTAACCTTATTTTACATGATTTCCAAAGCATCAGTAAATACAGGTGAGCGACACCGGCTCTTGAGAGCCTCTAGTTATTAATGCGAAAAATGCTACAGGATCAGGTTCTCAATAATAAAAAGTTGCGTTTTGCAATCACATTAAGTAGATCTCACATTTTTACCAGTAATCAGTGATTCCCAATAATAGATGCACACATTAATTACTGAATTTACAGTATCTAATAGAGGTGATATTTAAAAATCATTGCCATCTTCAGGGGGATCCAGGATTGTTGAAAAGGTGTGTGTAATGCAGAATAGTGAAGATATACCAAGGAGGGAATTGAGGTGGAAACATTTTTTTTCAATTTTATTCAAAAAATTCAAATAAATCATGAGAAATATGAGATTTAAAAAAAAATTTGGTGATCAAAGGTTGCATAAGCCCTCTGCGACCTATCCTGGATCCAACAATGTACTTATAATATTATTTTAAATTATGATTTACTTTGTAATATTTGATAACTGTGACATTAGAAAACGATATGTTTAAGATTTTTTGTTTTGTTATGTTTTACAGGCACACATTACTAACAAAGACTTTACGTGCCTGGACAAGATTTGCTAAAGAAAACAAGGAAGAGAGGGTAATATTGATCACAGAGTATGACTCCTGTAGATTTATTTTTATTTTCATACCCTGGCTCAACATGAAGGAGTGTATTCTACTTTACCTTTGTCTCTCCATCTGTGACACATTTTAGGCCAGGTTGGACAAAGTCCTAAACCAGCTTATAGTATGTGATATTGGGTGGGCAGGGAAAAGTGGGTACTTAATGTAATCAACTCTTCCTACAGTTTTCAACCTAATTCCCTGAAACTTGACAGGAAGATTACACATATGTTGAAGTTGTGCACCTATCAACTGTTTGATGAATTTTTTTCTCATTTTTCCAAACTTGGAAACTTGAAAAAGGATACAAGTTTAGTGAAGTCAACTCCTCCTACAGTTTTCAATCCAGATCCCCAAAACGTCACCGGAAAATTGGACATATGTTGAAGTTGTGTGCCTGCTGTTATAGAATAGTTTGAGGAATTTTTACATTTCATATTTCAAATATTTAGATGTTCAGTATAGAGCATTCTCCAATCTTAAACATTCTGCACAACACAGCCTTGGATGTTTTGACCCATTTTTATCATTAACTACAAGTCATAGCTTCTTGTTATATGGCAGCAAGCTTCATCTGGTTATCCAATACAGGTTGACATGTTTTTTGTTCCATCGATGTTGCACTTCCTTTTTGGCGAAAACATGTTTGTAAAATATCATGAAATTTTGGTCACATTTTTTCTGCAACTACAAGTCATAGAGTCTTGATAAATGGCGGTAAGATTTATGTGGTTTTGCGATACTTTGTGACATGTTTTCAGTTTATTCAATATTCTTCTTCCTGTTTTCTGAAATCCTTCATCTAAAAAATGCATGCATATACATGCATATGAAACATGGTAGGAGACAGTAACACCTGTCATCTCATTCAAAAGAACCTGTCAGATTTGCCTAAAAGTGACCTGTGACCTGAGGCATTTTTTAAACATGACCCTGCTACCTAAGGTACTGGAGCCCCCCTTATGTCCATGTATCCTTCTTTTTACATTTCTTTCACATATGATACAAAGATATGTTGGTTTAAGTGACTTGGTATCATTTCTAAATGCCTATCTATTCAAATTTCAGCTGTCAGATTATATATATGTCCTCTACATGTCATTTATACATAAAACAATTTTTTTCATTTTCCTTTTTTCAGCAATCACCACTGAGAGCTATAAGATTTTTAGTACCAATCTTCATCCCAGTAAGCTATAGGATTTCATTCATTTTAAGATCCCTATATAATTATGTTTTGTAAATACATGTATGTCCTTTGAATGTAATGTACATGTATGTATGGAAATCCTTTACATTCTCTTATTTACTGCAAATTATTTCTTATGATGCTTGGTACAAACTTTATTCTTCGTAAATTATACTATGATCCTGATTGTTTTTCAGGTCTGCAGCTCATGTACTTCCTTTTGTCAAATACATATGTGTTTCCTTTGCTTGTAATGCTTATGAATAAAATTTATAATATTTTTCATGGCAACTTCTATTCGAAGCTTATCCATCAGCTTTATATGTAATATACAATCACATGTAGTAAGGCCAAAAAAAAATATATGTCTGTTTACGGTTACCCGACCAACCCTACTTTTGAGCGCAAACCCTGTCATTTTATTTCTGTCGTAAAGTGAAAAATAAACTGAACTCGTGTCAAAAGCGATGTTCGAGTTGCCAATAAAATAAATCAATTGCCTGATACATCTAAATGTTCACAATCGTGAATATGACAGCTGTTTTAAGGAAACTTGTGACTCGTGTGATGAAATAAACACATTGCTGCCATTTTTTTCCAACCAATAACCAAGGGAAATAATCCAATCATTAAAAGTATGGGTAAACTCAGCCCATGGACAACTCGGACCACGGCAAGACGGACCGCATGACTCAAAATTATGTCGCAAAAAATAAAATGGAAATACCGACCTACCTACCCTATTTTTTTAAAGGCAGTGCTTTAATGCCTTTCTAGTTGCCGTGTTAATCTTTCTTTCCGCGATATCCAACTAATCTACATGAGGGGTCATTAGGCTCCAAGTAGATCCGGAAAATGTTGATTTTCTCCTCTTCTTATTGTGATATAAAATGTTTTTTGTTTCATTTCATTTACATTGGGAAATAGAGAAACGATCATTGTGTTTTGTTAGTTTTAAAAACTTTTGATATATTTGTATTTTACATTATAAGCAGTCAACTGATTGACAAACTAGAATTATTTGAATTCCGTGTGTTAAGAGGTCGGGTTAATTTCGAGTGTTATCTGCAATCTAGATGTTTATAAATCATTTCAGTCGTTGATATAACAATTAAAGGTCGACTGAACATGAATTATATTATACAATTTAAGGCGCATTTCTGTTTATGCACATGAACCCATCTAACATTATTGATTGTTATTTCGCAGTTATATAAAGTAGCAAATTGTCGTTCCTGAATAGGTGGCGCCGTGGTAGCCGATCCTGTTCTTAAACTTCCGGTTTCTGCACTGTGCAACTATACAGTTGCATTTTTAATTAACGATGCCAAGTACTTGTTGTTGTGTACCTGGATGTCATTTAAGAGGAGGACATGCATTTCCAAATGACTTAAAAAGAAGGAAAAGTTGGATCAACGCCATGGCCCATACGCAGATTGGACGAGAACACGATGAAATCGTGGAGTCCATCTCAATCAGCTGTTGTTTGCAAGGCACATTTTACTGAAAAAGACTACGTGCAGGAAACTATTCATGGTAAAACTCTATTTTCTTTTTAAAATATATAGTTAAATATGTAATCGCCATGCGAATAAACCAAAGTCTGTTTACAACCGCAATTATCGTTTTAGAATAAAAGGGGGTGGTTAATTCTCAAGACGTCATAATTTTTTGGATTACGATTCAATGTGATCTGTTTGAGATTTTTTGGTGCTTGCTACAATTATAATGATTTCTTACAAGAGGTATATCATACTGAGAATTATTTTAGCAGTAATTATGCTAATGTAGTAATGACAGGAATGCATAAGCTATGCCTCATAGACTTTCTTGAAAAATATCAATGACAATGTTAACAGGAACAAAACAATGACATGCTCTCATTTATATTATAGTTATTTAGGTACAAACAATGTATGTTTGTTGCATACATCTCTCATTGTTTGTCCTTTGGATTTACATAACATACATTTTGATGTACATTGAATCAGGCTAACATAGTTTTATCCAGATTGTAATGAATAAATCTAGTTAATATTTTGCCAGGTAGTACAAAGTATACATTGCTAATGGAAGTTCATTTAATTATCAAAAAAACTAATGTTTTATAACCTTTTTCAGAGCGCAAACCCTCCATACAGAGACTTAAGTCTACTGCCATTCCCAGCCTATTTTCCTGGATCAAGCAAGAGACTGAATCGTCCGCAAAAAGAAAAATCAGGGCAGTTTCCTGTGAAAACAAAAGAACTAAACTTGATGAATATTGTAGTAGAAATCTAGAGGAAAGTTTTGATTGTAAAGTTGGTTTTCCTGAAGAAGTCATTCATACTGCAGCCAGGATTTATGACTGTCCACCACCAACTGCCGAGCTAATGTTGAGCTTCACAGATGGAATTACGCAAACACCATCAATGCCTATATTTTCAGCAGAGAATTTTGAAATGAAGACATGTGACACAGCCATGCATTTTTATACCAGTTTAGAGTTGTATACTAAATTTTTATTTGTTTTGACCACACTTGGTCCAGCAGCACATTGTTTGAGATACATATATTTTCAAATTGATAGGGTGTCATTTGAAAATCATTTTTTTTATGACTTTGATGAAATTGAGGCATTATACAACCAACTTTGAACTGTCAAGATTCTAGATTGAAACTAGTGTTAAGAATATTGTGTAAACATGGATTGTTTTTATGTCTAAACAGTGGCGTGAGGCTAACACTTGGCCATTTAGTGGTTTAGTCAGGTATTTTTCGCCATCCAACTTCAAATTAAAGTTTCCTACAACTTGGATTATTATTGACAGCACAGAATATCCCGTGATAAAACATAAAGCTCCTAGAGCTCAGGCAACCTTTTCATCATATAAAAACAGAAACACTGAAAATACTTGTATGTTCGACACCTGGTGGTTTAGTCAACTACAAAAATGTATGTCTCTAATGCATATGTTGGTTGTACCAGTGACTGTGAAATAGTTGAAAGATGTAGAATACATGTGTAGTTCAATTATGTGATCCAGGTGACAGTGTGATGGCAGACAAAGGTTTAAATGTGCAAGATTTGTTTGCTCACTTTTTTCAAAAAAAGAAACAGAATTAGTTCCAAAACTCTTATACGGGATAGAAAAGTCTCCAATTAACACATGCACATAGAGCTAATTATTGGACTTGGCAAAACATACAAAATTCTAATAAATCCTATGAATGGAACTGAAACAAAACTTTCATCTGAAATAACATTTAAGTTGTTTTATGTTGTGTAATTTTAGAACTTGTATTGTGCCAAAGGATGCATAAATAAAAGTGACGCAATGAAGTTTGTTCTGATATATATATATAAATATTATTTACAATTACATGCACACGTAAATTGTAATGCATAAAAAAATAAGGAGATGTGGTATGATATTCAGTGAGTTTATCGAACCAAAGTGCATAAGAAATGGGTTAAGCAGTTACAGGTGTTACTGTCACCGTACAATCTCCAACAATTAGAAAAACTTGTACCGTGTAAAAAATTTCAGAGATCTTACAACTAAGTTTGACTTAGGTGAATTGTTTATATCTGTTGATGTAAATATTAAAAAGAAGATGTGGTATGATTGCCAATGAGACAACTCTCAACAAGAGACCAAATGACACAGAAATTAACAGCTATAGGTCACAGTACGTCCTTCAACAATGAACAAAGCACATACAGCACAGTGAGCTATAAAAGGTCCCAAAATGACAATGTAAAACAATTCAAACAAGAAAACTAATGGCCTAATTTATGTACAAAAAATGAACGAATAACAAATATGCAACACATAAACAAACGACAACCACTGAATTACAGGCTCCTGACTTGGGACAGGCACATACATGAACATACAGAATGTGGCGGGGTTAAACATGTTAGCGGGATCCCAACCCACCCCCTAACCTGGGACAGTGGTGTAACAGTACAATATAAGAACAAACTATAAAAATCAGTTGAAAGAGGCTTAAATCATCAGATGGATAAATACAAATACAAATGGACGTGGCCGGGTAGTTGTACATCCAAACAACTAAAAGACACTAAGTACAGATCTGAGAGTACTCGCATTTACTGACAGCTAGTTCAAAGCCACTAACAACTGATAAAAAAATCTTGCATCTAAGACTAAATTATCAATCCGTAAGCTCCCTTTAGAATTTTATAAATTTTAGATTTTACATTTCTGAGTTGTGAGGTTTTATTCATTAAAAAAGGGGGGATTTTCCAGTTTTTGGACAACAACTCAAAAATGCTTTAAGCAGTTCGCATGAAACTTTGGTGAATTATTTATAGCTATTGATGTAATCTCCCTATTGATTTTCATAAATTTCAAATATGACATTGAGAAGAAATTGAACTTTATTTGTTTATAGTCTGGCAACAGATTTATTAAGTATTGCGCAACAGCACAGTGTATTGCAGAACAGCAAGAAATCTTTAATTGAATATAAATTCAATTCATATAACCAATTTCAAGTTCTTTGACTACATTTATTCAGAAACTATAATATGTCAAATATTTAATTACAATCCAAATTCAGACCTGTATCAAGCTTGAATATTGTGTCCATTTTTGCCCCAACTGTTCAGGGTTTGACCTCTGCAGGTGTATCCAGCGGTGCTCAGCGAATCAGTTTATTTCTTAAATAAGAACTCCTTTTTGTCGAGCCTGCCACTTTTGTCGCAGAAAGCTCGACATAGGGATAGTGATCCGGTGGCGGCGTTAGCTAACTTCTTAAAAGCTTTATATTTTAGAAGGTGGAAGGTCTGTTTGCTTCATACTTTGTATATGGATGCCTCATGTTACGAAGTTTCCGTCAGTCACATGTCCAATGTCCTTGACCTCATTTTCATGGTTCAGTGACTACTTGAAAAAAAAGTTAAGATTTTTTGTAATGTTAAATTCTCTCTTATTATAAGTAATAGGATAACTATATTTGGTATGTGCGTACCTTGCAAGGTCCTCATGCCCGTCAGACAGTTTTCACTTGACCTCGACCTCATTTCATGGATCAGTGAACAAGTTTAAGTTTTGGTGGTCAAGTCCATATCTCAGATACTATAAGCAATAGGTCTAGTATATTCGGTGTATGGAAGGACTGTCAAACTGGCAGGTGTTATCTGACCTTGACCTCATTTTCATGGTTCAGTGATTAAAGTTAAGTTTTTGTGTTTTGGTCTGTTTTTCTTATACTGTATGCAATAGGTCTACTATATTTGGTGTATGGAATGATTGTAAGGTGTACATGTCTAGCTGGCAGGTGTCATCTGACCTTGACCTCATTTTCATGGTTCAGTGGTCAAAGTTAAGTTTTTGAGTTTTGGTCTTTTTTTCTAATACTATATGCAATAGTTCAACTATATTTGGTGTATGGAATTATTTCATGATCTATTTGTCAGTCACATAGGTTTTTTTTTACCTTGACCTCATTTTCAAGGTTCATTGCTCAGTTTTAAGTTTTGTGTTTTGGTCTGTTTTTCTTAAACTATAAGCAATAGGTCAACTATATTTGTTGTATGGAAGAATTGTTAGCTGTACATGCCTGCCTAGCATGGTTCATCTGACCTTGACCTCATTTTCTTGGTTCATTGGTCAATGTTTAGTTTACTTGGTTAATGTTAAGTTTATGTGACAGTTGTAATAAAGCTTTATATTTAGGACTATCAACATAATATCAATGATTAGTAAAGAAGGCGAGACATTTCAGCGTGTGCACTCTTGTTTCATTCATAAATTACTTTATACTTGGAAATATAATTTTGCTTGGAGTTATAGTTTCTAAAAATAGTATTGTCATTGAAAGAGTTGACATGTTGCAATGTACATTTATTCTTCATAGTTTTATGGTACCAAATCAAAAGTTTATATAAAAGAAAGAAGTCAAAGTTTTCCCATCATAGTTTAGTTACATACATTTTTTTTGTACCTGAGGTCGTTGAATATAGATCATTATATAAATAAGGAGATGTGTCATGATTGCCAATGAAACAACTATCACCCATACATTGTACTTACCAGTAACAAACCACATTTGCAAAGTCGAATAAAATACAGTTGATAACATTTACTTATTACTAAAAAGAAAATGCCAAACTATTTTTAACAGTATTTGACTATATATAAACATAGATAAAAAAGGTACAAACTGGACATAATGCACTAGTTCATAAACAAATGAGAACAATGGCCTTCATATAGTGCTCAGAATATGACATTCATAAAACTTGTTCAATATCATTAGAGAACTCTAAATATTAAATACTGAAAGTCACCTCTGATAAGTACAATGTACTATGCAAGATAATGATATAACTGGACTAAAAATACACACACCCTGTAATTAACTGCCTTTACAGCGCTTTCGCGCTTTGATTAAATGATGTAACCTTAAACAGACATATATTTTTTTTTTGCCTTATTAAGTGGTTGCTTGCCAGTGCATATGGATAACTTCTGTCATTGTTGGCATCATAAGTTTTTAATCTGCAACACCTTTAAAATGGGTAGACAGGATTCAACCAAACTTGCAGTTTCTTCTACAGAACATGGAGTTGAGCAACTCTTTTTCTGAAGGATTTTTATGTTTCCAATACCACAACATGAACTGCTAATATCATGTATATCAATTTGTTAAAATCACAAAATCTTTATCTTGACAGAATTTCACCATATTTGCACAGATTCTTCTATAGGACACAAAGTTGTGCACCTGTGATTAATTTCACAAAAAATCCTACAAGAAAAAAATACTTGCAAGTCATAAAATTTCAGTATAACTTACGATCAATTTTTATCATAAAATTTTGGGAAAAAAGCCCCAGCTATTTAGATTTATGAACTGAGTGATTTTTGGGTTTCCTATACTAAAATATGGACTTGGCCATTTGTGCTTATTTTGTTTAAAGACAGCAGACGACACACCTCTTCCTGTAATTGTGTGGTTTTCTTGTCCTTAGTTCTATGTTCATCAAAATTTAAATATGACACTTAATTTTATTTGTTTTATAATGAAAAAAGTTTAATGCCTAATGAAATCACACAGAAAGAACATATTTTTCCAGAGACAATTGAAAACAAAAAAACAAAGTTTCCTTACATAATTATTTATAATCCCTGCTATTTCTGGTTTTTACCTTGAGAATTTTTCTTACACATTCTTCAATCAAACTTTCTAATTGCACATTACCCTATGTTTAAAAGTAGTTCTTTATAGCTTTTTTATAATTATTTTAATGTTTACTTATTTTACTTAGACACCTCGTAAAACTCCAGTAAAAGAAGAAGAATCTCCCTCATTTTTACGACGGAGAACATTAATTCCAGGAATGACAGGGTTAAGGAATTTAGGAAATACTTGTTACATGAATTCCATATTACAAATACTAAGGTAAGTTTATCATATAAGAAAGAAATGGAACAATGTACTTTGAAAAGTTTATAGTTCTACTGACATTTGCAATTTTTCTTTAAAGATCAAAAATCTTTTAAAATTACATCTTTGGATTTAAAAAAAACAACTGTTAGTATAATAAAGGCTCATTATTAACTGAATAAAATTTCTAATATCTAAAAATCTGAGATTTTCAGAATCACTGCACTTACATCAAAACATCAGGACAATAACAAATACATTCAATAATTTTGCTTTTGTTATAAATTAACCTTCTCAGATCGAATGATTGACAACAGGCAATGTTTATTCACTGTCTTAGATGCATTATCATTATTCCAAAACTCAACCGCTCTTAACATTTAAAAGGGTTTAAATTGTATTGAATATATTTCATGTATTTACATTATTAATTATGATTTAAACTTTTTATAATTTATTTTCTTGATAATTTAACCCTTGAAAATAGTTTCAGCTTTGTAGCAAAATAAACTCTGACTCTTCTTTGGCAGAATCGCAGACAGAAGAATACATAGAACTCTTAATCATTAATAAGAAATGGCTCATATATGATTACTTCCAAGTCATAGATTTGAAAATTTTACTTTACCTTACAATTTATTGTGAATATTGTTTCATTTACAGCCATATAGAAGTGCTCAGAGATTTTTTCCGTTTTTCTGTGAAGCAGTTATCTAGTAGAGTTGCCACCCCTGAAAAAAGTCCAACAGGAGCAGCCTTTTCTGTGTCGCCAAGACCATCTATAAGAATGCTTAGCAGACAGACTACAACTGAATGTTTTCAAGTATGAAATTAAGTGATTGTCATGTGATAGTGTGTATCCTTACTTCCAAAATTTAAGCTTGCAAATTTTTATGCCCCAGACGTAGCGGAGGGGGCATTAAGTTTTACCCTTGTCCGTCTGTATGTCCACTAGTCCCAAAGTTGGTTTCCGTTCTCTAACTTTAGTTTGCCTCAACCAAATGTTATGAAACTTATACACAATGCTTATTACCACAAAACACAGATCAAATTCAAATTTTGGTGGCGTCACTTTAACTGTTCTATAGTTATGCCCCTTTACAAATAGAAAAATTGCTGAATTTTTCGTTTCCGTTCTCTAACATAAGTTTGCCTCAACCAAATGTTATGAAACTTATACACAATACTTATTACCACAAAACTCGGATCAAGTACAAATTTGGGTAGCGTCACTTATAGCGTTCTTCAGTTATGTCCCTTTATAACGTTATATGATATGCAAGCGGGGGCATAATCTGTGTCCCAAGAACACATTCCCCATTTATTTTTTGATTAGATCATTTAAAGGGGAACCACAAATGGTAGGTCAATGATATTTGGTATGTGGTTGTATAAGCATTGGAACATCTCATTTCCATGGAGATGATTTGGCCTTGCCCTCCCAGTCATGGTCTACTGACTTTGAAACTTTTGCATATTTACATGTTTACGATGGTGATTAGGTCAGTTAACAATATTTGGTGTGCAGTTATATTAGCATTGGCACATCTTATTTCCATAGAGATTATTTTGCCATGCCGCATCAGTCATGGTCTGTTGACTTTGAAACTTTAGCATAGTTTACATGTTATAGTTTGTGATTACCTTTGTAGGTCAGTTTAAGGGGAACCACTTAATATAAGTCAATGATATTTGGTATGCAGTTGTATTTGTTCTGGCATATCTTATTTCCACAGAAATTATTTTGGCTTGTACCTTCGGTCATGGTTCATTGACTTTGAATATTTTTCACATCTTACATTTCAAAATGTTGCTATTTTAAGTTCAACATTTGTTTGCATTTTACTATCAAAATTTCATACAGGCAAGATCTCTGTGTCAAAATTATGAACAATTGACTTTGATTTGATGTGCGTTTTTCAGTATTTGAACACCAAAACCCCATCAACTCCACCTACACCAAAGATACCTAAATTGGGTGGATTAAATGGTGGATCAAGTCATTCTACACCAGTAAATAAACAGCTTATATTAAATGTGGAAGATTGCTCAACAGAAAAAATGTAAGAATTATATATTTAATACTATATTAGAAATTTGATAGCTCATAATCAAGGGGATTCCATTTTATGAAAGAGACTAATCGTCATTGAAAACTTGTAATTGATGAATTAAAAGTCTGCTCAAATGAGTATAAGAGATGTTGGGTATACAAAAATCAGACTAACCATACAACACAATATCACACGTCAGCTCCTAATCTTCTTCATGTTTAGATGAGTTATTTATTTAAACAGAAACCACCCAAGATAAACCATCAAAATAAAATTTTGTCGAACAACTAACATATTCATGTTAATATGTATGGTTTTCATTTGTAATACAGACATCATACCATATGAACACAAATATTGAATCATAATAAAATTCTGAATCGTAAATATTTACCCAAACAAGGATATGTAAATATTTATTTAAAGATAATGTGACTGTTTATCTGAACAAGGATAATGCAAATGCTTATCATATTTTACTAAAATTACTGTGACGACTGTGAGTTTTGTCTGGAAAGGCAGCAATTTGTTAAACAAGAATAATATGCATAGATTTGAAAAACTATTGTTTGACATATTTCCTAGTAGAATATAACTATTGTATGAAGATTTTTAGCTTCCAATACCTTTTATGATTTTGTTTTAGATCTATGTGCCAAGAACTAAATGGACTGTTTAGAGTATTATGGTCTGGCAGATGGGCCCAAGTTAGTCCCCATGCTTTCTTACATTCTGTATGGCATGCTATACCGACCTTTAAAGGTCATGCTCAACATGATGCTCAGGAATTCTTATGGTAGGTTTATATTATTTTCTTCTAATGTTTCCCGCCCAACAATACATGAATTGATACATTTATGATTCCATTAAAGGGAATTATGGGTAATAACAACAATTATCAAATATGACTTATAACCTTCAAATGCTATTGTTATTATAAAGTTTGAAGAGAAATAAAAAAAATGGAAAAATAAAAATAATTTACAACAAATTGATAGGTATAGAGAATAGTATTTCATTTCTCTAAAAAAATCTATATGATAGTGTCTTTTCATTTTTAAATGTGTCTGCAGCAATCCTTCCTCAAAATCCCCCCCCCCCCCCCCCCCCCAAAAAAAAAAAATTGCTGTAAGCTTTAATTTTTTTTAGCTCACCTGACCTGAAAGGTCAAGTGAGCTTTTCTCATCACTTGGCGTCCGTCGTCCGTCGTCCATAAACTTTTACAAAAATCTTCTCCTCTGAAACTACTGGGCCAAATGCACCCAAACTTAAACACAATCATCATTCAAGTATCTAGTTTAAAAAATGTGTCCGGTGACCCGGCCAACCAACCAAAATGGCCGCCATGGCTAAAAATAGAACATAGGGGTAAAATGTAGATTTTGGCATATATCTCTGAAACCAAAGCATTTAGAGCAAATCTGACATGGGGAAAAATTGTTTATCAGGTCAAGATCTATCTGCCCTGAAATTTTCAGATGAATCGGAGAAGCCATTGTTGGGTTCCTCCCCCTAAATTGATAATTTTAAGGAAATTTTGCCGTTTTTGGTTATTATCTTGAATATTATTATAGATAGAGATAAACTGTAAACAGCAATAATGTTCAGCAAAGTAAGATCTACAAATAAGTCAACTTGACCAAAATGGTCAGTTGACCCCTTAAGGAGTTATTGCACTTTATAGTCAATTTTTAACCATTTTTCGTAAATTTTTTGTAATCTTTTACAAAAATCTTCTCCTCTGAAACTACGAAGACAAATTTAACCAAACTTGTCCACAATCATCATTAGGGTATTTAGTTTAAAAATTTGTCCGATGACCCCGCCGGCGAACCAAGATGGCCGACATGGCTAAAAAATAGTACATAGGGTAAAATGCAGTTTTTGGCTCATATCTCTGAAACCAAAGCATTTAGAGCAAATCTGACGGATTAAAATTGTTCATTAGGTCAAGATCTATCTGCCCTGAAATTTTCAGACCAATCAGGCAACACGTTGTTGGGTTGCTGCCCCTGAATTGGTAATTTTAAGAAAATTTTGCAGCTTTTGGTTATTTTCTTGAATATTATTATAGATAGAGATAAACTGTAAACAGCAATAATGTACAGCAAAGTAAGATCTACAAATAAGTCAACATGACCAAAATTGTCAATTGACCCCTTAATGAGTTATTGCCCTTTATAGTAAATTTTTTACAATTTTCATAAATTTACAAAATATTTTCCACTGTAACTACTGGGCCAAGTTCATTACAGATAGAGATAATTGTAAGCAGCAAGAATGTTCAGTAAAGTAAGATCTACAAACACATCACCATCACCAAAACACAATTTTGTCATGAATCCATCTGTGTCCTTTGTTTAATATGCACATAGACCAAGGTGAGCGACACAGGCTCTTTAGAGCCTCTAGTTTTTACTTGAATGAATTATTATATGTAAACTTTCTACCCTGAGTCCTAATGTCAAATTATCAAGTAAATAAGATCTGAGGTTAATTCTTTGTACTTGAGCTCATTATTTGTTGTTTGTTTTATGCCATATCTTAGGAGGGAAACCATATCTATTTTACATGTTTACCAGTCACCAACAAAAATTTCGACAGTGTGATCAATTTTGACAAAATGAAAATATGTTTTTATCGGGAACTGTAAAAAAAAAATTGAGGGATAAATTAATGGTCATAATTATAAATTAACTGTTAACAAAACTTTGAATTTTTCCAAAATAATAAGGATTTTCTACCCAAGGAATAGATTACCTTAGCTGTATTTGGCAAAACCTTTCTGAATGTTCGGTTCTCAATGCTCTTCAACTTTGTACTTTATTTACCCTTTTTTAACTTTTTTTATTCAAGGGTCACTGATGAGTCTCTTGTAGACAAAAGGCGCGTATGTCGTACAAAATTAAATCCTGGTATCTAGGATGAGTTTATTTAAGATACATAAGCATGAATTGCCAACATATCTTAATATAGAATAAAATTATTGTACAATATAAACTGCCAAAATATTACTTTTGAATATCTTTTTGTTTAATATTGGAAGAATCTTAGGATCATATTTCTTTTACATTTCAGTGAGTTGTTAGACAAGCTTGAGAAAGAACTAGATGAAACAGAAGGTCAAAAACATTCAAACATTTTAACAAGAACTTTTCAGGGAAAATTAGTTAGTCAGGTAGGTAAAAAATTAAGTAGAAAAATCATAAACTGTTAAATTTAGCTGATATTTCTTCATAAAAAAATTGGGTCCTCAGCTTCCATGTGGTCTTAGTAGTCATTCTGAAGTGATCACAAGTCTGTCAACTCTGACCTTAATTGAAAAAGATAACCAATTTTCCTGCTGAAGGTCAGTGGTTCTCTCAAGGTAACTCCATTATATAGCCAAGTTTGATGAAAGTGGTGCGAAACACCAACAAACAAACAGACAAACTTTATAAAAAAAATAAAGACAATAGTGGAAACGCAAATGACTATATCATGATGAATATTTTAAGTTTTATAACAAAAGTATAAGCACAGCTTAAACATGTTAAACTTGCTGAATGTCCTAGATCTTGGTAAAATTCCTGCTACCCATGTCACAGTAGTGTATCGGTCTAAATTTTTCTAAAGAAGCAAAAGTATGTTAGACATTGAATTCCTATGCAATTCAGTGCAGTGAAAGGACAATTTTAGTTATCTTAGTTGTATAAAGACATATATGGAGATTTGTAAAATGTTTTGATTTTTTTTTGTAAAGAGCCACTTGAGATTTTTATTACTAGTTGAATTTTGGTAAAGTGCTATTAGAGATTTATAGGGCTTGTTCATTTTTCATTTCCTATTTTACAAACATGTGTTTATCTTTTTATTTTTAGGTAAAATGTTTGAAATGTAAGAACCTATCATCAAGAGAAGATCCCTTCTTAGATCTATCATTAGAATTTCCACAGAGATATCAGATTACCAGTAAAAATTCAAAGTTAGCAGAAGATCCATGTCACTTAACAGGTAATATAAATATAATTAACAAAAAAATAATGAACAAAAGAATAGTTCCTGTAATTATTTATGAAAATAAAACATTTTTAGGATATTATACAGGAATGACCAAAATATTTGACAGTACAAAATACCACACAAGGACTATGTCTTTAATATCACACAGGGTGTATTTTGTATAACAAGATCAAAGAAATATCACATTCAAGATCTTTTTAAGCCTGGACTATGTAATTTTAACTTTGCAAATATGAACATCTTTACACATCCAAAAATGAAAACAAAGAAACTGTGGATTATTTTTAGACCGTGTGATCTTTGTTATCTATAGCAAAACTTGCACATTTGTCCCAGTAATGGACCTTTGGTTCAATAATGATCTTATCCTATTTCATTTCAGAAATGCTTGCTCAATTTACAGATACAGAAGAACTAGATGGAGAGATATACCACTGTGAGAAATGCAATGGTAATATGTCATCAGATATTTTAAAAATAATAAAACATTATTTTTATGTCACATGTGATTTTAGGGGGTATTTATTATGTCTAATTTTGTGTCTGTGTCTTTTTATTTGCCTATTCATATACGATATAAGGTTTTATGTTAAACGTCATCTGTGTATACAATTGCAATATGATTAAATCTGAACAATTTATGAGTAAAGAATATAACCTTCATTTTTATTGATGATCATCTCAAAGTAATTTGATATAAGTACAAGTGCCTTTAATGTAATATTTCATTTATGAATATACACCAATATATGAGTTTCAACCAATATGTAAACTACACAAAGTATTTATCAAAAGGATAGTACAACCTACTTATTATTGGGTAGTATCCTTAATATGTAAACAAACGGTTTGGGTTCATGTATATTGACTTGATCAAATCCATGTTGCATAAACATGTAACTTTACCCATGGATACTTTAAGACTATAGTGCACACAATATATATTAAATTGTGTTATGATATAAAAAAATCAATGATCTTAGTTAGTAAACAGTTTTAGATATTGGGATTTTCTACAAATTAGATTAAAATGTCACAGTGAAATATTAAGAGGGAAAAATTATATTTAAGATCAATACAAGTAAAATTATGCTATTATAAAAGAATTTGTTTGTTTATTTATTTCAGCCAAAAGAAAGAAAGATAACATTCTATATACAAAGGCAGAGAAAAGGCTGCTTATCAAGAAACTACCTCCTGTACTAAGACTACATCTGAAAAGATTTAGGTAGTATGAAATTGACAAAGTATTACAGAGATTACGAAAGTTGAAATTTTGATTGAGTTATCTTGCTTTAATAAGAAGTTACAAGTTATAGAATTGCAGTTTATTGTTCATTTGCATTTAGAAAATTTTTACATTTTCAATAGTAGCTTGGTTTGAATACAGTTTGGTAAGGACTATTCTAGAGACTAGGGAGGCAACTTAAACAAAAACACATTATGGCTGATTAGATAAAATTGCCTGAGAGATCAAAATATGTGGACCTATGAATAAAATGACCTGCTCCCATGCATTTATTTCTGAGAAAGTCATTGGGCAATTTAGCTTTAAACATACCTGCAGCCATACACCACATCCTTTGTTAACATCTGTAGTGACACAATAGTATGAGTAAAAACTCATCATTTAAGCCTGGGTAAATTGATAAAAGATTAATATTATTTTTCAACAGTTTAAATTATTTTTAATTGCCTAAGAGATAAACAAAATTTATTCATAGGTCCATATTCTTTTGATCTCTCAGGCAATTATTTTTTTTAAATTATTTTAGGTAAGGATAAAAAATAAAGATGTATTTATATTTTCAGATGGTCTGGCAGATTACATCGTGAGAAGATTCACACACCTGCTATGTTTGATGAAGTATTAGACATGGGACCATTCTGTGACTGTAAATCAGCCACTAATACAGGCAATGTTAATTACAGGTTGACAGGGGTTGTGATACATCATGGAACAGGATTCAAATCAGGACATTACACAGCAAACTGTTGGAATTCTGAAGCTGGTAGGTTTTGGATATAAAAAAAGTTATTCCAAACTGCATAAAATGTGTATTGAGTGCAAAAAGTTAAGCCCACTCTATTTTAATGCCTTTTTTGTCGCCTTTATATGTGTAGGTCTTATTCCTTCAGTCATTAAGTTATGCTGAATACCAAAGTCAAACCTCTTACACTTGTTACAGAAGTATATTCTGTGGAATGATAATGGACAAGCATCTAGAAACTATGAAATACTGTGGGAGGCCCAGAACCGAAAATAACACCTTGCCTGTCAAATGACAGTACCCACATGGAAAGATTTAACAAAGGATTTGTAATTTCAGAGACTTTTATTTAACTTTTGAATAAAAAATGGGAAGATAACATTTTGGGTTAAATACATGAATTTCTTCATTAAAGCTCTGAATGCAGGATGGATTTGATTTGTAGAAATGCAACTTTTATACAAATAGATCTGGAAAACACAATAGAATTTATTTGAAATTTTTTAGTACTTATAAGATAAATGGACTGCATATCACTAGTAAAGATATGATGGACACATCGAAAACAAAATGCCTTGGAATTTTTTTCTCCCCTGGATTTAGATTTTCATGGTTTCTGAATGATTGCATGGTTTCTGGAAGATTTTTTTCTCTCTGAATTCTGGAAATTTTTGCTTTAAATATTTTTGTGGGAGAACGAAAACTTATAATATTTAGAGGATTGCTACTGGACAAAATCTACAATTTTATCATAATAATATGTTATATTGTTGAAAAAAAATGTACTATTTATTTGATCCCTTTCATATCATTAACAGAATCATGGATCAACTTCAATGACTCTAGAGTAAGATACATTCCAATAGAAGAAGTTTTATTAAGCCAGGCATATATATTGATTTATCAGCGTCAGGATGAAGAACTGGCAACACCAATAGAACCGGACGATGAAACAGTAGCAACATCTTTAGATTATCAGGGACTTTCTTTAACTTTAAAAAAGGAGATTTCTAGAAAAATTGATGAGGAAATAACATTTAATTTTAAGACACCACCCTTAGATACTTCAAGGAAATTGAAAAGGAAAAGAAATTCTACTTCCGATACTCCATTTAGGATTATCAAAAGGAGACGCTCAACAATGTGGTGACGAGGCACAGCTCAAATCAGTACATCAGGGATTCCACAGATTCATAGCTTAAATTAGTTCATTTCTATTTTAATTTTAGTCTTTACATCTAAACCATATACATGATATACATACATTCTTTTCACTGTTTTCTAAAGGAGATCATTTGAGCAAACTATTCAGTTAGTAGAAATTCCATCAATACAACAACCATTTAATATCGTGTAAATAGAGAATATCATATGGCTTTTTCAATATCACACTCATATCAACCCGAGACACCAAAATAATCCCAAGAGCTCTGCTCGAGGGATTATATTGGTTGAGGGTTGATACGGTGTGTGATATTGAATAAGCCATATTATATACACTTTATTATATACCTTAAGTAGATGTTTTTCGTGTGACACAGAACGTAATACAGATAATGGGTTTGATAAAGCCTTTGCAACAGTGACTGATATCCATGACGTCATACAAGTAAGGGGTTTGATAAAGCCTTTGCAACCATGACTGATATCGATATCATCACGGGTGCATACGAAAAAGGGTCGAAAAAAAATATTCCCTTGAATTTGACAGTTGTAGGAAAATAATCCTACATTTCATTGCAGTAAAAAATTTCTGAGTCATAAACATATATCTTGGGTGTTTTAAAGCACCCTTATTTTTTTATTTTGTGTTTCTATAGAATATTTTGGAAACTTGAGGTTACATGGTTACTAAAGCTTGTACACAGGAAGAAAAGGGGTGAAAATTTGATTGGTTAACTTCCAGTGATGGTTATTTTCTTATATGCAATGAAATGTAATGTGAAATTTTGTCTATAGTACTGGAGAGGATAAAACTTTACTCATGCCAAGTATTTCTTTATTTGAAACAAAGATAAATTCTGCACAATTTTTTGAAAAGTGCAAATTTAACAAAGACTAATAGGGGAAAATCAATGGTGGTATTACACCTTTAAGGTGATTACTTTTTGTGATTTTATAACTTTGTTGATGTATTAATATAAGATAAGATTCAAGTTTGACATTTATGCATTATTTTTTTCTGGTCATAAAAGACGCATTGATTAGTTCTTCCCAGAATAATTTGGTTTTACATTAATGAGAGTTATAGCTGTAAGGGGTAAGAATACCTGTAAATATTGATCTTTTTGTCTGTTTATCCATAATGCTTTTTGGAGTGTAGTTATCACATGAAAAACGTTTCTGAATCTGTAAATGATGTAAAAATTTTAAACTTCAGTGTAATTATCCAAAAATATAGTCAAATTCCGTTATGTTATTGATTGAAAATTACAATTAACTTGAATTAATAACCGAATTAATTGAAAGACCCAAGGTACAGTAAAGATGAAAGAATTAAGAATTAAAACTAAGTGATTTGAAAACATAGACTGGACGTCACTGTATAGCAACTTTAGAGAAAGTTAACAGCATGTATCTTTAAGGGAACACATGTAATTTGGTCGCAGTACTTCTGTAATTTGTATTGACCTATCTATGTAAAATTTAATGTATAGTTTTCTCAGGCTTCGAAATGCAAATTCATGAATCTCTGTAAGAATCATGATAAATATTGAATATATCATCATTTGAAATAGAAATACTACACCACAATACAAAATCTCATTTGTCATCAGGTTTAAAATCTCATTCATCATTCATCATATTTGAAAAATCATTTGTTATGATGATTGAAAACTCATGTAATGGTAAATTTAAATCTGCTGTGCCTTTATTTGTTAATGATAAATATTATGTTTTTTTTTGCTGTCTTGAAATTAAGGAAAATATTTAGATTGTATTGGTAAAATTTAGTAGGACAAGATGTATTCATTTTAGGTAAACTTTATCAAGCTTTAATGGCATGAAACAATAGAAAATTACCCATTCAGCAATCTACTTTCGTTTTAATTGTCCTGTTCTTTGGTGAAGACGAATGCTTCATACTTCTACTTTATGCACCTGTCTGTACATTTGTCTGAATTTATGCTGGAGTTATACTAATGGCAAGGTATAACTAGAGTTTTATAAACATAGAAGGAATACACAATAATTGAAACTGCTTATTTATGAATTGAATATTACTTGCAATTGTACCTTTTCTGAATTTAATATTACTTGCAATTGTACCTTTTCTGGCAATAAAAGATTTGTAAAAATATACATAACATCTAAGAGGTAGAATAATCACAATAGGCGAATTTAGAAATTGGACTTTTGTCCCCTTTAATTATTGTGAGCAGTCTTATCTTTCTGATAATTGAGGCTTTGACCAATCAAAATTTTCAAAACGGTAACATTCCACTAATTTCTGAATTGGTCCATTATATTAATAGAATTGTAATTTATTATGGTTAGCAGTTTAATAAGATATTAAGAAGTACGTTTTTTAAGGATGCATCACATATATATTTCACAATTATACACAATACATTGAATTTTAAATAGTTTGTCATTTGTATGTAGACAGAAGGTTGTTTCATAGTACATATGATTTATAGTTATATTCATGGCAAATATTAAATGGCAGCAAGTATTTTAATTTGTACTTAACATTTATATTTACACATTCTAATTTGGGCTGATATTTTGTTTCTTTAGGTTAAAGGTCATAGTCCAACCTATTTTAATTCATACAATTCTTTGTTTTTGTTTATGAAATGTAGCTGTTATATTTTATTACATCTAATATAAATATGTAGATTTATTCATTATCAGTTAAACAAATAGAAATAATGTGTTAACCATACAATCAACAAATGGTCCTTTTGCAAATTTCTGAGGCCATGGACATTGGAGTATTGGACTTGGAATATTTTTTAACCCCTGTGAAAATATTGTGTAACATTTGATTGATATTCCATTCCATGATATTTGTATTCAGTTAGTTTAGCAATATTGCATAGTCATTATAAAACATATTTAACCTTGAGTTTGAATTAATTTTTTGTTTTAATTTTCAACCAATAAAATTTTCATTCCACAGACACTGAGTTATTAGAATAGAATAGAATTTCTCCATGTTTACAAATTTCAAATACAATAAGTGTCTTACTTTTGAACTCACAGAAAATTTGTGCACCATGAGTATTGAATATGGTGTAGGTAATATACTTCTTTTAAATATGCTTCTGGAAGTTGATACTCTTTTTTTTATATTTATATAACTAATATTAAAGTGAAACAGGCTTAGTTCTCAAAAGAGAATAAAAAGTTTTCTTAGATTTTTATTCCAAGTCATATGTAAATTCTTTACTGAAAAAGGTGCATTAATATTCTGTAATTATCAAATTTAATGTAAATAAGACAGGTATTATATCAAAATTGATTATTTATTAAAATTTAAGATAATGCATATATTGCTTTAGTTTATTTTTTTCATCTTTAGTTTAATTTTAAACAGTTCAATATACATTATATCAGTTGATGAGAGAATTTTTTACAGAAATCCACAAACTGTCTCGCATTCAAAAATGATCTATTTTATAACTTGTATAGTAGAAATAAAATTTTCCATTTTTTGAAGTTCCTTGCTAATGTTATCAGAAGAAAATGTAAAATGTTAAATCCCACCGTGTAATTGTCCTTGTCCAAAGTTAAGAACTTCATTGGTGGTTGTAAGTATGTTTTTGTTCCCTTAAGAATCAAGTGTTAAAGGCAGATTTGTAATAGTCTCTGTTAAGTTTATTCAAAGCTTACCTTAACTCAGGAGTTGCTTATAATGGTAAAAATGGCGATGAGGGTAGTGAGAGAACAAATTTTGACAATTTCATGCCAAAAAGGGAATTTTATTATCAAAGTAGAGCTTTCCCCTCTACATCCCACCCGAGTGCACCACTTATTTATAATTTGTTTTTGTCTTTATGATGTATAAAGTTCACCCCTCAAATTACTTAGAATTAATGCGGTCAGTATCCATTTATAGATATAGAATAGATAGTGTATTCATTTATGGATATAGAATAGATTATCATATATTGTTATTTAGTTCTTCTTCAATGTTGAATAGATTTAATATATGCAATCAAAAAAATATACACCAATATACTCTGTTGAGAATAGAATGTAGTAATATATTGTTGGCAATAAATAAATTTAATTTTTTGTGTTTTAGTTATAAGCAGGAATATAAACAATCTTGTCTTCTATACGTATACTACACTTTGTATTCATTCAACCCAGTGGACAAGCTTTTAATGTCTTTGAATTTCTTGGTATGCTGAAGGAAACATTGGAAAGTGGTGTATATATTCTTCACAACTTAAAAAGTATATTATAAGATGAGTGTCTTCCAAGAAGGCATGTGTTGCTTGCAACAGGCTATTGATTCAGTTTCATACTTTGATATTTAAAAATAAATTCATCATAGATACCAGAATTGAAATTTGTACACCAGACGCACATTTTGTCTACAAAAGACTCTTCAGTGACTTATCTGATCGACATGAAGTAAAAAACAACTATTTTACTTTTATGACAAAAGACCAGTGGCGTAGCTAGGCTTTAAAATGAATGCCCAAAACTCAGCGAGGAATCTGGGGGAAAATTATAATAGAGTGTCAAAATTTATAAATTACTGTTATATCAATATCGTATGGAAAAGAGCAAAACTACATTAAATAAGTGAAAACAAGTTAAAACATAACGGAATATTTTCAAAAAAAATTACAATACAAAAAAAAGGTAGAAAAAGAGGGGATCATTCCCCAATTGCCTGTGATGGTATCTCAACTTCCATATTCAAACCAACGACCTGTTACCTATACAAACCACGAGGAATCAATTTCAAGATGATAATCGTAAAGAAATATTTACAGCATGCAAGAATGACATCCCTGGAGATCTGGACCTCTTCAAAACCAAGGTTTGTCGTTGGATCTTCCGTTGGAGTATGTCAGCACAGAAACCATCTTCTCTGTGTGAAACTTTAATTGTGTCAAAGAAAGGTTTCAATGCATCCGTGTATTTTCACTACTGCTTGCCATGCCCATTATTACAGCTACTACAGATTAAAACCTACTTAAGCACTACTATGCACCAGGAGAGACTACCCTCATTAGGGGTGATGCATATTCACAGAGAAATCCCAATTAACCTAAAGGGTGTTAAAATAGATACATTAGCTATATGCAAAAACAGGAAAATGTTTCTGCTGTACTAATACTGACTTTGTACTTCAAATATATTTTATTTCTAAAGGCATTGACTGTCGATATTCATGCTCTTTGGTTCTAGAATTACATTGCATGTGCAGTGATTTATCCAATTCTTGTAACTTCTATTCACAATATTGTACAAATCATTACATTTGATGAATTTATTTATTTTGGATGATGTTTACTGAATTCACAATAGATTCGGACTTTGACAGAAAATGAAGTGTGGAATATGTAACATGATACCATTTGATTAAACGTAAATCTCGCCAATTACTTTTATCCTAATGAAAATACAAGTCATTAAAGGGTAAAATTACAAAAATACCGAACTCCGAGGAAAATTCTAAACGGAAAGTCTCTAAGTAAAATGGCAAATTCAAAAGCTCAAACACATCAAATAAATGGATAACAACTGTCATATTCCTGACTTGGTACAGGCATTTTCTAATGTAGACATATAAGAAAATAAATTGATTTTTTTGTGTTTTAGTTATAAGCAGGAATATAAATAATCTTGTCTTCTATACTTATGCTACACTTTTTGTATTCAGTCAACCCAGTGGACAAGCTTTTAATGTCTTTGAATTTCTTGGTATGCTGAAAAAAAGATTTCAAGGCTCATGTGTTTTTAACAAACTTTTAAATTCATTTAGATTATTTTTTTCTCCAAAATAAATGTGTACGCCTAGGTGTTTTGTTGTAAACGTAGCTACACGCCTGAAAGACACAATGCACTGATCTAAGAAAATAGCAGTTACTGATCACTATAGTTCAAAGCTCATTACAACTAACAAACAATTCATGTTTTTATCAGACTTTAAATAATATCAATCAGTACATATTCCATGGAATAAGTGTAACGATGTTATAAACAGTATCAGCCGAAAAGCAATACAAGTTATACAAGTTGAAAACAAAATCAATGTTAGAAAATACAGTTATATATATGTCTCTGGTATTATAAAGTATAACTCTTGCTTCTTATATAACATAGAATCAACCATGTTTTATCTGAAACTACTAGAAATTTCTTTAACAAATATTCTTTCTATTACACCATAATGAAACAAAATTTACTTTTCATACAGCTTCAGTGTCTGAATATACTTGTCTGTTTCGATTTGTAACAACCAACAATAAAATTTACATAATTTTTATCCATCCACCCAGATTATTTTTAAAAGAAAATTGCAAAAGTTATCACATTTTTTCAGCATTTACACACATTTGCTCACAAGTGATTGTTTCAATGTTAGTTTAAAGTATAACTAGGTTCTGTGAAAATACAAATATTTCTGATGAATTTCGTATTCTGGTTAGGGTTATGTTTACAACACTTGGTCTTCACTGGGACTATTATATTATTTCCCAGGTATTCATTTATCAAAAATGGTACCTGTAAAAGTGTCCGTAATTTCCTTAGCCATTGGTTTGCAAACGAGGTAATCTCCCAATTCAAATTATGTTAACTTCCATGTTACATTTTCCAAAATTTGTCACTTCTCGCCTACTGGTAACTATTTTAGATGCAAGCGATGATAAATTGCAACAGTACCAGTTACCATTCTAAACACTCAAAATGTTATACTTGTTCAGAGTAAACATTCAACAAGAGTAATATATTGGGTATGAAACCATTTTGCAAACTTCGACGTTTTCTGAGGAGCAAGTAACTGCTCTTAAGTAGAACAAAGTATGACTGAATTTTTCAATTTGATTACAACCAGCCTTCTATCTATATTTAATGAAGAGACAACTACCCACACAATGGTATTTGCTTACACAACCCACAGAAAATTATAGCATGTGATGTCCAACCCGCCCATACATATTTCCTCTGAAATTTTCCTTGGTGCAAATGGCTAATACCAAGACAATATAAAACAATATAGGAAATATGAAGCAAAAATTCATATTCAAAATTTGACTAAATCTTTTGGCATTTTTATTCATTGTTTAAAAGTAGTTACATATTAGAAATAAGAGTTCCTTTATAAACAACCGAAATTACAGAAAATAATGGAAACATGGGGTGCAAAACTTCAATTAGTGTGAAAGAAACGGTGCAAGATTTATTTGTGGCTTTCAAGTGGTCTAAGAAGTTTTGCAATTCCAAAGTAATGATTGTTCACAAAACAGGAAGTCTATATGCAATGACTTATCATGCAAGAAACCTAGAAATTTTGAAGGGATTTGGGGTTGTTCAGAAATATTTATTCATTGGTGAAAATAACTGAGATAAGTTGATATGAGTAAAAAGAGGTATCAAAAATTTAATATTTTTTTCATAGAAGGGTTTTGCAAGGAGGTATTAAACTTCTTAAATATTTTTTAGACATGGGAATAGCAACACGTCAGTTCTTTCAAGACTGATGAAGTATACCCCAAGTGCCTGACAATTCCAACAATTTTTGTCATCTATAACAATGACATTCTTTTCTGATCTGGTTAACTTTTAGTACAAATTACTATTCATTCTCGGGACAAAACAAATATAAGTAATTATAGTAATATGCAGAGAATTCTGAAATCGGTAACCATTATGTTTAGCCGGAAAAAAAAAGAAAATAACTCATATTGATATATGATTACTATTAGGTGGATAAGCGTGCTCATTAAAAATTCTGTAGTTGTATCGCCAGTCAGTCTGTTAACCTTTTTGTGTTTCTGCCATGCTAGCACCGTCATTTTTTTAAAGATGAAAATACAGATTTTGCGATTGTAAACCAGAAAGCTACTATTCATGACCAAGCGGATCCTTGCAGTGAAGAAAAGTGGCCTTATATTGAATTCACTTTTACAATAAAGTATCGCTAGTTAGACGTTTTGTGTATAACAAATACTTGCATTTTGCTTTTTCTTGAAAGATTGGCCCAATCACTTGACTTCTGAATTATGCCAAAATTATACCATACTTAAACTTAAGCTTTACCATTTCAAATGCTTATTGTTTCATGACCTGAAGTGTACAGCTTCTTTTAAGAATTTGGTTAGTATAGCAAAACATATATGAATAATATATCAATTATATAATTGCACAACATTTTTTAGCTGTATAGTGTGGTATACAATTGCACATGAGTAAATAAGCAGAGTAAAGTGATATAATGTTGATAATTACTTTCAAAAGTAAAATGATTTTGAATATGGATTTGAATCCTACTTCTAAGCAATAAACTTATCTCATATTAATTGAAATACGATTTATGTTAAATAATATTACAGTAAAGTTTTTGCACAAGATAACTGCTATGAAAAATGTTAGCTGTTGTTCCAAAACCTATGTTGGACGATTGAAAAAAGAATTGCAGGCCCACATGAGGCCAATGACAGTGTTAAGAGGATTTGGTGCTTGGTGTATGTCTTTACGTTAGAGGGTCTGTTACTGCTAGCTCATCCGGAGTCATTTTTTTTTCATAGGAATATGTTGGTTAATCTACATTTATTTTGTGAACACTTTTGTGGACTTATAATGTTCGTCGTTTTGTCTTTTAACTTTGTCCATGATGTTGTACGTCTTCTTTCGAATAACGACTGTTGAATTTCTTACTTTTTACGTTTAAATGCAAGCCTATCATATTTTATCGTCTTATTGGATAATAGTTCTGTCACATTAATGCACAGCTTTTGATTATGAATTTTCAAAATAGAAATATTAAATGAAAATAACACTTCCTAAATTTCGAGCGTCCGTAGGTCTTTTTACTTATTACCCTTCACAAGTTACCCTCAACCTTAACCATTTGAAAGCCAGGGATGTTAACATAAACGTAGAGGCGTTAAGAGCTACAAAAAGGGACAACACAAATAGTCGAATTCATCTGAGGTCAACTTTGAATAAGGGAGTTTGAATTTTAGTTTCTTAAAAAATTTCTTAAGTACAGCAACACGATATTTTATAAAGATATGTTATAAATCATTTCAGTACAGAAGCACTGACTACCTACCTGATGGTTTCCTCGAGAACAAACAGTCAGCCAGCAATGGTATCGACCCAGTGCTATTAAATGAAACCATAACTTTTTAGATTTCGTTTGTCCGAAGAGTTTTTTTTTAATCTAATTTATCTTTATTAGCAACATTAAAACCTAAACATTTGAAATCTAGGGATGTAAAAATACGTATACACGTTACGAGCTATACGAATGACTCATATATATATATATATATAATCAAGATTAGTTCATATCATTGACATTTACACGCATATGACACATGTATCCTCAATACAACGAAACCAAAGGAGCAAGCAACAAACTTATCATTACAGTTTGCATTTATTTCCCTGTGGTATATGTCCAAAGCATTTTTATATGATTATAATTATTGCGAAAGTATGTAACCCTGGTATAAATATAACATGTTTAACATCATAGCTGCCATTTATTAATAATTTTGTCCAATTTACATGTAATTTTCATGAAGTACAATATGAGTAATTTACATATAGATGTATATGATTGTACAAAAGCAATAAAAATCTTATAGCTTAAACTAATAGATAACCTTTGCTATGCTGATTATATTCTGGAAATTTCAGAATTGATTTAACCTTTAAATTAAATTTTCAATGACCAAAATATGAAAGTATATAAAACAACTTGAAGGATGCACCATTTCTTTTCAAAACAACAAAAAGGCTTAACTGTACTGAAAAATCAACGCGTACGCATCACATTCGAAGGTCTAAAATTTATCTAATATTTTTATGTTATATGTGTATCTGGTATAACTTGTACACGTAAGGCTTATTTGGATCTACACTATGCAGTATAAAATGAGTTTTTTAACTATCAAATCAACCGCACATGTAATTAACCGCAATAAAAATACAATAAAAAACCACTTTCTCACGATGTGCTCTTAATATATTATCTTTATGTCATAATAACGTCAATGAAGTTAAAAATAAATGTTCATGACTGTGTTTTCTTGTGGGGGGGGGGGGGGGGGGGGGGGATTTAGTTTACAAATGTAATAAAATATTTGTATTCCGTATACTTTGTCATGGAAATTCAGTGCACCACTACAGCTTATAAGTATATTCAATAATCCACTAGATTGTCCAATCTAAATTACTAAGTAGTAAATAAATACATGTAAATACAGAATACAGCTGACAATTTTAAAATGTACTAAAATAGAAATAACTTCAATGTGACGGTTGCCTTTATTTTCAAAGACGATGTTGATGCTTATCATATTTCTCTTCAGCTTTGGTAAGTTCAACTTTCAAATTGATAACACTATTTGAAAAGATGTTTTAATTGTTAAGGATTTTATGTTTAAAGTTTTTTTTATCTTTCGGATAAGTTTATTTCTCCAATATAGTCAGAATTACTTTGTAAAAATGGCTTTGGACACTATTTTTGATGTAAATAAGCATTAGTGCGTGACTTTTCAGTTTGCAACAACCGCTTTAAACATACAATATTTTTTATTTGATATCTTTTAAAATGGTGAAACAAACGATATTGTTTATTTAATACCTTTGAACATGGTGAAAAATATTAAATTTTTTATTTAATATATATCTTTTAATATGGTGAAACATACGATATTTTTATTTAATATCTTTTAACATGGTGAAACATACGAGATTTTTTATTTAATATCTTGGAACATGGTGAAACATACGATATGTTTTATTAAATATCTTTTAACATGGAAAAACATACGATATTTTTATTTTATATCTTGTAACATGGTGAAACATACTACATTTTTATTTAATATCTTTTAACATTGTGAAACATACTTTTTTTTTCTTCAATATAATTTTACATTGTGAAACATACGATATTTTTTATTTGATATCTTTTAACATTGTGAAACAATAAACATACGATATTTTTATTTAATATCTTTTAACATTGTGAAACATACGATATTTTTATTTAATATCTTTTAACATTGTGAAACATACGATATTTTTATTTAATATCTTGTAACATGGTGAAGCAATACGATATGTTTTATTTAATATCTTTTAACACGGAAAAACATACGATATTTTTATCTAATATCTTTTAACATGGCGAAACATACAATATTTTTATTTAATATCTTTTAATATGGTGAAACATACGATTTTTTTTATTAAATATCTTTTAACATGGTGAAACATACGATACTTTTTATTTGATATCTTTTAACATTGTGAAACATACTACACTTTTATTTAATATCTTTTAACATTGTGCAACATACGATATTGTTTGTTCCCACAAAGCAGCAGTTCACATGTAAAAATGAAAATTTAAAAATTGAGGATACTTTCTAATTAATATTGCTGTCTCATCGACGTATATCCAACATATTCTTTCATCAAACTTAGTTCAGTGTAACAAACATGAATATTTCATATCTCATGCTATATATGTAGGAAACCGAGCAGAAAGTGTTTCGATGAACGAGGATGATTTCCTGTCCCTACTGATAACAGACTACAACAAAATGGTGCGCCCCTCAAACAAGGAACAGCCCATTACTAACGTCAATCACAGTCTAGCAATTCAAAGGATAGTGGAGTTTGTAAGTGTTGGGAGAATATTTGTTTCAATATAAAGGACAAGTTTTCGAAATAATATCTTACTATTTTGAAAATAATAAAAAAGAGATGACAAACCCTTAAGAGAAAACCTAGCAAACATAAAAAGATAACACGATGACATTATTATATATTATCACTATATGTAAATACTCCAAATTTATATAAATAATTCTTGTTTCTTTTTACACTAAGGATTGTAAGGTTGAAATTGACATTAAATGCATGTCATTCTTATTGTCTCTTTGTATGATTTTTCAAGAACTCGAATGAGCTCACAATAGATGCATGGATGCCAACAACATGGACAGATACGCGACTCAGTGCAGCAGCAGAAAGATTCCGGGACGATTTTAGTCATATTTCTATTCCGCAGTCTGCAGTATGGTTACCCGATATTACTTTGTATCAAAGGTAGGTCATGTTGTTTATTTTTTATTAGATTGTGGAATTTGTTTATAAATTCATTTTAAACAAGTGATACTGTTATTATTGATTTTCATGCAAACATTTTCATATTTTATACCTGATTGAAAACTTGATGTTCAATTAAACTTTACTTCTGTGATTTCTAAGGATTCAACAACTTTAAAATCTATTTTTATTTCGTATTGTGACAAATGAGTTTTCTTCGACAGTATAATTCACTATAATACACTATCTGCTTCGAAATAAAATTGAGAATGGAAATATACTATACCAAATACAAGGAAATGAAAAGTATCACTAGCTGATTATAAACTCATCATGGATGCCAGGCTTAAAATTTTGTGTATGCCAAATGCGCGTTACGTCTACATAAGACTCATCAGTGACGACATTATCAAAAAGTTTAAAAGGCCTATTAAAGTACGAAGTTGAAGAGCATCGAGGGTCCAAAATTCAAAAAGGAAATTTATTTTCATATCATCGAAATTGTGCGTTTTCTGATTTAAAAGGGTGCTTTAAACTTATTTTAGAATGTTTCCGAGAAAAACAGTATGCCTCTTTTATGAAAATTCAAACATGTTTTGTGATATTTTTTTGTAGACCAACGACACACCTTGACTACGAACCAAATGTGTTGTTGTATGGCGGTGGTCAAATGGTGTATGTTCCATCATCTCGGATTTGGACGGACGATTGTAAAGATGTAGGTAAAGGTATTACCGAATGCTCCTTCCAGTTTGGTCCATGGAGTTATGACACTGATGACGTAAACCTAAAGTCGGATGGGATTTCAATGTATGAATATCGTGCGCATTCAGAGTTTGAGATTGTTGAATCAACAGCAGTTAGAATGAACTACAAAGGACCATGCTGTGAAGGATATTGGGCTTGTATCAAGTACACCCTTTCTATAAAGCGTCGCTAAGTACAAACAGCAACGATATTATAACTTGTATATATAATTGACATTATATCAAATTGGTCGATTATTTAACTGTATCCTTCTTGATAAACAATTATAAAATTTGGAGTTTGCGGAACACGATATATCAATCATCATTTTTTTGCTTGTGACGTTATATTCGTGTTTGTTGCACATTTCAGAATATATTTTAGGCCAATAAAAAGTATATGAAAATTATAAGTCGTTTTTTATAAACATGGTTGCATATTTGATATACTAATAAAGCATAATGGACTACAGGACTAACTGTTATATGGAACTTATCGGGCCAGGATGGTATGCTATTTCAAATGCGTCGATGTATCATCCTTTAGTCTTTTTTTTTATAACTCAACATTATTTAACGTTATCAATTTGCAATAAAGAAAATAGTTAATGAAAACAGACAATCTAGTCAAAGAAAAGGATGCTCAGACAAACATTAATCGACATTTTTTAGCACACGAGACCAAAGTTTTGGGTCATTCCCAAAGGGAAACACACGAGATCAAAGTTTTGAATAATTTTTAAAGGGAGCACACGAGACCAAAGTTATGGATATTTTCCAAAGGGTACACAGCAGAACAAAAGCTTGAAAAAAATTCGAAAGGGTACACACTAGACCAAATATTAGAATAACATCCAAAAGGTACACACCAGACCAACGATTAGAATAACACCCAAAGGGTACACACCAGACCAAAGCTTGAAATAACATCAAAGGGGTACACAGTGACAAAGTTTAAAATAACCTCTGCATGTTACACACGTGACAAAAGGATACCAAAGTTTTGAACTAACTCCGAAAGAGCACACACATGTTTTTATAGTGATTAAGATTATAACGCAATGTTGAATTTTGACAATTTTACCTATAGTATTATGTGTGTTTATTTTGCTCACACATTGTTGTCAAAATAAAGGAATTATATGCGGCTGTCATACAAGTAAGAGGTCTAGTTAGCTATAAAACCAGGTTCAATACAACATTTTCTACGAAAGAACATGCCTGTACTAAGTCAGAAATGTGACATATACTTTCCATTTGTTTGGTGTATTTGAGCTTTGGATTTTGCCATCTGATAAAGCACTTTCCGTTTTCAATTTTCCTTGGAGTTTGATATTTTTGCTATTTTTTCTCTTTCCAAAGATTAGAATAACTTTCCAAAGTATACAGACAAGAACAAAGAATTTCATAATCTACAACGGATAAACACATGACCAAAGTTTGGAATTACCTCCAAAGAGTTTATACACACATGACCAACGATTAGAAAGCCAATCATATATAACGTTTGAGAGCTTAAGAGCAGGAGATACAGTTTTGTTTTACTGGTGATTTTGTAAAGAAAATTTGAATACAAGCTATTTTTCAGTTAGTCAATTCAAATATGTTATAAAAACATACCTTCATGTGCTACTTTAAGAGATAAATGGGGTCGAAATTCTAGACATTTTTTTTTTACATTTCTTTTCTTTGGAGAGACATACTAGACTTTTGTTTCAAAAGATAAACACAAGCAGATTTTTGTAAAAACATTTTGGAAATTCTTCTTTATATAAGTATGCTCTAAATTTGTATAACATTCTTTGGAAATAAGGAAATATGATATAGTTACAGGGAATGTAATGACGTCGCTAACGTAAAATGCTATTTTTCGCGACTTCAAACTGCGGCATATCGGGAAAGATGCATTTTCGACTGAATCTTATCATTCAGACTGATTTAACTTGTAAAAGAATTCATTAATCCTCTTTTTGAAAATGAAATTTGGCTTGATTATGTGCGAAAATCATTTGTGTCAATTTTTATGAAAAAGTCACCGATTAAATCTTTTTTGAAATTAGATAAATATACACCAAGAAATGTTTTTTTATAATAAAACCAAGAAAAATTTGATAAAAAAGAATTATTTCCAAAGAATTATTACACAAATTTAAAGCAAACTGATGTTGTACTGTTACACCACTGTCCCAGGTTAAGAAAGGGTTAGGATCCCGCTAACATGTTTAACACCGCCGCATTCTGTATGTATGTGCCTGTCCCAAGTCAGGAGACTGTAATTCAGTGGTTGTCGTTTGTTGTTGTGTTACATATTTGTTTTTCGTTTACTTTTCGTACATAAATTAGGCCATTAATATTCTCGTTTAAATTGTTTTACAGTAGTCATTTCGGGGCCTTTTATAGCTGACTTTGCGGTATGGGCTTTGCTCATTGTTGAAGGCCTTACGGTGATCTATAGTTGTTAATTTCTGTTTCATTTGGTCTCTTGTGAAGAGTTTTCCCATAGGCAATCATACCACATCTTTTTTATATTCAAATGTAGATTTGATATTCCAATTGTTTTTACAAAAATCCGCTTGTGTTTATCTTTTGAAACAAAAAAGTTAGGTATGTCTTTCCAAAGGATATAAATATTCCGAAGAACCCGAAATTTTGTAGGATAAGTCCAAAATGTAAACCCCATTTATCTCTAAAAATAGCACATGTAGATATATTTTTTATTTTTTATTTAAATTGAATAAGCAAAAAAATAATATTATTTATATTAACTTGTCCCAACTGTTTTTATTGTTTATTATTCTTATACTGAAGAGGTAAATACTTTGTAAGAACGGATTTTTATTGTGTGCGGTTTAATGTGTATCTTCAGTTGTTTCATTGTCGAAATTAAAATAAGAATGAATGAGGGTCAATAATCCAGAAACATTCCACCAAATATCATACGAATCTACTCCAAGTTATGAACGTTGTCATTGGTTGTGTTTGACCAGCTTCTAAAACACATAAATCCCGGTATAAAAACATGAACATCTACAAAAACATTTGTTCTTGTCATTTTTTTTTATTATAATATGGGAAATTAAGTCCCATTAAAATGACAACTGAATTCATTAAATGCCGTATGCAATTGGAACGAGCAGGGTATATTGTACGGGAATTTACCATATGTTTTAATTTTTTATATAAATTAAACATGTTGTATTTATTACCTTAATGCTAAATGAGACTACAAGTGCCGTAATTTGTAATTCGGCGATAACTAGTAACATTCAAATACAAAAACAGACCGCCATATTCTTCTAGGTATTCATTGATTTCTGATAATTAAAATGTCATATGACTATTCAACTTCCTGATTATAATAAGCTGGCATTCATATCGAAGGAACCATGACAACTCTGATCAGGTATTTTAAGATTATAAGCCAATTTAGATTAAATAATTGACATGTACACCAATTAGACCAGTTATATATATATGTATCTTTACTTTTTTGTCTGCCAGCTGTCGTTTTAGAAAAAAAAAATAAAAAAAAATCACTTTTGTTTTCAGGAGACGTCCGTCGACATTATCTAGAATGAATTCAATGTCAGTGTGAAAACTAATGAACAAGAAAATTTAAGGATAGGTAATTATATTTAGAAGCGGAACGAAAAACGTAGAAAATTAATTTAAAAACAAAATAATAATTGAAAATCAATCGTTCAGAGAACAATTGAAGGTCATTTTACCCTATGATATGGAAAATATTAATTGGGTTTGAAATGTCACTTCTAATGCCAAATGATAGCTTATTGTGTTCTGATTTAAAAGATATATGGTTTCTATACACTTTTGTTTGAAATAAAGGGTGATAATCTGTTTTTCCGGTTTGAAAAATTTCATTTTCAGTATTATCTGATAGTTTATTTGACACAGATTCCAAAAAATATATGATTCTATATACTTTCACATTAAATAAGTACAAAAAATTGCTACTCCCAGTTTACACAAGGTCTTTTCCGGTAGGATTTTTCCTGGACATATGGCCAGCAACCTATGCAAAAGTTCTATAGCTTTATTAGGTATTCATATGACGTTAAAGAAAAGGTCAAAATCTGAAACGTCAATATTACATATGACCTTGACCTCAATTTCAAGGTCATAAACATAAGTCCTCTAATCAAAAGACCCTAGGTCTTTATTATATATGGTTAATGAGTTATATAACCATTCGCATAATTTCAAATATAAGAGGGGAGAAAACTGCCAATTAATGTCAACGTACCCTTTCAACCAAAATTTAAACGACATGTCGCAACTAACAATTTAGCAAAATATGTTGTTGACATCTTATAAGATTTTTGAAAAGAATTGAAAATAAGCCAAAATCAAAATTAAGAACATGACCTTGACCTTATTTTCTTTTGATTGGACCAAAGACCTCAAATCAAAAGTGCCTAGGAATCTATCACTTATGGTTCACCAGTTACAATTACATTTAACTTATTTTAAATACAAAAGGGGGAGATAACTCTCATATGGAGGCTTCCGACCGCTTCGGTCAAAATCATTCTTAAGATCCTGAGGATATAACGTGCAAATCGGTGAAATATTTTTGTCGTACTAGTAATCTTTTACGGTTGCAAAAAAGAAAAACAGTGTATGGGGAGATAACTCTTACAATAAAAAGTGTTCGGTTAAACACGACCAGTTTCAAAGTCACAATAACTATTCGATATCATATGCAAAAAATCTAAGCGACATCTTACAAAACCACCAAACATCGGCGGAAAAAGAAAAAAAAAATAAGCATAACAAAATCAATAGGTCTTTCCACAGAAAAGTGGAAATTTCAAGACTTTATAATAGTCAATCCGGTAATAATAAGCATGCACAATTGTAGAACTGGCCTGCGTTTAACACAAAATCTAACAACTAAAATTGGTTGTAATTGAAGTCGTAAACAGTTCAGTATACTTGTGATCAATTTTAGTCGTACGAAGTTTTATAAAACGCAGTCCTGCCATTTAAGTTAAAGGTTTGATTTTAAAAGACTACATGAACATCTTTCTCTTCTCGCTTTTCTTTACTCCATGACCTCATTTTGCGGATCTAGAGAGCGGCTATAGTGACTGTGGGGGTTGTAACTCCAATCTTCAGAAGTTTAAATCACGACGGAAATGATTATAGAACCCCGTTTTCATATCAACCCCTCACCTTAACAGTTATTTATATCGTCTCATTTTCTGTTCTTACCCCATGTACCAACAAAACAACAACATTAGAGAATTAAATGAGTTATATATTCTAAAAAAAGTAAGAAAAAAAAGAATCATATACTTATTTGAATACTCAACTGAAGCGATTTTCAAAACTCAGACAGGGCAATAAATTCAAGAGTTCAT